CTAACTCTTTCAGCTAAACCATTCAGCTGAGGAGTTTTAGGAGGAGTCTTTTCATGTCTAATACCCTGCTGCCTGCAATAAACATCAAAGGGTCCACAGTACTCACCACCATTGTCAGTACGAATGCATTTCAGCTTCTTGCCAGACTGCCTCTCAACCAAAGCATGAAATTCTTTGAATTTTTCAAGCACTTGGTCTTTTCTCTGCAATACATAGACCCATAGCTTCCTGGAACAATCATCAATAAAAGTAACAAAGTAAAGTGCACCACTAAATGACTTTACCTTTAATGGGCCACAAACATCAGAATGTACCAATTCAAGCAACTCTGACTTCTTGGAGAGAGGATGCTTCTTGAAGGATACTCTGGTTTGTTTACCAGCCATGCAATGAGAACATTTCTCCAACTCTGCATTCTTTAATCCCGAAAGAGCATCCCTTTTAGCTAAGCAATTAAGCCCCTTTTCACTGATATGACCAAGCCTTCGGTGTCACAAAGATGACTCCATGTACATAGCATTCACACTCTCTTTAGCAAGCAAAGCTTTAGTCCAATACAGTTTAGAATGTTTCTCCCCTCTGGCCACAACCAAGTTACCTTTGGTGAGTTTCCACTTTCCAGAACCAAAGTGACTGTCATAACCACAATCATCAAGCAAAGGCACAGATATCAGATTAAAGCGAACATCAGGAGCATGTTTGACTCCTCTAAGTAATAATTGCACTCCCATGTTGGTTTGCAAGCAAACATCACCAACACCAATCACCTTAGACACACCATCATTACCCATCTTTAACACTCCAAAATCACCAGAAGTGTAAGATGTGAAGAACTCCTTCCTTGGTGTAACATGCAGTGTAGCACCACTATCAACTATCCACATGCTCTCATCAGATACAAGATTAACAGACTCATAGTCACGAAGAAGAACAAGATCATCACCTCTAGTAGTAGTGACACGATCATCATCATCATGATCCTTCTCTTTCTGCTTGCCCTTCTTGCCTTTGTTCTCCTTTTTCCAAAGAAAACAGTTCTTTTGGATGTGCCCTGTTTTGTGACAGTAATAGCACTCCACATTCTTGTATCTTGACTTGGACTTACTCCTGCTCTTTTCTCTACCACCCTTCGGTTCCTTTTTCTTACTTCTCCCCCTATTTTCTGTGAAAAATACCTCGGACTGAGATGAAGAACCCTGTGCCTTCCTTCTCATCTCTTCATTAAGAGCGCCACTCTTTGCCATTTGCAAAGAAACAACACCATTAGGAGCTGAGTTTGTAATTGAAACCCGAAATGTCTCCCAAGACTCAGGTAGAGTATTCAATAGCCATAGTCCCAAAACCTCATCATCAAAGTTGATACCCATTCCAGACAGTTGATCTAGGAGCCCTTGAAATTCATTCAAGTGATCTGAAATAGAAGAACTCTCCCTGTACCTCAAATTCATCAGACAATTCAACAAATACAATTTATTGTTCCCTGACTTAGAAGCATACAAGGACTCAATCTTCTCCCACAAAGTTCTAGCATGTGTCTCATTAGCAATGTGATTATATACATTGTCTTCTACAAATTGCCTAATAAAACCACATATCTGCTGATGCTCAAAAGTCCATTCTTCATCAGACATATTTTCTGGCTTCTGAGTAGTAAAGACTGGAAGATGCAATTTCTTCACAAACAACAAGTCTTTCATCTTGCCCTTCCACAAATGATAATTAGTACCATTCAAAGCTACCATTTTTGTATTTGCCTCCATCATTCAAGCAAGTCAAATAATCTCAAAACCAGAGCCCAAAGAGCTCTGATACCACTCTGTTGGGGAAAACCAAACACAAGAACACAATTATCTAAAGTGAGCAGCGGAAACAATTCCCCAAACTTGCAAGAACCTGTGAGGAGCAACAACAATAACAAATGGCAGCAACAAACACAAGGACACAGATAATTATTTACGTGGGAAAACCCTCTCAATGTGAGAAGTAAAAACCCACGGGCTCAAGCCAGTCAATCAAGCTCCACTATAATCAAATGAGGTTACAAGAGAGTCTCAAAATACTGCACAAATTCGTGCAAACAACCAGCTAATACAACCAAGCAATAAAGCCTAACCAAAGAGAGAAAATCTCACAAAACAGAGCTGCTGTTCATACACGATTTCTCTCAGCCAAAACCTCCAATCGACGATCCCAGCGGTCAGAATGAAGAAATATACGTCTGGGAACTACTGTCAAAGTTTCAGCTCAATCCAACGGTTAACTAAGGAGAAATAACAATTTCTCAGCAGCTGGTCTGTGCAGAGTCACCAAAAACAGGGCTTCTGTGCGAAGACAGTATCTCCAACTTCAGACCTCCAATTGACAATCCGAACGGTCAGAATAAAGAGCACCGTGTTACGAATCTGCTGTAAAATTTTCAGCCCGATCCAACGGTTAACTAATTGGATATCAGAGAAATTAAGCAGCTGGTCTGGAGCTTCTTTTCTTCCCTCACTTCCCTTCTCTCTTTTTGATGCCTCTCTCCGAAAATGCTCACACTAGGCTGCGAAAATGGACTTCTCTCACCCACTCCACTGACTTCTCACTCCCCTCAATTAAGTGTGTAGAAAATGAGCTTAAAAATTTGGACTTTTGGACACATAGTTGGGAGTCCAACCCAACAGAATGCCCCACTAACACACCCCCAGTTGGGTTTTTTGCACTTTATGTTGGGGAGGAGCGCCAGAGATATGTGGTTCCAACTCGTTACCTTTCTCACCCTTTATTCAAGATGCTTTTGGAAAAGGCATACAATGAATTTGGGTTTTCGCAGAGGAATGGCCTGGTAGTTCCATGCAGTGTTTCCACGTTTCAAGAGGTAGTCAATGCTATAGAATCCAACAATGGCAAATTTGACCTGGGAAATTTTTTTGTAGAATTTGCTTAAACCGCTTATAATACAAGCTCTTCTTCAATTTTTTTTGCTAGTTTGATAATTATAGCCTTTCTTATATTTCAGGCTATAATTAGATCACACACATTTCTAGTGCATAGCCCTACAATAGGTTGCTTTAACTTCAAATGAAGTTGTTCCTACAAATAGTTTTCAGTTAGAAATTGATCTGACTTGTAAGTGAGTGATTTAGTAGCATTGCTTTATCTTCTGCTCTTGCCTTTAACTTGCTTTTCTGCATTTCTTTTTCTTAATATGCTTTAAACCCTTTTTCTTTCACTAATCACTAATCACAACTACCATCTACTGCCGCAAAGTGGCCTGGCCTTAGTAATCAGTGGCAAGTGGCAATATTTGTGTACTTTTAATAAATCATGACAATTAGTGATTTTTGTTACTATTATTTGTAATTTGCACATCATACACAATTTTCTCTTCTTAAAAATGTATACACAGACAATCCAATTTTTAATGGTTATAATTTAATTCGGTCAAAAGGGTTTTTGAGTGAGACTGAAGTGGTTGAATAAAAAAATTAACCTTATTCTGGTAGTCATCTGAGACAACTTACATAGATTTTTGTAAAAGGATATTCCTTGAGTAATGGCAAATTTTGCTTACGTTTTGTGACTTCATTGAAATTGCATTGTATTTCTATAGTGCTTTTATTATTCTAGGAAGAGCCAACGGATCATGAAGAATCTTCTCCAAAGTAAGATTTTTGAAGAGTTAATAGAGTTCACTTTATGTATTTCACTTGTTACAGATTTTAGCATTTAAAAATGCCATGTAGCTTCCCTGTACTAACACATGTTGATAGTCATGTGATTTATGTTTACAAACATTAATTTTTCTTTTAGAATCATGTTAATATAATGTGATTATGTGGGAGGCTAACATGAACCATACATAAATAAATAAAAATATTTAATACCTCGTTCCTTCATCTTCTCAGACTATAAAGAACACGAAAAGACCAATATAACACATGTTGGAGGCGCTCACAAATCTAGAAGAGCACCGGTGAATGAGAATTGAAAGTATAGGCAACTACTAATTCAAAAGAAGAAAAACGCCTAACTTGTGAAGAAGAAGCTCCAAGCAATTGTCTTACTTCAATCCACTCTATATATATTTTTTATTTGCATCCTCACTTGATCTTGCAAAGTTTAGTTCTTAATGCATTACCAGATCATAGGCAAAAGGCAGGACGGAAAAGCACTCCGTAAAAACCAGATAATAAAACATTGGTTGCATAACAAGTAGATTATAGCACATTGAAGAAGCTATTATTCACACCGTTTTGTTAATATATTTTTAGTCTTTGAAAATATGTTATTATTTTTATTTTAGTCATAGACTAAAATATATTATTTTTACTGAATGTAAGAATTAAAAATAAATAAATTTAAATAAGGATTAACAAAATTAACATGTTTTCATGAATCAAAATGCATGTTTAATTCTTTATAATTTAATCAACTTCACACATTTAAATCACGAAAATTGTATTGAAAAATAATAGACAGACTTCTCATTTATATGGTGCATCCCACCTTTTTCTTTTGGTCGTTTATATTTTATTGAAAAATAATTTTATTAATTTTTTTAATGCATTTCATTTTTAGCTTCTTATTTAGAGTAGCCTCTCTTTTGTGATGGAATCCAAGGGTAGAACTAGAAAAATTTAGGTGAATGAAACACAGTCATCAATATGGCATTTTTTGGTGAAGAAAACTCAAAAGGTGGGTATTTCTTGGTAGAGTCCAGGTCCGCAGAGTTGGGCTGGTTGTTAGAGTAGCCCAATTGAGTTAAATTTAAAAACAAAGAAACGACAATTGGAACAGCGTGAAACGCAAACGAGAGGGGCAAAAACGGTAAGACATGGATAGGTTCGAACACCGTTAGATGTTGACACGATCCCAATCGCTGACCGGTAGATATAAACTAAAAGGAGCAAAGAGAAGAGAAGAAAGAGCGGCTTTCAAAAATTCAAATCTCAAACGCACCACTCTCTGTCCCCGCTCTCACATCACCCCCATTCACATACAAAACACAGAGAAGCACGTTTCAGAAGCCGATCCACCAACGACAATGTCTGGGCGACACGAGAAAGAGAAGGGTGTTAACGTTCAGGTCCTCCTTCGTTGCAGGTATTCCTTCTTCTTTTTCATTTCCTTCATTTTTTCCACATTTCAACTCCAACACTTCACGTTCACGTCTCGCAGACCCTTTAGCGACGAAGAGTTACGAACCAATGCTCCTCAAGTTGTTACCTGCAACGAATACAACAGAGAAGTTGCTGTTTCTCAGAGCATTGCCGGCAAGCACATCGACAGGGTTTTCACCTTCGATAAGGTCCTTCTTAATTAAAATTTTCAGTTTCACTCTATCTCAGATCCAACATATTATAATATCTAAGCTTGAATTTGAGTTTTCGTTTTTTTGAGTTTTGGATGATTTGAAATATGGTGATTGTATGCTGTGTAGGTTTTTGGTCCTTCTGCGCAGCAAAAGGATCTTTATGAACAAGCTGTTACTCCAATAGTTAATGAAGTTTTAGAGGGTTTTAATTGTACTATATTTGCGTATGGTCAAACTGGTACGGGGAAAACTTACACAATGGAAGGGGAATGCAAAAGGTCCAAGGTATGATTAGTGTTTAAGCTCTATCTCTTTATGAAGTGATGTTATTCATAGTGCACATTAATGTAAGTTATTCTATTGACTTTATTTGAGTATTGGACTGCAGAGTGGTCCCAATGGAGAGTTGCCTCCAGAAGCAGGGGTAATTCCTAGGGCTGTTAAGCAAATTTTTGACACACTTGAGAGTCAGAATGCAGAGTATAGTGTGAAAGTCACTTTTTTGGAATTGTATAACGAAGAGATCACTGATTTGCTTGCCCCAGAGGAGATATCGAAGGTTTCTTTGGAGGAGAAGCAAAAGAAGCAGCTTCCTCTTATGGAGGATGGTAAAGGTGGAGTTCTTGTAAGGGGATTGGAGGAGGAGATTGTGACGAGTGCTAATGAGATTTTTACTCTTCTTGAAAGAGGGTCTTCCAAAAGACGAACTGCGGAAACTTTGCTGAATAAACAGTCAAGGCGAGTGTTGCTTTTGCTGCTTTCTCTAATTTTGAGTTTGTGAAATTGAATTTTGACATGTTAATGAGACTTGGTTTTTCTTTTCAGTCGATCACATTCGCTGTTTTCAATTACAATCCACATCAAGGAAGCAACCCCAGAGGGTGAAGAACTAATAAAATGTGGAAAACTTAATTTGGTGGATCTAGCTGGATCAGAAAACATTTCTCGTTCCGGTGCTAGGGAGGTAATACATCATCAGCATACCATTTTTCTAGTATTCTATACATTATGGGAATTTCCTAATGAACTACGTTGAATTAAATTTGTTAGGGTCGTGCAAGGGAAGCTGGGGAAATTAACAAAAGTTTGCTTACTTTAGGGCGAGTGATCAATGCGCTGGTGGAGCATCTGGGTCATGTTCCTTACAGGTTTTTATTTTGGGACTCTTGATAATGCTTCATTCTTTGAGTCTACGACAGTATCTTTGTGTACTTACACGGATAAGTTTGTATTTTAGGGATAGTAAGTTGACTCGTTTACTACGTGATTCACTTGGCGGAAGAACCAAAACATGCATCATAGCGACAGTGTCTCCTGCTGTTCATTGCTTAGAGGAAACTTTGAGCACACTGGATTATGCACACAGGGCAAAGCACATAAAAAATAAGCCCGAGGTTCGTTATCGATTGAATGTCATTAGAGTTGAGGATGCTAATGAATGCACACATCTTTAGCAATATTGATGTAGCTTTCGGTAGTACTTTTACGGGGATTTTATGAGTAATTTATTTGACCACATTTGTATTGTACATTAATGATACATCTGTATGACTAAAAATATGATAATCACTTATAATAAAATTCTTAAACATAATTTTGGGTGGTCAAAATCTTATGGATATTGGTTCTCTCAATGCATTTTGTTCAAGTGTGTGTGTAGTGCTTTTAGAGTCATTTTCTTTTTCAGAAAGGACCTGTTACTGTCAAGTTAGCTCTAGTTTGGCACTTGATTCTTAGATAAGATATGCAGGATGGTTTTAATTTTTCTTTTATGTAATTCATTGCCATGCCTTAAAGCATTTTTTTACACCTCCCTTTTTCTTTTCTTTTTTTTCAGGTTAACCAAAAAATGATGAAATCAACACTTATCAAGGATCTTTATGGTGAAATTGAACGCCTTAAGGCAGGTGAGTTGCTTTGTTGATTTTCGGTTGCTAAAGTAAATAGCACTTGGGTTCTTCAGATTTCTTGCTGAATTGTCTTGTTATTGATGAAAATCGTTAAATTTGTGACTTCGACCAGAGGTTTATGCTACACGCGAGAAAAATGGAGTCTATATTCCAAAGGAAAGATACTATCAAGAGGAGAGTGAGAAGAAGGTAATTTTTTTTTCTCTTCCTTTTTTTCTGTTACGTTTCCGTTGCAAAACGAATAATTCATCGTATATTCATCAAGAACAGTATCTTTCTGCTGCTGAGAGCATAGAAGCCATTTTGTTTAGTGCCTTGGACATTTATAGCTTTCTAGCTTGTGTTTTCTATTGTTCATTGATAGATACGAATTGGTTCGATGTTTATTTTCATGGTCTGGTTTTTAAAATCACTTTTCTAAGGCCCTTCCATTGATGCACGCTTTCCTTCTGTTTAGGCTATGTCAGATCAAATTGAGCAGATGGGGATCACAATAGAAACTCAACAGAAGGTTTGTTTTTTGAAAAACTATTATCTATAGAAGTTAAGACGGGCCTACTTCTTGTTCCTGTTATGCTTAACTTGTTTTGTATGTTTCAACTAGCAATTTGAGGATTTGCAAAACAAATACGTTGATCAAGTTCGGCAGTGCTCTGATTTGAGCAACAAACTTGATACTACTGAGGTGAGTTATCGAAGTTTTTGTTCTTTAATTGTTATGAAATTGTGCATGCTTCTTATTGGTAAGTGGTGATAAACAACACAGAAAAGCTTACACAAGACTAGCAAGTTGCTTGCTAACACAGAGGAAGAATTGAACAAATGTCAGTATACGCTGAAAGAAAAAGACTTCATCATTTCTGAGCAGAGAAAAGCAGGTATGCCGTATGCATGGTTGTGTTTCTATCATTATTTCTTGTTTAATGTTCCTCTGTGATAATGTTAACTACGTGCCACAGAAAATGCTCTGGCTCATCAAGCATGTGTTTTAAGAGCTGATTTGGAAAAAGCTCTTCAGGATAACGCTTCATTATTTTTGAAAATTGGTAGGTCTTATTCTGTACTATGCTTTGATTAACTAAGAATCAGAGATATATTTAGTAACTTTTTTTTATCTCTCTTTTAATTGTATAGGTAGAGAAGATAGATTGAACTCAGATAACAGAGCTGTGGTGAACAATTTTCAAGCGGAGCTCTCTCAGCAGGTTGGTTCACTTTGCAACACTGTTGCAACATCGTTGTCTGAACAGAATGAAAATCTAAAAGGCGTGGAGAAGCTCTGCCATTCTTTTTTGGACATTCACGATGAGGTGGGTACATCAAATATTCAATACGGGTACTCCTGTTGGTGGCATTCTTTCAAGCTTTCTTCCAATTTTCTTGAATCTGTCTTTTTTTTCTTTTCGTATTTTCATATTATGTTATATTTTATTTTTAAATTTTCTTAATCACCTTTTTGTTTCTTTTAGGCGGTTATTGATTTGAAAAAGAAAGTGGCTGCTCTAAGAGCCTTGTATATATCTCATATAGAGGCAGTGCAAAATGTTGTGCGCTTGCATAAGGCTAGCTCCGATGCTACCTTGGAGGAACTGTCATCTGTTATATCGTCTAATGGTCATTCTATTGAAGAAGTATGTTTTAAATGTTCCAACTTATTGTTTCTAATTTTACTCTCATGTGTTTTTCACTTCTTTTATATTCATTTAAACACTAATACAGAACTTCTAATCATGTTGAATCAGTTTCTTGCATCCGAGACCACCGAAGCGGGTTCAATATTTGATGATCTTCAGAGTTCTCTTTCTACTCAGCAGGGTGAATTGGCACTTTTTGCTCGGGAACTACGCCATGTATGTGCTTCAACTTTCCTTTTGTATATCTAATTGTAATTTTTCTCATTTTTTACATCTTCATGTTCTGTTCTGTTCTGATTAATGTTCCTTATCTACTTTTGGCTCTGTTATGTTATGACTAATGTTCTTCGTAAATAAAAGAGATTCAATCTCAGTGTTGAGCAAATAAACGATATCTCTCAGCGCTCTGAAGAATTTGTGAATAAGCTTTCCGAAGAATCAAAAAAGCTTGAAGACTACGCATCACAAGCTGACCAAATGCAGATAAGGAGCATTGATGAGTTTAGGAAAGCTTACGAGGTTATAACATAATATTAACTTGTATTGTTTGAAGGATGGTTATGTTTTTTGGCATCTGATATGGACATCTTATTCTCTTATTTACAGGAGCAATCAAGATGTGATACAGAGAAACTTATTGCTGATATGACTAATTTGGTCTCTGATCACATTCGTCGACAAATGGATTTGGTCAGTTTTTGGTTTTCATATTACTGCCCTTATTATTTAAGTCCCTGATGGGGTTTTTTTTGTGGGGCCCGGGTAAATTTAATGGTCTTTCATAGAGATTGATGATCGGTCTTGCAGGTAGACGCAAAGCTTGTTGATTTTAGAGAGAGTGGCATCAGGAACAAGTCATTCTTGGATGTACACGTGTCATCGATGGGAGATATTGTAACCCATGCAAAAAGGAAATGGCAGGCCTTTTGCGTGCAAGCAGAAAAAGATGCGAAAGACACTGCTGATTATTCTGCAGCAAAGCATTGTCGTATGGAGGGACTCATGCAGCAGAGGTAACTGTTATTTCCCCAAGTTCTATTGATGACTCTCCTCTCACTTACAGTCGTACTAATTCCCTTCGAAATTCTTCAGTGTTAATACTGCTCAATCGGCTTTTGAACATGCAAAGAAGACACACGATGCTGTAAATGCGATGGGAACCAAACACATTTTAGCAGCAGAGTCACTTATCAGGTGTGTGAGGCGAACTGATCGCGTCATAATTATCTCTTATTTTTTCCTTGGCCATATTAATAGCTTCCTGCGATGTGATATGGATTACTTTGGTACAGGAATGCCACTGATAGCAATTTTCAACATGTCATTGAGGTCAATTCTACACGGTCTGCAGCAGAGGAAGATGTGGCAAAGAACAGTGATGATTTTCTTGAGCAGTTCGATGGTGAGCATTGTGTGCTGGATCTTGGTCTTTTGATTCAACATTCAGCAAGATTTATCTTCTACAGCTAAAGTTGTTTGTTTGGTCATGATTACTTCCAAATAGCTTCTTTTTTTTGTGATTAAATAGTTAATACTGCATGCAACATAACTAACACAATCTAACAAACATTTAACAGGGCCTGCACTATCTCACCGTTGTTTTTTTATTATGTATCAATCATTTTTCTTGGGGTGTATTTTTTGCAGTCACGGCTGCACAAGAGCGGGAGTCCATTAGTGGCGTGTTAAATATGGTGAGAACTCATGCAAATGCACTCGAGACGTTAAGAGAGGATCATACTGGCCAAGCTGCTTCCATTGAACACAGGGCTTGCGACACTTTTCAACAGCATTACAGGGTAGGTTGACTTCGGTATTCTATATTTTTAAGATCAAATTTAAAGAGACATCGTTAACACCACTTGGCAATTTTTTATCGTTCAAAGATTATTTAGCATTTATACAATGTTTGGTGTTGTGCTATCTCTGGTGTCTTGCAGGACTATGAGCCTAGCGGTACAACACCAATAAGAAGTGAGCCTGATGTTCCCACGAAAGTAACTATAGAGTCTCTTCGATCTTTGCCAATGGAAGCCCTTCTTGAGGAATTCCGGGAAAATAATCCATATGAACATGAATGTTCTGATGTAAAGGAGTTGAAACCATCGCTTATTCCACGTTCTCCTCTTAGCCAGCTGAATTAGTGGTGGTAGGAACTTGCTCTGTTGGGTCCTTTCATGTAGTCAAATTTGTATTTCTATTTGTACCATCACATTGCTTTTGTTACCATCAATTGTCCGAAGAATGCATCACTGGTTGATAGGATGTAACGTGACATCTAGGGCAAAGTACTCCTGTAATCCCACCTTGGGATGAAATATAGATTAAATAATGTTTATTTTTACGTAAGCGAGCATGAGGTTAATTTTTATTCTTCCTGTCAATTTTTTGGCACTTGTGAGGATGGGTATATGTACTTGCTTTTGTGTGTCGGTAGGGAAGAGTCCTTTGAAGTTTCTCAAGAACACTTCTTTTTCCGTTCTGCAACTCAGGTAGAATTTTATCCTAATAATATGTATAATATTTAATATAATTTTTTTATTAAAATAAACTTTTAATTTTTAACTGATAAACAAAACTAATAGCATTTATTAAACAACGCATAGACTTTGAAAGTGGATTTTGCAACTTTTATATGATACATGGCAATATCAGTTTAATTTTGATTTTAACTTTTAAGTACAATATTTATAACAAATTTTGCCCATAATAGTTTTTGGCAACTTGAAAAACTGAGATTAATTTTGGCCATCAATGTTATTCACTAATATTGTTTCTATTTTTAAAATTAACAACTTTAAAATATAACTAGTGATGACTATTTTAATTACCATATGTAAAAATGTTTGAAAAAATAAAATTTAAATCGTCAACTATTTTAATGGTCCTTGAAATTATGAATTTGAAACTTGTGAATTAAAAGGATAAAAACTGAAAAAAAAAATCTTTTTAATCCACCCATTTTTGTTTAGTTTAATACATTGATTGAGTCTAAAAAAATGTAAAGTATGCTGAAATTTGAATTTGATGTACTAAAATTTTCTTATACTGAAATACCATATTAAATTATTATTTTATTTTATAAAGTGTTTGTTTTGATATCTATAATATATTTTTTAATTAAAATATTAATTTTATTATTTATTTGTATAAAATTAACAATAACGATTATTTTATGCATAAAAGAAGATATTAAACTCTCTCCATCATAGGAGATATAATATATTTTGCCAATTTTAAAACTAACATTTTATTTACACTTAAATTTATTAAATAATACAAATAATGTCATTAAATAGTTTAAAAGTTTACACTAGTAAATACAAAATTCTGAAAAATATTGTTATCGTTCAACTTTAAAGGGTCATGTCCTGTGGATTCTGGCCTCTGATCAATGTGTCGAGTCCTCAACGGATTTCCAGTACGAGGTGGTTGTTCTTTATCTTCTGAACTGAATGTATTGGCTGTATCAAAGATTGCGTCCGATGCACACTGTACTATGTGGGTGCACTGTCATGTAGCACTCTCATCACTTTCACCTGATCTTGAATCCAATAACTGTTTCGAACTTGCCATGTCTTCCAACTTTTTCTGAATGCAAATTGACATCAATTGCATGATAGATGCCAAATATGCAATAGAGTGTAATATATTGCTGTGAAATATTTTTTATTATTATCATCGTTATGTATCAGCACAACGAAAAGAAAACTGTATGTAGTATCTACATGTTTAGTGCACAACTACGAACTATATATAATATAGTTTAATAATACTTTATGCCATCTTTTTTTATCCTTTCTATTCTTTTTTCTCTTTGCATCTTAGTGAGATGATATTGTATAATAACAAAGGACGAGAGTTACATAATATATAAGCTCCTTTTGGATTTCTTTAACTAAAATGATAAGTTATAAGTGTTGCATGCCATAGCAAACGAAGTTGGTATCTACGATGTGTTTCCTTTTTATCAATTAATATTATATAAAGATAATTTTTACGTTGCTTTCAAAATTAACAAGACATTCTCGATATAAAATAATCATTATCGTTAATATTATATTAAATATATATAATAGACAGTAAGAATTTATAGTTTATTTTAAAAATATATAAATATTTTTTAAAAAATATTATAATAATTATAATTATTGATTTAAAAAATATAAGATATTTTTTCAAATTTATTAACACTTTATATAAAACAATATCCTGAATAAAATATCTGAATCAGCAATTCATAAATTAAGCTTTTAGTTAAAAAATATATATATAAACGATACTATGTTATAAATCAAATACACAAAAAATAGAAAAGATAAAAATATAAAAATATGTAAGTTGTACATGACATTTATAAAATAGTAATCCTTTTAAGAAATGGATGTGAAATTGTATAATCTCATGTCTTATAAATATTATTTAGGCAATGCAAAACATCCTTTCAACCGTAAGCAGCTTTAAAAATAAAATAAAATCGTTATATAAATTAGTTTCAATGGATAGATAGAAATTTTTAAGCAATGACAATAAGCGGATGAAAAATATTTCTCGAACAATTATAAGAATACACTTTTAATATCTTTTCCTAATTAACATGTATTTTTAATATATATATATATATATATATATAATAATGAAATTAATATTATATATAGTATTTTGTAATGGTTTAAATAATGAAAACGATTTTAAATTGGTGGGCTGCTCTTAATTATTTATTCTTTCTCTTACGGGTGTCGGAAAATAAATGAATCCAATGAAAAATTTAAATATTCAAGATGAAAATATAAAAATTATATAAACAGAAAAAAATAGAGACATACAGTCACAGTGACTTTCTTTTTAATGTATTTTCTAATAACTTTGGTTGTGGATGCTTGTTCGATTAAATATGATTAGTCCGAAAGCTAATTAATTAACATTATTATACATTAGGGGTAGCATAAAAGCTTAAGTCCATTAATTAATAGCTTTGCAGTAACAATTCGGATGAAGATGGATAGAAAAAAAATAAAAATGTGATAAAATAAGAAAACATGAGTATAATAATCTCTTATGTGATATTTCATGTGTACCACATAACTTAATAAATAAATTATAAGTAAATAATAAATTTATTTTAAAACAATAATAATAATAATAATATTAAAAACAATAATTAAGAATGTTCACAATTTAGTTTAGTTTAAATTTAAGAGAAAATTAAAATTAAAATATCAAATCAAATTAACTTAATTAAACTAAATGAATATAATTAAGATTAGTAAAACGAAAGCTGATTGGATTAATTTAGTTCAATTTTAAAATTTTTTTTAGCTAATTTGAACTAAACCAATCTGATTAAGATAGGGTTAGTTTAGTTTAGGTCGTTAAGTTAGGATAGAAAATAAATTATTATATTTTAGAAATTTTATTCTTACATAATATTCATTATAAGAAAATAACAAAAAAAAAATTCATTATATGAAAGTTTAAATTCAAAATTTCTTTAAATTGATTTTTTTTTTCAAAATAAATAATAATTAACTTGAGATTCACTATAAGCATTTAGTTACTGGTATTATATCATGTTGATTTTGATTTTTATGTGTGTGTGATCATTCTTGTGCTTTGACCATCATTCTCACCTGCGGCTAAACTTAAACTCTATATAAAGGGTACATTATGCATCACTACCTACTACACTTTTCATATACTATTATTAAAATTTATATTAACTCTAACGTTAGAATACCCTGTTAAGTATTTCATTTTTTGCTTCATATTTCCATGGCCTTTGAGAGATCAAGGTTGAGGAACAGACAATATAAATGGAAAAAAGAAAAAATAATCAAATACTAAAGTTCAAAATGTACAAATTTTAAACTTAAAAAAAAAACGATAATGTTAAGTTAATTCAAGTCGAGAACCAACTTGATTGCACTTGATTTGTTTTTGGGTTTGAAAATTGAAAAACAAATAAAAAACTGGTAAAAAAAAGAGGCAACAGAAGATAAATAAAGATAATTTCATCAAACTACCTTCCCCTATTTAAATTCCTACTATAAGCATATAAATTAAAAGTAGATAATGATGGGTAAAAAAAACGAATAAGATATCCGGGTAAATTCTATACAGATTTTTTTTTTTCAAAATGTATATTCTTAGTTAAAATTCAAAGGAAGTAACCACACATTATCATGTACCGTAGACTAACATGTATTCAGCTTCATCGTTAGCACTTGGTCTCCCCATCTTTCCAAGAAAATCGCCAAAACACTGACAAAGACTACTACGTATCTTTTTTTAGGGTTACCACAGCAGTTCCTATTTTTTATCTGTGTCACTGACTTCCTCCTTTTTGTATTTCACTCTATAAATAATGGCAATCTATTCTTATATTTCTTCGTGCTTTATATTTCCATGACTTTTTTTCTTCTCATTTGAGACCATCCCACACAAATCTCCTTCTACATTGTTATATTTGATCTTGTTTATTGCTCTTTTTTCTAATGGTTTTCCCACAGTGTCTCACAACCTTTCTAGCGCTTTTCTCGTTTATTGTGTTACTGATCAACAATGGCGTTGAAGCCTCTCATAAAATATACCCTCATCTCCAATCCGTTTCAGCAATTTCGGTGAGCGAAGTTCACAGAACTGGATACCATTTTCAACCTCCTAAGAACTGGATCAACGGTTCGTATAATTGTTTTTAGCAAATGTTATTCTTATCTTCTTGCGTTTGTTTTAGTTTGCCCTAGATAACTATTTATATGATACTTTTTAACATATTATTTTAATTATTAAACAACATAAAAATCGTGTCAATCTTACTCTTAATTTAAGAGTCTTATTTGTATTCAGTCATTTTTAATAAATTAAAAATCGTACCTTTTAACACTCACATGTGTTAACTTATTAACACACACACATGTATATGAATGATGATTTTGCTTTCACAACAAAAAGAGAGGAGAAAAAGTGGATGGGCTGTGAGTTTTGGTTGAATGCAACATAACAAAGGAATCTTTTGATATACTGAACTGAATGGTATGGGAACAATCCACAGGGTGTTCAAGCCAAAATTTTGATGCGAAAAAACGGTTATTATGTGCATAACTATCTTTTTGTTCCAATTTTTTATGCGGTTACGATTGATATGCGAAAAAATGGTTATTATGTTCAAGCCAAAATGATATGGAATCTTGAGAATATCTCTAATGGTGTTTTTTACATTTTTATTGTCGTTGATACAGTTAGGTGTAAAGGTATTGCTTCGTGACATAGAACACATGAAATTAACATATGTTGGTTTAGAACTTTGATTTATAAATACTTTAATATAATTTATATGCTGCTTTGAAGGTTAAGAAAATATTTTATGATATCTTTTAATTTTTAAAATATTAGAACAATCACAAATAAAATGCTCTTTCAAGTTTATAGATATGGCAGTTAATATTATATTTTAATAAATTTAATAATTATTTAATATCATTTATTTTTATCATTTCTCTATTTTTCATTACTTCCCATCATCTATTATAACTATAACATTCTTCTCTACCAAGTTAATATGATGCCTTTTGCATGGCTTTGTATAATAGTCCAAATATTAATGATGCATGCGAAACTCTTGTATTGGATATGAAGCTGGAATATATAAACCTCTTTGTGTTAGTGCTGTGTAGATTTGGGTGAGTTGGAAGTGGGGAAGGTCGGTTTGTTATTTATGTTTAATTGTATTCTCTGATGTATACAGTGGTTATGTGGTATAGCAATTCGGACTTTTGTTAAGATAGTGACACAAAATAGAAGATGATGTGTTCCATGTTTTATAAACATTTTTTAATTAAAAATAAAAACAATTTAAAATTATAAACAATTTTTTAATACTGTCAGGAGACAATTTTTAATGGTTCCTTTAGCTTTTTCTGTGTATTTTCAGTATATATATATATAAATTAATTACATGTAGTATTTTTTTAATTATTTAAATAAAAATGATTAAAAATCACTTTGTACTATTTTTTTTTATTAAAAATTACATTGTTATCTTTTCAACTACACATGCTGTCATAGTAAAGGGGTTGAAAAAAGTGACTCTGATTATCATTATCTCGTATTAACTATATGTATTGCACTCAGTGCGCAAATCATTATCTCTCTATTCCTCCTATTTCAAATTAAGTGATATTTTAGTAAATAATAAATATTTCATTTTTTAAATATTGTGAGTCAATTTTAATTAGTGGTCATTATTATTTAGTTTTAGCTGTTTTTTATAATCTATAAAATTCTTTTTTTCCCTTAATTATATATATATATATATATAATCACATTTCCATTTTTTTTTCCTTCACCTACTCTACACCCACAAAAATTGATATCAACATGTAATTTCTCTAATCCACCGGTTTCTATTGCAATGTTTATAAATGAGCTTGTTGTTCCATAGATAGGTGGGAGTCTATTATGTAATTCCACATTTTATTGGTCTTGTTATCTACAAATTACCGGTTACAATTAGGAGTTTCACATCGTGTCATTTGTCACGAATTCGTTTCTTTCTTCTTTTTTTTCAAATGGGAAAAGGGGGTTTAATTAATCTGTATATGCTGAAACTTTTCTTTCGTCGGCCTCAAACACGGAAACTCTTACACTTTGATAACTTTGTATATCAATTTTAACAATAGAATTTAACATTTTAATTTAAAAATGTATAATTTCATTCATTAATATTACATTAAAGAACACAACTTGAGTGTAGTATTTTAGGCATTTTTATATTATTTTTTAGTTATTAGAGTTTTATTATAATAATTAACATCGAAATTTAATGTCATGTTTTTTGTATGAGAAATTAAGTGAAAATTAAATTTTAATAAAAAATATTATATAAAAAAAAAACTTAAAATCAGTGCACTTTAGTTTTATCTCAGCTAAATGTGTCATACATGTTTCTTTACATTTATATTCTGACAATCTTGAGTTATTAAAATATAGGCTCCAAAACATCTTCCTTAGTTTTCATTACCAAATTACCTGTAATGCTAACTTTTTTCGCTTTCTAATCCATGGCACCTAAATTGCTGTGATGGATGCATCAATCGAGTGCAGATCCAAATGGTAAGTGAATATTTAATTTCAGTTTATTTTATAATGACCATTCATATATTTTTATAGGACCATCTCGTATTAATAAATGGCAACAACACAGGACCCATGTACTACAATGGATACTACCATTTGTTCTACCAGTATAACCCCGAAGGCTCTGTGTGGGGTAACATTGTATGGGCCCACTCAGTATCAAAGGATCTTATCAATTGGAAAGCACTTGAACCCGCAATTTACCCATCTAAACCATTTGACAAGTTCGGGTGTTGGTCCGGGTCAGCCACCATTGTGCCGGGTAAGGGACCCGTGATCCTATATACGGGAATTGTTGACGAGAATAACACTCAAGTGCAATGCTATGCCATACCCGAAAATGCATCCGACCCGTTTCTTCAAAGATGGGTGAAACCCGATGAATTCAACCCGATTATTGTGGCGGGTAAAGCCGTAAACGGCAGTGCGTTCCGTGATCCAACAACTGCTTGGTGGAGCGAAGATGGGCATTGGAGGATATTGGTAGGTAGTAGAAGGAAACATAGAGGGATGGCTTATTTGTATAGGAGCAAAGATTTTATGACATGGGTTCGGGCCAAACACCCGATCCATTCCAAGAGCACAACGGGTATGTGGGAGTGTCCCGATTTTTACCCAATTGCAATAGGAGGGCAAGAGGGGTTGGATACATCGGTTGAAGGGAATCATGTTAAGCACGTGCTAAAGAATAGTCTTGATATGACTAGGTTTGAGTACTATACATTAGGAACTTATTCTCCTGAAGAAGATAAGTATATCCCGGATAACACTTCAGTGGATGGTTGGGGTGGCCTTAGGTATGATTATGGCAATTTTTATGCTTCTAAGTCATTTTTTGACTCCAGCAAGAAACGAAGGGTCTTGTGGGGTTGGGCAAACGAGTCTGATTCCAAGGAGGACGATGTTCGCAAAGGATGGGCAGGAATTCAGGTAGCTTATATATATATATGCATTGCCTTGATTGAACTTATTGGGTTCTTATTAATATAACTATTTTTAAGAATTTAATTTCATGCATTGGCATGCAAAAATATGCATTCCTAGGTTATTCTTGCATACGGCTAACATTTATGAGGGGATGTGCGTACGTAAACCATGGAAAAGATTTTGTTTGCATAGGAGGTTCTTTTCTTTTCTTTTGGGTACATGGGAGAAAAGAAATATGATGATGCAAGTGCAACTACAAGTCATTTTTTTTATGCTTATGCTACTTAAGGAGTTTAAATATGCATGTCTGTGTATGTTAAAATAATTAGGCGATTCCGCGCACCTTGTGGCTCGACTCAAATGGGAGACAACTGGTACAATGGCCTGTTGAAGAATTAGATAGCCTTAGAGAGAAAGAGGTTAAAATGAACAGTGAAAAGCTTGAACTGGGAAATTATGTTGAAGTCAAAGGAATCACTGCTGCCCAGGTAAGATTCTTAAGCAAGCATTAATGTGTTGGTTTAGATACATATAATGAAATAAAACTAATGATATTTTATAATTGCAGGCAGATGTAGAAGTTACTTTCTCATTTTCAAGCTTGGATAAAGCAGAAGCTTTTGATCCGAAGTGGGTAAATGCACAGGATCTATGTGCCCAAAAGGGTTCCAAAGTTCAAGGTGGGGTTGGACCATTTGGGCTTCTAACTTTGGCTTCTGAAAAATTGGAGGAGTTCACTCCTGTGTTCTTCAGAATTTTCAAAGCTTCAAACAATCACGTGGTTCTCTTATGCTCAGATGCCAGAAGGTTTGCCTAATTCAAATTGGAATGAGAACTATTTTTCTTTTTCCTTTCACTTATTTTACCTAAACTTATTATTTTTAATTTTTGTTTTGCCATTTCTAAACAGTTCTTCTCTGAAGAGTCATTTGTACAAGCCTTCATTTGCTGGCTTTGTAGACGTGGATTTAGATACTAAGAAACTTTCTCTTAGGAGTTTGGTACGTGCAAATTCAACCATTGCTCCATTTGGTGCTCACATATAACATTTTGATTTCCAAGAGTTACCACCCACTATTAATTGATTAATGTTCTTTGTTGTTTGAATTGAATGGCAGATTGATCACTCAGTAGTGGAGAGTTTTGGAGCAGGAGGGAAAACAAATATTCTGTCTAGGGTTTATCCAGAGCTAGCGGTGAAGGATCAAGCCCACTTATTTGTGTTCAACAACGGTACTGAGCCAATCACCGTAGAAAACCTCAGAGCATGGAGCATGAAAACAGCTGATATAAATTGAACACAGCCAGAAGTCAAAAAGTTTTTTTGGTTTATGAAATACAATGTTTTCAACATTTTTGTGGCGTTGTCTTTATTTTTGTTTTAAGAAACACGTTTTCAATATTATGAAAAATAGTTTATTTTTGTTTTTAATTTATTTTAATAAATTTCATCGTAAATTCTAACACAAGTTATTATTTAAAAAATTTAATTAAAACAAGTAATTAAATAAACGATGATTCAAATACACGCGTTAAGGATAACGTATTGACTTTAACAGGATACCGTTTGGATTACTTCGCAAATAGTTTGCAGTTCCGTCCCATGGACATAATTCAGAGTCCCAATCCCATTACCGACCCCAGTAATTAACCAGCTCCCTCTATTAGATGTTAGAAAATCACGTATACCGCTACAAAACATGGTTTGAACCGGATTGTGACTGTTCCATTAAAACTTCAGATTTTAATTCTTGAAGTTAAATCTCCTTTATAGTATAAATAAATAAAAAATTAATAAAAACTTAGACTACAAAAATTTTAAAATAACACAAAATAAGACCAAAACATAATTACATATTTTTAAGGTAAAGATAAGTAATTTAAATTGTTATAAAAATTCAGTAAAAAATTTTATGTGAAAGAATAAAAATTAAATTTATAATCTTCACAAATACCCTTCAAAAATTACACAATAAAAAAATTAAAAATATGCAAAACAATAGTGTTTTACGTTAGTGGTGAAAAACATTTATCAACTTTATAATCAATTTCCCTTTTTACAATGTGAGTCTTATTTGTCCAAAAACAAATAAAAGTCTTCATTATATTTTTAGTTTCTTAATTATAATTAATGTATAGTTTTAGCCTCTAACAACTTTTTGCTAATTGAACTCAATCCTGAATTTTAATTGATACAATCATATCTTTTTATTTGGCTTTCACCTAAAACTCAAAAAACTAATATTTTCTTTCAAAATTTCCATTAACCTAGTAATTATTTATTTTACTGATTGGGAAGCGAAATTGTTGACCTAAAATCCTTACAGAGAAAGTCGCTGAATTGTTTGACTTTTGCTCATATATACCTTAAGGTTATGAACTAATAATAAAAAATTGTTATTGAAAATTATGATGAGTGAGTATTAAAACTTATTGTGAAATAAAAGTTATAATACATCTCAATAAAAACTTTTCTTTATAGTACACCACGTTGAATTATTTTAAAAAAACGTTCAAATGCATCCCTTAATTTGTATATGGACATTAAACATTGGCATTAATAATACTAAAGCATAGATTGTAAGTATAACCTTGAAGGAAAACAACCTTGTTACAGTTAGAATTAATGAGGTCATGAAGAGAGTATTGGATTATAAATACTTCTTTTATCCTACTTAAGTAAAACTATTTTGAACCGCTTAAATTTATTAATAAATTGTACAATTTTTTTATAAGTGTATAAGTTAGTTTCTCTAAGCATGAAACAATAATTCTTGTTGAATAAGAGTAGTTGATAATTTATATAGCTGCAATGAACATTAACCTACGCGTTTCTAACCAACTAACTTCTTGAATCCAATTGATTTAATAATTAAAAAAAAAAACCCTTGTCTGAATCTTATAAAATGTGCGCTCTATGCAGATATATAAGATTATTACGATGATGACTATTACACATTTTTCTTCTTGTACAATCAATGATTCAGCAGCCCCAATGCATTCTACACCGATCAAAATAGTTGGATATATTTTAACGGGTAGCCCTGATATGAACTCCTATGTTCAATCAAATGATTTAGCTCTGGAAATACATCGGCAAAAAAAGTTGAGACAGAATTCTAACCAATATGGCCCGGATCTGAACTTACGCTCATAAATGGCAAGACCAGTTTGTACATTTTCAAATTTCAGAATCTAATTATAACAACTCAAAACATTATGTTGCCTGTCATACACTCGCTACAATTTGAACTGTTTAACTCTACACGTTATCCATTATGCATTCAGTATGGCGATTATAGCAATAGAAAATACTGATTCATTTTTGTATAAATATATAGCTGGGACAAGAGGTGCATGAGGAAACATAAACCGGAACTCAAGAGATCACAATGTCATCCCAACAATATAATTGACCATACAAAAACCACGTCCAAAAACTGCTAACATTAATTAAAACGAGAAATATTCAACAGTAGTTATGTAAATAAAAGAACCCAGTCCCAGTCTAACATAAAGAAAGAAACAAGATCAGCCAGAATTTACTTGATCTTCTTCTTTGGCCTCAACTGCAAGTGAGAAACAAAATAAATGGCGATCAGCCTCTAACCGCATAGCACATCAATAAGAATAAAGCATAAAAGTTCAACATCAAATCCATGGCCTAAAACATAAATGTGGGATAAATAACCCATAGACTGACCTGATTACTATGACCACACTTCTTTTTGCGGCAGTTTACAGCCCTTGGATGCAGACGAGCGTAGCATCTAACAAACCAAACAACATAAAAACATTGGTAAAAATTACTGCTTGTGAAGCTTGAAACTTTTTAAAATCCATCGTTAGTCTCAAACATTGCAAAACGACCTTCATTTTAATCTCTTTTGTGGAAAGGACAATAAAACTGGAATGAAAAAGAATTAAAAATGAATTTTTTTAGCAAAACAGAGACTAAAGGATGATTTTTAAAATCTCAAACAAAAATGTTTGATTCATGCATTCTCTATTTCTAATTCGAGTGTTCACTCAAATAAAAATAAACCCTCAGTAGTCAACAACTAATGGATGATGAAGTTGTAAAACATAAGAAATGGGAATGATAAACATGAGCTTAGATAAAAACAAAGAAACCGAAAAAGCTAATATATTAGATGTACCAGCGGAGAAAATCAACTGCGAGTAAGGAATCACAGTTGACAAAGTTAAAGATGGATATGGATATAGGGAACAAGAATAACCCCTATTGCACTATAACAGCAAAAGGGGCTAAGTTATTGTCCCATAAAAGGAAGGTAGAGAATGGATGGAGGGAACATACTTGCGACAGATCATCTTGTCTTGGTTGTACTTGCGAGCCAAGGCCATCAAGGAGGGCTCAATGATGCCACCGCGAAGCCTGAGAACAAGGTGGAGCGTCGATTCCTTCTGGATGTTGTAATCTGCTAAGGTCCTTCCATCTTCAAGTTGCTTCCCCGCGAATATCAAACGCTGCTGATCCGGAGGAATCCCTGTAATTATTGAACGCAGAGTATTGATGAAAAGGAAAAATTGGAAATGTCATGCTATGAATGAATTGAGTTTGGGATTGTGATGAGTACCTTCTTTGTCTTGAATCTTGGCCTTCACATTGTCGATGGTGTCGCTGCTCTCGACCTCGAGGGTTATGGTCTTCCCCGTTAGGGTTTTCACGAATATCTGCATCTTTGCCGCTTTGCCGCTTTGCCGCTTTGCCGCTTTGCTGCTTCACTTCTCCACTCAACTAAGAGATGAAGAGGGTGCCAACCATTTTATATCTCGGTTTCTAGGGTTTCCTATTCGCTACTCACCATTGTCATTGCTGTTCAAATGGATTTCGACCCAAAAGCTCTTTCGTATTGGGCTGCTGTTCCTGTGGCCTGCTTCGTGGCTTTTCACCATAAACAAGTCTATACCAATAATATCAATAAATATTTATATATATTACATGGAAACCTCTAGTATATATATATATATATATATCAACTATTGATTTATGTTATTTATCTTAATAATCATATCTATAAAATTACATGCAATTTAAATATTTTAATATGTAATTTAATTCTAATTATTTACTTATATTTTGAATAACATATTGTACGAGATAGTAAAATATTGGTTAATTTTTGAATTTTATGAATATTTCAATTGTTTAGATTGATAAAATTTAATTTTCTTAAAATAAATATTAATAATATGATTGTAGTAAATTTGATGCACAATATAATTTAATCATGTTTCATGCTAGTGTAGTAGATACAGAAGAAAAATATATCAATAATGAGTTGACGTTTGTTTATTTATTATTATTTTATCAACTAATAGAATATACATTTATTTAAATTTTCTAACTCTAATCAAGTATGAGACGAAAATATTTATTCAAAGGTGATTAACCTTCCCATTAAAAATACAAAAAGGAAAAAAAGACCCATGGGACATACTAGTATTATTCTATAATAAAAGCAAACATGTATTTTTCTAATTCATCTTAACTCTTTGAAATGTTCATAATCAAGTTCTAAAACAATATGAGGACATTTCGCTTATTAAAGATCACTATAACAACTAAAGGGATTGTATTCGAGTCGTATCCATGATTAAATGGTATAAATTCGTACCTACGCACTACGCATCCATGAACATTAAACACACCTAAAATAAGCCTCAGTACGTGAACATGACAAATATGAATGCCCTTCTGGGTTTTATTCAATTGTGGAGCGGTATCAAAATCAGCGCAAATATGTTCGCCGATACAATGAATTGTATGCATATTTTTTCGTAGTTGATAAATTGTATGCAATTAATATGCTCTTACAGAACATCATCTTCTCCTTATTGTTAAGAATTTCGACTCTGGGCACAACAATTTTCAACGATGGATACCCCATAGTCCAACTAAAACAGGGACTAAAGGGTGGCGATCTTGGAAGCCACAATCTCAAGAAGACCCTTTGGGTTGTCCACATGAACCCAATGACCAGCATTTGGAAGTAAACAGAAGGAAACTTTTCCAAGAGAGTCAGATCCTCCCCGACGGGCTAATTTCTCGATCCGCTCAATGGCATCTTGGTCCCATCTGTCACTTTTTTCAGCACGCACAATGACTATTTCCATGCCTTTGGGAGGGTTCTCTAATAGATTCCAATAAGACTTTTCCCTGCAGATTTGTAACGTTGGGGATAGTTACTTTTGTGTTATGGAGGAAGATCACAGGAAACACTTAGAAAAACAAAGAACAAGTTTAAATAAAGTTTTCAGACATTCATTTTTATTTCAAAAGAAGTGAACGCCTGTTAGATGTGTGTAGAAAATGATGAAAAACATTACTCAAACCAAACAGGCCCGAATATGCTTCATTTACCAATAAGAATCGAACATCTCCTTAGCATTTTGAAGGTCAAATATCCATGTCTCATGGTCACCAACTTTTTTCAGGTTGGTGCCTATCCAGTCTGACAGTGCCTTAGAATAACCAAGTCCCATCAGATGACTCACAAGCCACCTGAAAAGAGGTCCAGCGTACGATTAAGTCTAACTACATTATAGATGGGCACAAGGAAGATTCGTATATAATAAATTTGACACAATGTCAAATGCAATGGCACTTTCAACAAGAATCAAGATACCCAATTTTTTTAGACATTAGAACAACCAATCAGATCATGGCCTCGTCAAAAGAAAATGAAAAACCAACAATGTTCTATTTGTGATAAAACGATTACAATTTTACTTTTACTTAAAATGTCTAGCAAGCATTTGTAGACTTCTCTTGTACACCACACAAAATGTCCCGAGTTTGATATGTGAAAAAATAGCTTCATATCCATTGCACTCCAAAAATGCTACCAGAGGAAGCAACATGTACCAGCACACAGAGTCTCCCCTCAATATCTGCCTATTGACAAACTTACAAACACCATGAAAGAGAATATGTTCAGGGATAGAGTCTCACTTCCGAGATGGTATTTGTGATGGTAAACTTTGCAAGGTCGCTAGAACATCCCGAACTTCTTCGTTACTGTTTTCAGGGTTTATCTCTCCAGGGACAGAATCCAATACCCAGAGCTGTTTTTCAGCAGAGACAAAAGGATAAAATAAGGTATTAAATCTGTAGCATCCAGCACTGAAAAATCTAAGCACTTAAGTGAGTACAGTAGTGCGCTTGACAGTGCTAGTATTATTAAGCAACGTATAAAGGATATTACGCCTATACTACAAATGCTTCAATACAAAATCTATAATAAAAATATGGCAGTGCTAGAAACTCAACTTTCTAATACACTCTTTGTTATTCTTTATTAACTGAAATTTATTAAAAATGAAAATCATTAAAGTATAAGAAGAACTTACATGATTTCTGCGATTTCCGATATGAATTAATTAATAATAAAGAGTATGACAATAGTAAGCATATCAGGAAATTAGGGATGATACTGTACGTTTCTCAAAGCTTACCGATGATACGTGTGTTAATTCACAAGTCTATCAATTGATTCCATTTCCATTTATGATTATAATTTCATTTACTCTGGTCAAATGTTAAATAAAGTAGGTGTTTCTGAACTATATACAACATTAAACGAGTTAAGATATCTCCATCTTCATATCAGACAACACAATTTCATTTATCTCTTAAAAACAATGGGTTTAACTTAGTAATCGGTATAAAAAAGGAAGTAGAATTAAATTCATATAATCCGTAACATCAGAAAACGCGCACAAAGGGTAGGGAAATTTTCAAAATGCAAAACTCTACCAGAGTGAGCAATATACTAATCCAAACAGGCTAGTAAATATCATAGTGTGCATAGCCATCAATTCACACCAATGTAAAACTTGGCACGCTTCAACCACTTCATAACTTCTTTTCTTTTATTACTATTATTATCAATTCAATCTATTGCAGTAAAGAGGAGAAAAGGGAGATTGTGAAGAGGAAACACCTGTTTAGGGCGCAGAGCAGAATCACCGTAGTCACCGCGGCAACAACTCTCGGCAAATTGCAAAGCTACCTTTCCACCCATGGAGTGGCCTAGAACAACCTCAGGCCATGACCAACCTTCCGCCTTTACCAAATCGGCCAAATCTTTGGCCGCATTCTCCATATTATGAGGCGGATTCAGTTTCCGCTCTGACGATTTCCCATGATTCCTCATATCCAACATCACCGTTCTCCAATCTACACAGAAATCAAGTTGATTATTCACTTCATAATCCGCAAATCAATAACAAAAAGAAAGAAAAAAACGAGAAGAAGCTGGAGATACTGGAAGAGGGAGAGGAATTGGAGAGAGAGGCCAAGAGGTTGCGAGAGAAAGATCTCCAGTTTCTGGCAGATCCCAAAAAGCCATGGATGAAGACGGCCGTTGAAGTGTAAGGTTTGTCCGGATGAGCTCGCAGTTCTTCGTAGGCTATGGTTTCCAACCACCGTCGACGAGGGAGAATTGGGGAGTTGAGGAAGCTGGTTAAGAGATGGAAGTCGAAGCTGTTTCTGTTTCTCAGAGATGCCGCCATTTTCTGCTTTACTTTTACTTTGACTGGGCTTTTAGTTCTGCTGTGATGTACCCGTTATGAAGTAACTAACACCTTGGCCCAATGGAAACAGCACCTGAGCAACACATGTACTATGGATTTTGAATAAAAAATATTAATTATTAGAAAAGATTTTAGACTTGACAGCTGTGGGATTTGAACCCACGCCCTTTCGGACCAGAGCCTAAATCTGGCGCCTTAGACCACTCGGCCAAACTGTCACTAATGTGTACTAAGCACAATTGTTTAGATAATTAAGATAGTACAATTAAGGCCATTCATAAATTATAATTTGGATAAAGTAAAAATGGTTCTGAATTTAACCGTCTCAATTTTGCATTTATGATAATCGTAATTATTTCAGGGATAATTTTTTATTCTTATTTTTTATTTTAGTCCTTTATAAATTACGGTTACATTGTATGTATTTTTTTTGTTATAATTATATTTTAATTTTTAATATATATGGGTGAAAAAACGATCAGATTGAAGTATCTTTCACTCTAAACCAATTTATTTTAACTGTGGGGTTAGATAAAAGTTGCAAAATTTATCCAAAAGCACCTTTGACTTAATTAATTCTTTAAAGATTATTTATTTTAAAAACCTATCGGTAATATATCTTATAAGCTTATTATTATTTGACAAAGTTCACGTGTGGGTCACTCATCATTTACATGTACACTAAAGCCCTTGTTTATAAAAAGTGACAGACTCTTACTTCCTGTTGGACATGAGGGCCTCAAGTCTATGCTAAGAGGCTATGGTTCTTGTCTCGATCCTCTCTTCTTCTTTTTTCGTTTGGTTTTCTTTTCTTTTTGTTAGGTTACCTTTCTGGTAAGAAACCAAACATATTCTTATTGAATCAAGAAAACATTGAAATACATTTCCCTTCAATACTTTATTTATCCAAAATAAAATTGTACTCAATAGAATTTTTAACAAGAAAATATACTATAGTCTTAAAAAATATAGTGGAAAACGAAACGCATCATCAACAGGGCGGGTCAAGGTAATGATAAAAATGGTTCTTCCAAAATTTGTAAATGTTTCGACGAAGAAAAAAATATATATTGAACAACCTTTTAAACGGTTTCGACTAACCCATAACTTATGATTTTTGTAAAATGATAGACTTATCAAGCATGCAAACTAGCTTGTTTAGTCACAATTAAATGCTCTGACAAAACAAAAGCCACAGTTTAAAGTGAAAATGGGGTGAATATTGTAAGGCTCGTGTTTTCAAAATTTAAATATTTTTACTTTCTTTATTTACTTTTTTCTTGGTCAAAACATAAGTGTATTAACCTGCATTTTTTTATCTTCTCTTTTTTATCACGTTATTATTATATCTTTGGTATTCTTTCTACTTTTTATAACAAAAAAATAAAATATACAATCAGGTTTTTAATTATGAATAATCTGATATCCATGTTGGATAATAGTTTGAGAAACCACGTGTTATCCAAAACTTCAACCCAATGATATCCCAAACTCGTCTGTCACTTTCCGAGTCTTCCTATCGTGCACGCACGCCGGCCTTCGAAGTCTGCAGTTTTTGCCGAAGAAAACATTAGAATGGCTGGTAGATAAGCCATTTAAAACTATACTTTTTAGTTAGATTTCATACAACTCTTATTAAATAATACACATTTTCATTTTATTGGCAGGTCAATTTAAAACAATAGAGAAAGGATTTTTTTTAAAAATTAAACAATATATAGTTGATTAATTAGTTATTCTAAGACAAAATATTTTTATTGTTATCAATATAATAAAATATCAAAGCTGTTTTTATTTTGTTTGTGTTTTCAATGATTTGTTCATGATGTAATACAAATATTTTTAAGTACCAATAACGTATCCCATAATACTCTTTTTTTATTATCACTAGCAATCTCAGCTATAATCCAATAAATTACATGATTTCGGGTTTGAAATGAGTCACGAGACTCATGCTCTGCTTGTTTTATTTTATTAACTTCGTCAGCATATTTTCCCATTCAATGTTCCGGTTTTCCAAAGTAAAAATTCTTCAACTTTTCTTGTAACTCTATCGGAGGATCCATGCAAAAAAAGGAAACAAGTGGAGGTTTTAAAAAATAATAACTTTTTAAAGAAAGTTCAAACATAAACATAATATAACTATTGTGTTTGTGTATTTATATTGTGGGGTTTTAGTTGATTGAAGATATCAGTATGTTTTTTAATAATGGCAAGTCAATAAATGTTAAATGGTATGTATAAATCGTGATTCACATCACTGATTTTTATTAATAATCAGACTAGCAATTAATAAAATGCATACTTTTAATTGAAATTCAGAAAATTGCAATAACATATGACTTCAAATTAACTATACCATTTTAACATTTTTAGTCACGATTGACCAAATTAATGATCATGTGAGATTATTGCAAACATTAATCATTATTCAAAGTTTGGCGACATTTCGTGATAAAAACAATCTTAAAATATCTCACTTAATAACAAAAACATTAAAGAGAATTAGCTCGTTAAAAAAGCACCCTTCAATTTATAAATATAAAACTAAAATTAGTTTTAAAAATTATTATTAAAGTTTCAATAATTCTACAGTTGTAAGGCGAAACCATTGTTCAGATGACTGGTTGCTACTTACAAGTAGTAGAATTTAAATTTCAATAATATTAACACTTATAATATTCTTTTATCATAACATATTATCTCAATGTTTAATGTATACACTTGATGAATATTTATGAACTATGAGCGAGTAACTGCTCAGATTAGTCTTTAAAAAAAGGTTGTCGGACCTAATTTAATATTTTAAACAAATGAAAATTATTAGATTCATTTATTTGATAAATTCCCTTATCAAATAGTCATGCTGAACTTAACAAGATTGCTTTCATAAGCTATTAATTAGTTGATATAATATGTGTAATTTTTATCCGATAATTATATATATAATTATCAATCACTGTTAAAACTTATATAATATTTTATCACTGTCATATTACATCATCAATCACATTTAATATTGTTATTTTCTCTAAATGTACAATATATACACTGAAGAAATGTTATAACAATTTTGATTGATGATAAAGGCATAGTTACACCCAGAAGAAAAGCATGTGGAATGATAATGGCACGTCATGAGAAAATGCGGGACCCACAAGGCAGGGAGGTCCTTCAAGTCCAATATGCAAATCCAACTCTTATTCTTTTTACCACTCTGCGACCCTCCGCCACATCACCGCCATTTCAGTATTTCACTATTCACTATCCTTTCCCTTTCTTCATCTTTACTCACTCACTCTTTCTTTCACATCCCCACACGAATGGACCCCACCCCATCCGTTCACCGCCGATCTTCTTCCTCCTCCGACCGCCTCCTCGGTCCCTTCACTTTCTGCCCCTCCGCCACCGCCTCTACCGCCGTCGAACTCAACGAAGCCGAACTCTTCTGGGCCACCGATTCCTCCGAATCGGAAATCCAACGCCCCGTGCCCCTTCCCTCGCTCAATAACCGCCTCCGCAACTTCCAGCGCCCGCTAGATTCCGGAATACTCGTCGTGTTAACTGAACCTGATTCTCGCGGTGGCGTGTTTCGCGGCAATTCCTCCGTTTCCTCTTCCTCTTCGAGGACGATTCCTTCGTTGCCGAGACCTCCGGCGGCTCCGGCCTCCGATTATCTCGCGCAGTCCGCGCCTTCTAGAAAGTTCCAGCAATCGGCGCCCGTTAAGGTCCCGATTCTGCTCACTAAGGGCGGCGCGAGGAGGAGGAACGGCCATGATTTCGCTCGCGTGGACGATGACGAAGACGACGACGAGGAGATGTTGCCGCCGCACGAAATCGTGGCGCGGGGTTCTGGAGTCTCGCCCAAAACGACGTTTTCGGTGTTGGAAGGGGTGGGAAGAACGCTGAAAGGGAGGGATCTTCGTCAGGTGAGAAACGCTGTTTTGCGCAAAACCGGTTTTCTGGATTGATTAATTTAATTGCTCTTTATTTTTGTTTGTTGTGGTTGGGAAGTTCAATTTTGATAGCTTCTCCGCACCATCCATAGCTTAAACGAGGATGTTTTAGCCTTTCCTTGTTTCTTCTTTTTCTGATGCTCTTTTTGTTCCTTTTTGATTTATAGAATCTGCAAATGGTATAAACTCCTGGACCAAACTTAGATAATTAAACTTGTCTACCTTTTATCTTTCTTTTATTATGTTTTTATTATTTTATTCCTTGAAAGAATTAGAGTTCTAGATTGAAGGTATGCTGTGAAGAGTGAAGTGAAAACTAATCAGATAATTGCCGCTTTTCGTGTGGTTGTAAATATTACTAGTAACTTTGCTAGAAGGGAAGGACACTAATTATGCTTTGAAAAGCTTGGAGAGTAGGTGAGATTGTTGTCCGTATTCATGTTGTTAATGTGTTTGATTAAGAATATACGTCACAGATTAGATTCTTATTAAGCTGAACATCGAACCGTGATTGCTGGTGGTTAACACTTATGTTTGTTATTTTCTGATGCGGAATAGTTCTCAGTGACACATTATTATACTACTGCATGATTCGTTTTCCCATCAGTTTTCTGCTGAAAGACATGTCATGGGTGCTTAGGTTGGGTAACGTTGATTTGAGAATACAGCATTGTCGTTGCTCCTGTGTCAAACCTGAAGATTTACCGCATTGACGTATATTGGGGTAGTTCATTTTTTTTTCTTTCGTGAAATTGATTCTTTGGCCCACCTCGGGTAATTTGATTGATTCGTGAATCATGACGACCTGTGAAGTTGCTTTTAGAACTGGTATCAGTCACGACAATAGGCAAAAAAATAAAATAAAATAATTTTCCTATTTTAAAATATTTTATTTCTTTATCACCAACCAAGCAAACAAGACAGAAGTTTCAACGTCAATTGAACTAAGCACATTCAATTGTAGTTCTGCATAAATAGAGCCCTATGTCCCAAGAACTTTACTGGTTGTACTGTCCCTGTAATTAACTTGCGGCTCAATGGATTGAATCGGTTTACAATGTTCATAAATGAGCGCTTGAATTATTAGTTTTTTACTTAAACCTCAGAAAAAGGGCTGTGGCTAAAAAATGATTGATGAATGAATAGTAAAATAATGCGAAGCTCACCGCTGTGTTCAAACGATCTTAGACTACTAATACTGATAGATAGCATTCAACGGCGGAAGAAGACCTGAAGATTCGGATTTGTACATTTCTAGTGTCCTCTTATTTGTTTTTACAAAACAAAATACCGACGGCATTGTCAAGGGAAGATAATGTGTAATTATTAGATTTTTTAATCTATTTCTTCTTTTTTATTTATAACATCATCTATTATTTCTCTTTTTTTTCATGTTTTTTTTCCGACATCAAATGTGGACAAAATGAATTACTTAGCCTGTAACAGTTGACCTATAAGGAAAAAGTTCCAATGAATCAAGTTTAATAAGTTCAAAACAATATATTTTTCTACTCTTTCTGTTTTTCTTTTACATACCCAAGTTTAAAACATTGAACTTTTTTTATCAGAAAATTCACACAACTAAGCAATTATTCATTTAGTACCTATTGATCGAGCTGAATAATTCAATGATTAAATTATATTTAATTTAAATAACTAATTTACTTTTTTTTAAGTTTTATTAAATTAATTATCAATAATTGAATTTGGAATTTCACAATTTTTTAATCTGAAATTGAACTACCTTCTGTTCGTATTAACATTTTATTCGCATTATTAGGTGGCTTCATTTATATATTCTTGTCGTTAATAAACTATATAATCAATGTTTGAAATTAAACAACAAAGAAAATAGGATTCTACCTATAAATGAAATTTTAAATTTAAAAAATACCAAGCTAAACTTTAAAAAAAATATATAATAACTTTTTTATTTTACTTTAATATGACGAATATATTTTCCTCACAAGTACAAGGACGACTGTATTTGACAAAAAGTTGTGTAAAAAGAATTCTAAACCAATTTAATTAAATTTAATCATCTTGAATATCTTTTTAAAATCGTAATGCAGGTTCTGATTTTCATAAATTCCACCGTAAGCATTAAGAGAGTCGCTGCAAGTCAGATAGACGAATGGATATGCCTCAAAATTGAGTTCAGAAAGGAATTTCCCTTTCACACATCTAATTGATTCATCATCCTTGCCTTCTGTTTTTCTTAAAGACAAAGAAAAACACAACAACAAATCATCGACCTAACCGAAAAAAAAAATCTGCATAATGCAAGTGTTTCCCGCCAAACACAGAGGCATTGATAAATGCTAGCAAAAGGAGCTCAAGTCCCGGTTGTTGAATCTGAAGAGGGCAAATCGAGCACGAAGCCATTTGCCGTAAAGACCAACAAAACTAGAGGGAGGCTCAAACTCCAAATGCATAGGGATCAATGACTCGTGATTTGAAGAATATAGTGGAAGAAAAGAGGACTCAGAAGGAAAACCCTAATGAGAAACCTCAAGGAATGTTGATGTAGCGCGGCTATGACTCAAAACGCTTCCATGGCCAATAAGGAAGGCGATCTTAAGGGCTGCGCTAACAGATTTACGATAACACGCAAATGAAACAGCGAATGGTGCTAGTTGTGTGTAAGTGAAACGATAGAAAGATAAACCCTACTTGACAATGGGATTGAGGGAGAATATATAGTCTCGTTGATATTCTCAAAGCCGAGTTTACCCTCAATGGCTTTTCCAAATCATGGTTCGGTTTCCGGGTAAGGCCTTTATCAGCTATATGGGCTGTAACTAATTTAGGGCTCTCGATTCAGCAAATTAGTATAGGCCTTAAATCAGGTGCCGAAGAATTTTCAGTTTGAAGACCACGTGGCCCATAAAATAAATACTTGTTTGGCCCATAAAAGTGTCTTTTTAGCCAACTTTATTTTTTAAAATAATATTTATTTTATAATTTTAAGATAAAGTTGTTTTTTAATTTTATTTTAAGATAATTATTATTTTAAAATACAGTTTTTATTTTTTTTCTCTATTTATTTATTGTATTAACAAATTCTAGAATAAGTATAATATAAAATTTTGATGACAACTATTGTAAGTAAATATATTATATAACTCATAAATAAGTTAGATAAATGATATGCTATAATAGATTTTAGAAGTGATAGTATTATATTTAATCATTAATAAATTTTATAATTTAAAATTTTTAAATATTAGATGATTACTTTTTTGAAATTGTTTTTTAAAATTATGTGTTCCAAATGCATTTTCTTCTTACTCAGGTCTTGTCTCTCAATGCCCTAACCTCCACTACCACTATCTTCTCCAAATCAGTTCCCTCCCCTTTCTCCTCTCCCTCCCAGCCCCCACTCTGGTGCCAAAGCAAAGAGAGAGTAAATATGGTTTATTTAATTATGAAAATTTATATGTTCGACACCGTATTTTGAGTATTACATGGATGAAAATAAGAGAAACAAGGGAGAAAAGGAAAAATATAAGAAAAGAATGTCAGTCTTCTTTATTAAGCTAAAAATATTATCTAAATAAATTTTATAAAGCTTGGAATAATTCTCAAATAGGGTTCTTTTTTAGAGGGACTTAGCATTAAATTCCTTGTTTGTGGATGTTGGGCCCTGTAAAGCATTAAAATTCTTACTTGATTGTCCATATTTTATATTTGAGCATGATTCTTTAGAATGTTACATTCAACGTCTCTTGTGATATATGGTTGAAAATGCACCTGATGTGTTGAAAAAGGTTGGATTTTGCTCGTTAGTGTGACAACTTGGAATGTGTTTTTGTTGGATTGTTTTTGTTTGAAGGTTGGGAGCATTGATATGTTTTGGACATTATATGAATAGACGATGAAATCTGGTGTCATAGATAGCGTTAATGTTGAAACTATTGGATATCTGATAATGGCATTTTGTGCAGAGAATAGAGTCTTCAAAAAGTACGATTTTCTTAGGCAGTATTATAAAATGACTTAAATCCTGACAATATTATTTTCAATATACAATACATTTATAGTTGAATTCTGTAAAGAGAAACAATATGCTAGAGTATATGAGCTCCTTTGCATACAATTGCAGAAAATAGTACCATAGAATATTTGTTTAATTCATACTTATCTTACTTTAATTTCTCTTTATTTTTCTTATCAAATAGCATGCAAATCTATTATTCAAATTCAAAACCTATATAACTATACCCACTTTGTATTGACATGCTTTGAATTGTGATATTTATAAATAAAACTAATTAAATTTATAAACACTGTATAATCATCTCAATTTTCTTAAAAACAAATAATTTGGCTAAATTAGAATAAAAATAATGACTAAAAAGATTTGATCTAACATCAAAAAAATGCAAAAAGATCATTTTCTGTAAATTTTATTTAAGTCATACAATATTTATTTAAGCTAAATTTATATAATGAGGACTATACAAAATTTTGTCAATTTCGATTAAGTCATTTTTTGTAAATTAAGCTAAAATTACAAGATTATTGTGTCTACACAATTCGCTTAATTTAAGTAAATTTAGCTTAAACTAATTCTTGTTTGACTTATGTTAAGTAAATTTTGCTTAAGCTAATTATAGTTTGTCTTAAACAAAATTATTATTTCTTAAATGAAATTTATCTTGAAAATTATTTTTTTCATGTAACATGGTAAAGATCTAAAATGACATTCAATAATAATAAACACATAATCATATTTTAACCATAAATTGATACTAAGTGTGGATGACAAAGGTTTAATTATGAAAATGATGAACTTCACAAATATAGTTTAAGATAAATTTTATACATCTAAAATGACATTCAACATTCTATTAAATTAAAAATAATTTCTGATTATAAATTGAAACTTAATAAATACATATCAATGTAATTATTCTTAAAATAACAATCAAGATATAAATACATACAATTTGTTTGAAAGAAAAAAAAAGGGCATGACGATATAAAATAATAAGTTTGAAGAATAATTTAAAAATTGTTCAAGAAAGACTAAATGATAAATATATAAAATTTAATAAAATTTAATTTATTTTTTATTACAACTTTAAAATACAAATTTTCAGACAGTAACACGTTAGAAGGTCTGATCTAAAATTGAAACAATATACGGTTTCAATAAGTTTTATATGGGCTTTCATGTTAATATCCTTCATATTCGGCCTAATGATTCTGAGAAAAAAGTTTAGCCCAATAAATTGCTCCTTTTGTATTTCCTTCACCTTCCCCAAAAGCAGAAGAAAGTTGTGTGTCATTTTACGAAGCAATGCATGCAATGGTATGGTACATTTTATTGCTAAGTTTTAGCCGTTACCTCTTCAACAATAAGTCATCACTTTTTTCTTCTGTGAGTGCATTTTAAAGTCTAACAAGTTTTTTAACATATATTCAAAGACATATGCTATATAAGAACCTATACAAGGTTTTTGTTTTTAATGATAATTACAATATTTGATACATTAAAAATCACACAATAATATAAAGTGATATAATTTCCATTAAAATTTTTTATTATCTATCCTCGAACAGACGTTAAAGAAAATCAAAAGTTGAAAGGAACTGTGACTCTTGTTTTGGACCACCTAATGGTAAAACTTGCCGTAGAAATTAATGCATTTGACGATTCATTTGAGAGGGACGGACGCGACTATCTTGGCATCAGGTTCGTGCATTTACAGGAGAAAATGCACGCACGCCTTCTATATAACATCAAGAGTGGGAAAGGTATGAATTAACTTGCTAGACCTTTGCCCTAAATTTAACATAAAATTCTCAATGCAGAACAGAAGTTATCTAAGATTTGCTTCTACTCTTAATTGACTTTAGAAGGGGAAATTTTCCATTTCAAACACAACTAAACACGTTGAAAAACTAACAAACTTTTCGTGTATTTCACATGTAAATTTTCAACTAAAAAAATAAAAAACATTAGAGAGTTTTAAATTATTAATAACAAGGATTTTTTTTTGTTTGTCATTTACTAGTGTGTGTGTGTGTGACGAAATCTTTAATTTCGACATAATAGATTAATTTTTTTATTAAATTAAAATTAATAAATTGTATTTGAAAAGACTATAAATTTTAAATAAAATTCAAATTCTTATTACAAAAGCAATTGCATAACTTAATAAAAATTAAAAATAGATATTTACATTTATAATATAAAGATAAATAGTCCAATTCACCTTCACTTCTGCAAACGTGAGTTTGGCTAATTCCACCAAAAGTCCAAACGCCCCAATAGTTTGTACTACAGAAAAACAAAACTGACTTAATACTCATTATCTTATTTTTAGATAATTGTATTTGATACACAAATATAAAATAAAAAGAAAGATTTAGAATGCTTGTCTTGTATAAAATTGACCCCCTCCTAAATATAATTTGGACTCTGAATCTAAACACAGTCTATATATAAATTGTTACTAATGCATTTTTTTATAAATTGTATTTTCTCATTGTAATTACTTGTACACTTGCATATATTATAAATATTTTATTAAATTATAATGTTTATATATATGTAAATTAAATTTACTACAAACAAATTTGCTTGCGCATTACTTTTTATTTGCCAACAATCGATTATATCCTGTAGTTTCTATTATAGTAGAGGCATGAACTTAACATTAAAATTTGTACTGATAAATAGAAAATTTTGTTATACTAATACAAAGAAAAGTTCTTTAGATTCCATACATAATCTTCCAGCTCAAGGATGTATAGTAAATGAAGATTGCAACTACGTTTAATTTTAATTTGCATTACATAATACATCGTTGATATATATTGCGAATTGGGGGTTAGATTAATGACGTCAGATTAAGTTTTAGTTATTGATAAACATAGCTCAAATAAGATAAAAGAGGAAAAATTGTATAAATTGTTTAAAGTAGGTTATCAGGTAAACCATTAAAATAAAAATATAAACTATGCGAAACTTTGAAGTAGTTACCCCGTTTTAAATATTCAGTAAATGTGTCATTTCATACAATTATTTGACACCTAATAAAAATGTTACTTTTTTACGATTATTTATTAATTTAATTTTTTATGACTTCATTTTATAAAATTTTACATTAAAACGGATGAGCTGAATTACACCCCGTAATTGGCATCTGAAAGAACACGCAAATCGAAGTGAGTTGTTTTGATTTCCGGAAGGAACGCGCAAGTTGTGCATGACTCTACGTTCTATGCTTGAAAGAAGGTCAAGCCTCTGTTGACTCTCTTGACTTTATCGTTCTTTTATTTTTATTTTCTTGACCCTGTTTTTAAATTTTTATCTCTCAATTTGTTCTTTTTGTAGACACTTTGGAATTGGCATTTAAAACCGGGCAATTTGAAAGCAACGCTCACATTCCGTCCAAAACTCAAGTTGAAGATAAAAGATAAATTAAGTTTTCGATTCTTTAAACCTTAATTTTAATTAATTTTGATAATAAAATATAATTATACTAAACTTTATTGATATATGTGTTATGACAAATACTGAACATGTAAATCAACAGATAAAAATTACATGATTAACAAATTTGATTCATAACATGTAGTCTAAAATTATATTATTGTCTCATATAAAATATTTTTTTATAATTTCGGTCTCATATATAAAAGATTTAAAGAGTTTGAAGATAATAGAAAAACAATGCGGTAACTAATTTTATTTTATTCACTTTTATTTATAAAATTTAAAATTTCAACTAAACAAAAGGTTTATAAGAAAAATTTTGTCTTATAATCTTGAGTAATATGTTTTTTTTTTTATTCAAGATGTATAAAATAAATTTTATATCTTATTAAAAATTATAATATTTTTACTAAAGTATTTAAAATATAAAAATAAAATATTAAAAGAAAAAAAATAAGTAACTTGGAAATAAATATTTAACAAAATATAAATAAACATTAAAATAAAAAATATAAAAAACGACATATCAGATAATAGTGGAAGAGCTTCAGTAGCAATTATAAATAAGTTGCTGTTCTTTACTTTGCCGAATGCACTCTTAAAAAATTTAAAAAACAAGTTTCTCTTTTAAGCAGGTCTATTTTAGTCAAAACAAAATTTAAATTTATTAAATAAATTAATAATTAACTTAAAATTATATATATTTTTACTTACCAAGTCAAAGGTATTATATAAATAAATATTGTTACCATTGGTTCTTAAAACAGTTTTCAAACACTTTAAACTAAATATTTTATTAAAAATATTATTACATATTTACTAACTACTTTTTATTATTTAAAACTAGCTTAATGTTAATTTTTATATAAATATTAATTATTAATTGTTAAGATCATTAATATCGAATGTTAAACTTGCATACTTATATAACTTTATATATAATACAAAATTATATAAAGTAAACTAACTTTTGTAAAAATATTATACAAAAATATTCAATGAATTAAATATAATTGTGCAAAAATTTTGTAAGTACAGACACTCAATTAAACAGAGAAAACGAAAAAAAAAAGGAATCCGCCAAGCAACATCTGAATTTTCAAAAGGAATGGTACGGACAGAGAGAATGACAACGACGTTGGAAGCGCGTGGAGTGGAAATTTCCAGGTAAACCAGAAGGATTCTGATGCAAATTTTTTTCTCATTTCACTCGGCTCGGCATTCATCTTTTTGCAAATTTGCCTAACTTTCTCAGCCATTGATTCCCCGAAACCACTAGTAGCAGTTGATCTTATATATAAACACCAAGAGGGAGTGCATGAAAATTGGACTACGCAAATAACGAAAAAAAAAATTTTCGTTGTTTGGTACGACACATTAGTGAGAGAAATAGAAGTGTATCAAGAGATCAAACCAAAGATGGAAAATATGCCACCAGGTTATCGTTTCTACCCCACAGAAGAGGAACTGATTTTGTTCTATCTCCACAATAAGCTTGAAGGAGACAAGGAGTGCCTGAATCGAGTTATACCTGTCGTCGATATATATGACTACAACCCATCCCAACTTCCACGTAAATTTTTTTATTCACACTACTCATCTTTTTTTTCTTCAATTTTACCCTTTAAATCGAAATGGAGCTAGCTAGCCCTTGAAAGCTATGGTTCAAGTTATTTCATTTCATCTAGTTTGCATAGATTTCTCTATTTGGAAATAATAGAGCACATTATTATCTTATACTTTCATTTTACGCTTAGTTATAATAAGATGTACTTTAATGTTAATTTATTTGTTTTCTAAAAGGATAAAAGTTAATTGTAATTACTATAAATTTGTTCTTTTATCAAAATTGGAAAAAGGATTGTCCTTTTTCGCTTCATGAGTATTGCTCAAGATTTCACAAAAAAAAAAAAGAAATAAATATATACTTTTTGAGTTTTGCTTAATTGGCAAGTATATTTGATACTAAACTTGATTCAATGAAACAAGATGCGAGACTGGGATGACTTAAGGATCTGTTTTAGGAAACAAAAGTTTGAGTAGTTCCCTTCATCAATCGTTATTTTCAGGGTACATGCTTGTCATTTAACTGTGTCTGTCAATATATATATAATAATTATCATACTGTTCTTCCGAATATTCTTTGTACGTGCCAGGTCAAATCTGTATATGTTGCTCGTGAAAAAATAATTATTATTATTTTCTTTTTCGTCTCGGTTTTCAGAAATTTCAGGAGAGGGGAGTCTGAGAGACACAGAGCAATGGTTCTTTTTCATTCCGAGGCAAGAAAGTGAAGCACGAGGAGGGAGACCAAAGCGTCTTACAACTACTGGGTACTGGAAAGCTACTGGGTCTCCTAATCACGTTTATTCTTCTGATAATCGCATCATCGGAGTGAAAAGAACTATGGTTTTCTATAGTGGAAGAGCTCCTAATGGAACGAAAAGCGATTGGAAGATGAATGAGTACAAGGCCATTAAAGGTGAAGCATCATCATCTTCAAATAAGGCAGTTCCTCAGGTACGTGTATATATGAGTTTTGTTATTTGAATTATTCGAAGTCAATATTATATATGATATTGTATATTATTATTTATTTATTTTTGTATATATAAGTTTTAAAAATATACTATATGTACGTAACATTTCTTTCCCTCTCAATATAAACAAGGTCTAAAAATTAGGGCTAGCTATATCACAATAAGTCGGCTAATTAAGTTTTTTATGTTGTTAAATCTTGAATGTCGGTCATCTACAGTCTCTAGATTGCCTTCTACCTTCTGAATCAGAAATTAAGCATCCTTTTGAACTTTAAAAAAGAGGAAAAAATATATAAATATTCCCTTGATGAGCTCATATATTTGTAACAAGAAGAGAAAAAAAAATGAAAGATGTTATATAAATACTAATATGCCATTAATCTATTTGTAAATCAGAGTTAAAAAAAATATAGAATTCGAGCACCTTTATTTTGGGATTAAAATAATCTTACGAATATGTGCAGTGACATAGATAGGCATTTTACTGATTTTTTTTTTCAGATAACAAAGCAAAATAAACGGTGCTCGTGATATTTCGTAGGAAACTGATTCGTACCTTAAAAATTTAGATCGAAGTTCCTACTGATATTATTCCCACTGGACATTTTAAATATAGGTAGACAATTAACTTACAATTAATCAGCCTTGATTTAATAGATGTTAATTTAACGTTAATCAACCAGTCAGCTCATTTTGGTTTTAATCCCTATACAGTACTCAACATGAAATTTCATAGATAATAATTTAACGTTGATATTATAGTGAAATTTTATTTGTTTAGGTCCAGCTTACGATATGAAACGCAGATTAATATTATAGATCATAGTTGCACTTCTTTAATATATATAACTAAACTATTGATTGTACTGAATCATTATTAATTAATTTCAGCTAAGGCAAGAATTCAGTTTATGCCGAGTGTACAAAAAATCAAAGTGCTTGCGGGCATTTGATAGACGACCACCGCCAAGGAGGGATGCAGTAAGCTATCCTTTTGTTCAAGAAGCTCAAAGGGGTTCAACATCTTGTGATCATCATCATAACCTTCCACAAATGGTGGAGAGAAGCTCAACTAGCTCCCCAGAGAGTTCATCCTCTGGAGACCATGCCCAACCCTCCCTGCAAATGGATGTTGACAACGAGGCTTTGTTGGATTGGGAGAAAGTAGATTGGTTCTTGGGATCGGAACCATGATCATATATATATATCCAAGATATTTGCAATATATATCGATACATAGCTGCTGCAGCAAGAGGTGCAAGTTGAGTCAGCTCGTAATAGTTATTTCTGTCACAGAAACTACTACTTTAATTTGCTTCTTGCTATTCAGTGGTCAATAATCTAGCTAATTAATATGTCAAGAATGTGTAAAGACTGATTCATATGATAAAATATCAGAAACTTTCATTTTGTAATGAATCGGATCAATCACCCGATCCTCCGTACGTCTTCATGCAAATCTTCGGGAATTGATGAAATTAAATAATTTCGTCATTAATCACGGAGAGATAATTTTTTTTTTCTTCTTATGTTACTTAGGTCGTAGACTAATCTCTGGGAATAAACTAATTAACATTTTGAATATCTGATTTTTTTTAGATTCATATATCGTTCTTTATTTTTTAAAAGAAGTATGCTCCTCAAGCTAAAAGAATGTTTGTTATATTTTGAGTTTAGATTTAGAAAAAGTTGATTGCAACTTTTCGTAGCATTATCTAACATCAGGTAGGTGTGGTTGAATTTATAAAAAGAAGATATATGTATTTGGTTAATTTTGATAATTTTAGTAGAAAAAAATATGTAAAAAATATTTGATTCAGTTTTTAGTTATTTTTTCTCTTAGTTGTAAGTTGACCGGAACAAAAACATATAGAAGTGTATAATTCGTCAATTAAGCATCAATATCTCAAAATTAATTTAAATTTAAAAATAATTAATATTTTTTTTAGACAGCAAGTGAAAAACTTTATTTTTAAGTATTTAATACAACTTCAATAATTGACACTCAAACTTGATATTATAATTTAAGATAAACTAACTTTCTACTAATTAATCAATGTGCTCAATAATAAAATATTAATATTTTGAAATAATTATTCTAATTTTTTTAATAATATCTTCCTATTTATTAATAAAAATCTATATAAAATATTGTCATTAGGATGAAACAACCATCGTAATCGCTAAATAGAAAAATAATGGACAAATAGTTAAGGACAAAAAAAAAAGGGGCCGAGATTGATAAAGAGAGAACCTAAAGAGAGTTTTAGTTAAAAGAAGAGGAAAAGAAAAATTTTATATTTTAAATAAATATATTTAAAATAAATAATATGAATTAATACAAGCTTAATCTATTAATCATACATTTATTATCATAAGTGATATATAATTATTTTAATTTAAACATAAAAATATATATCATTCCTCCCCCTTCCCTTTAATTTTTTTCTCAAACATACTTTAAAAGTCTTTCAATTTTATAAAAACATTTGAAAATATTTTGTCAAAGTTAATGATTTTTGACTTCCTAAAAAATGTCATTGTGGTCCTTAGTTCAACTCAAAACCCTAAATTATGGTTCCATTTGACAAATATCCAAGTTGAACTTTGCCACACAAACTGACGAAGTAAAGACCTCACTCAAGGACAACCAACAGAATAAGTTAGAACCTTAAGAACCGTCAGACTTAAATTGCAGTGGGGACTTGTTGATGACACTTAATGCACGACATGCAATAATATAAATAAATTTTTTAATATCTAATTCTTTGTTATATGAGTTGTGCGTTTTTTTTTTATAATTTAAAAATATTTATTAATTTTTACTTATTTTTTAATAATTTATTCAATATGTTTTAAAGGATTTATAAAAAAAATTTGTACATAATAGTTATAATTTTTATAAATATTAAATATTTTTTTATCATGTATATTTAAATATACATTAAAAATATATTTTTTATTATTTTATGCTAAAAACAATAAAAAATATCGTTTACATATTAAATTATTTTAAAATTTTATTTTTGATTCACGACTAAGTTACAAGAGTTCCTTATTTTGTTGTTGCTATAAAGTGGAAGGCTATTACAATAATATCAACTACAGTATTGCTAATGTTAAAGGGGCTACAATTAGGGTACAAACTGTCAAAATAGTTTTGGGCTAGAGAATAAAACGCATTAATCACATCGAAAATTGACGTTTTAAAACCTATAGCGTCACAATAATTATATATATAATCTTAAAATATATTTTTAATTAATTATTTAAAATTTTATTTTAATTTAATAATATGCACACATTATTTGCAAAAAAAGAAAATCATTAATCATAATATATTATAACACTCATATTCACCATCAGGTTTCTATTACCCACCCAGTGACGAATAATCTATGAGAATGTATTGGTACGAGTATTTTATTGAATGTATTTGTATTTTTTTAAAATTAAGATTATTTTAATTTATGATTTTTAATTTAAATTAAATTGTGATATAGTATTTTAAACATATTTTTTATGTTTATTACGTGTTTAGTTATATTTAATAAGAGGGCAAGGTTTATAACCTATGTTTGAATGTGGTAAAGCTGGAGTGCTTGTCCTTTGAGGATTATTGTTCTGACCTTTTATATTATTGTTTAATAAAATTACATTCATTTGCCAACAAGAAAATAAAGTTTTGTTTTTTTAAATGTAAAAGATTAAGACAAAAATTGAAATAACTTCTTGAATTTTAAACCAACTCATATAATTGAATTACGAGTTTTGTAATATTCATAAAATTAATCCAAAATGAACTCCAATAAAGCAACGATCACTTGCAGATTTCCTAAACTGCCACAAAGTCTACGACAAAATAGCAACCAATATTTTAGAGGTGATTATTGAAAATATATAAATGTTAAGTTAGATTTTCATTTAGCTAAAATAGACACATCGATTATGGCCATCAATTTTCGTAATAGCACCAAAAAATTGAGGGACTACGTGGTACAGTCGTGGCTACATGCAATGTCCAAAAGAAAAAAAGAATAAGCATTTACTTTTGAAGAATTTCTTAGTAGTTACTACACTGTCTCTATAGGAAGTGTTGACTAGAAGACTTTGTTGTCTCTCTCAATCAGGGTCCCAGTCCCAGCAATTTGGAGAATGAAGTTTCACATGATCAACTGCTTTAGTAACATATAAAACGAGTACAAATAAGTCACTCCCAAAGTGAACTTTACTTTGCAAAAACATAAACTCACTCTCCACATTAATTTTCATGCACTTCGTAGTTTTAACAATTCATGTCAATAATCTTGAACATATTTTATTAGGAATTTTGTTAACTTTAAGTGAATTTAAACATTTTTTTAATAAAAATTTTACCATAACTTATTGTTTATCTTCTACCCTTACATTTTTCTTATATTAGTTAAGGTCTTTCAAAGCTTGCACTTTGTTGCGATCAAAATGTTGAGGAATACGAACACTTGTAGCTAAAGGTATGTTTTATCTATAACATATAAACTTACAAAAGAAGCAGGAAAATAGAGTTTAGCTATTACATTAAAAAAGTAAAAAAGTTATCGGGATATTAATTATAAAATCGAACCACAACTAAAATGTTTAAAACAAAATTAAACAAACTTTAATAGATCGGTGGAGCAAAGCAAGATAAGATCTTGCATCTGTTAAGTCACGTACTTAAGTTTCTACTTGTCTTATTAGAATAAAAGTTAACGTAAGTTATCTATAAATATTTCTAAAGTCTAAAAATTCTTTTCTATCTTAAAATATTACTATTTTTTTACTAAAATTATTGATGCAAAAAATAAAATAAAATAAAATAAACAAACCGACATGCTTTTGAAAATACTCAATAGACTGGAAGTTCAGAACTTAAATCTCATCAAATTTGTAGTTAAGAGAGTCGTTATTTTTTTCTTCTTGAATATATGATATGTTATAAATTAGTATATAAAAACTTTTGACATTTTAGATATTTAATAATGATTGAAAGAAAAAAAAATAGCCATTTCATTATCTGTAGCATAAAGTTAAAAAAAAAAAAACCCGGTTCTATCTTATGTACGTCCAGTTTAAAACATATAAATAACAATATGAAATGAAGATGTTTTCTTCCTATTTTATTTAAGACAATTGGAATCACATAATCTAATTCCATTCAATTTAAACATAAGCTAATAAAAGAATGTATTAGTATAAATCTCAAATTAACAATATAATAAACACCACATATGTAGTAGTTGCAATTTGGTGGTGAATAATATTACTAATTGAGAATAACTGATGTTCAATTAATTAGTAGTTTCTTAACAAGAATTGAATAAAATGTTGAGTCTGATTGTAATTTTAACACAAAATCAAGTGTCTGTTTAATTTAAAATTGAATAAAATTAATTTAAAATTCTAGTTTGATTAATATATATATATATATATATATATATAAATTAATTAAGATTCAAATTTTCATAATTTTTTAATTTAAAGATAAACATAACACAAATCAGATAATGAATGACTGGTTATTCAGTTCACTTACACTTAGACGAAGTCGATTCAAGCCCAACAAGTCTAGTTTTGTAGATTCTATGGTTGATTATTGGAAACTAGGGAAAATGCACCCTCTTGACCCAAAAAACAACTCGTACGACTAGAAGAATTGATAGGGGGAATTAGACTTGCTGCACCAAACTTCGGGAAGTAATAAAATAAGCTATTCATTCTCTTTTATATCATTTGTTTTTTATAATGACATGTATATTTAAACAGGATCAATAGATACAGAAAATAAATTATAAGTTAAGATTTTCTTAACTCATGCGTATAATTTATAAAATCATTATAATTTTAATTTAAAACTTATTTTTTTAGATCTTTAAGATGTAAAATTTATAAAAAGAGATAAAGTCATGAAAAGGAAACATATAACTATTTTAAAAAATATATAAATTTATTTTAAAATTAAAATAAGAGAATTTAAATTAAAGTTAAATTTTTTTCTAGTTTTATAAATTTTTAAGTTTAAAGTTACTTATGAGTTAAAATTTGTCATAAAAAAGGAGTAGATAAATGCTTCTAAAATTAGTCTATAAAAACTAATTTTTCATATACATGTTTTATGCGCAATTTATTATTTAAGGTAAAACAGAAGTCAAATAAAATGAATTAAACACTATTGTAATAAAATAAATATTTTTTTAATAAGAAAATATTTAATTATGTTTATTAAACAGATATTATTTGTTATATTATTAACACATGGTAGTTTTATTTAAAATAAATAATTTTTCAATAAATATGAATATTATTACAAAATAAATTTTTAGTTTTGAAATAGTAAATATGTTAAGACAAACTAAAATACGTAAAAGAATATGAAATGTGAAATGGAGAGTTTCACTTGAGAGCATTCTAAATAACGCGTCAAAATCATTATATCGTTGGACTCACTTGTCGGAAGAGAGCTGAGAAAAAGAGACAGAAACTCACACGCAAAGCAATCATAAGCCATACATTACTAAATTCAGAAATTTCCATGTAATTGCCCTTACGACTTGAGTCTGTAGGCTGTGTTGATAGTTGACAGCATTGTTTAAACAACAATAATCATCTTATTAAAGATATTCACCAATATTTTTAAAACTATTATTCCTTTTAATTTTTGTCATCTGTTACTCTCAAGTTTTGTTTAAGAATTAAAGATAAATTTATTTTTTTTGTTTTTATTAAAACCATGGTATATATATTTTTTGTTATGCTTCTTATCTTTTTATTAGTTAATTGTTTTTATTTTGAGACAAGGATATAATTGATAAAAATGATTAATATTTTTTTTATTTTTAAGATGACAGGTAAATAAAAAATAAAACTTATTTAAAAAAGAAAAAAAGAAGAAGAAAAGAGCATATTCTAATTTTGAATTTAAATATCCTTTAATTGTGATGAAAATTGAATATTCAGTTAAGCAAAAATATGTTTGTTTAAGTAAAAATAAAGAATATAAAATATTTTTTATGCAAAATTAAATTAAATAATTTTTTTTAATTTAAAATTTTTTGCATATTCACTTAAACAAAATATTTCAGCTTAAACAAATTTTATAACTTCTATTTCAATCTTTTCTTCTCCTTCTCTTTATACTCAATAGTCTCTCCTCAATTTTTATATTTAATTTTCTTCCTTATCTCGTATTCAACTTATCTCTTCCTCTTTTCATATTTAATTTTTTTCCTTCTCTCATACTCAACTTATCTCTTCCTCTTTCCACTCTCTCTTCCTTTCACTCTATGTCTAACTCTTCTCTTCATTTTTCACTCTTACCTCTCTCCATACCCATTTCTTCCTCTTTTCTCTATACCCAACTATTTTCCTCCACTACCATCTCTATAACACGTGCTCTCCTTATTCCCATCTATTCTCAATCATATCTTTCATCTACACTCAGCCTCTATCTAATTAAATACATAAAATTCACTTAAATTAAAATAATTCATTTAAGTTAAGTAAAAAAAAATTGTTTAAATTAATTTTATGTAAATTTTTTTTATTTTTTTATATATTTTCACTTAAGTAAATCTATTTTTATTTAATCAAAACTTAAACTAGATGTCTAATTTCTGCCACATCAGGAGGGGTCTGAATCTTCTAATTTTAATTGCTTCAGAATTCATGCTCATAATAAGTATAGCTGTGAAATCTTGGGAAGGAGACTTCGTGGCCCAACTCCAGTAAAAACGCATAAAATCTTGCGGTTTTAAAGAGGGAGACAGTGGAGGAGGGAAATAAGCAAAAGCTTAGAAGAACTATTATTAAATATTCAAAATATCTTCAATTTATTTAATCTACACAATCTAAACAGTACATTTTCTACTTAAGTCTCTGCTTGTTTTCGTAGATTTAGGGGGAAAGGAGATAAAGAAGGGAGATAGGATAGCATGTTTCGCTCACTCAATGCGACTAAAAAGGTTACAAATGATCATAAAAAGGGATGGTGTCACCAAAAAGATGAGGACATCTGCTTGTACAAGAGCACGTGTGCATAAAAATATATCTCGAGTTTAGTGTAAAGTGTTAACAGATTATATATGGACGATATACACATAAGCAAACCAAGGAAGTTATCACAAATACTAGCATCTTACTATAACAAGAATACAAATAGACTAAAAAAAAAAAAACAATTATTAGCAGAGCTTTACAGACGTTTGAACATACACTTCTTTTCCCATGGTTGTTGTAAGCTTTCACTATTTGGTTTACCATTTTATGGGTAACAAACCCTAATGATTAGCAGGATGTCAAAACTTACTATTACCAATCATCATCAAGGTTCGCTTGGTGGAAACACATAACAGTACATATAAATATGAAGAACGATACAAGCTCAATGAGCATCGCTCCTGTCTCAATCATATGAGCGTGCCTGAGGATTATGGGAATGGCTATGCTCCCAATGGCTGAAGCCCCCGTCAAAAATTTTGCAGCATCTATCCAACTGCAACATAATATCAGATATTATATTTTCTGTTGAAAACAACTATCTTTTAATAAAATTGTCCCGCAAATGCATATTGAAAGTGTATATAAAGAAGTGCAACACCCACTGTACACAAGTATACAACAGAAGAACAGTAACCCAAAAGCCAATCGGATGGACATTGGTTTTATATTAAAACCAGAGATCTTTCAGAGCTCTAAATGGCAATAGCGATACTTACCCCCCACCATCACGGCTCATCAGAAATTGAGTGGATCCACCTCCAAAGAATAAGCAAGGCATAGGTACCAGCACATACATCAGAGCTGCAGGTGCAATGTTTTGGCCGTTAAAATTTTCAAACTAACATACAAGACATTCCAGTTTAAAAGACTCTCAACTTACCTGATAACATGGGCCACCAGTTGTTGTATATTGCACATGCCTGCCGCAGCAAAGAAAAAGCAAATGGAATATACTTTAACACTTGAAAGTAAAATGTGCATTCAACATAGTCATATGAGCAACTATAGCATTCACATTCAATATTTCAATAGATCATGTACTACCATATCATCATAAAAAGTATCCATTTGAATACTTCATATTTTTTTCCCCTGTTGAACCCCCATTTTGGCCTTTAGAATACGGGCTGGTCCATTCACATTCCATAAAATCCCACCCCATCCACTCCCAATGATTTTTGAGCCTGACTTTGAGTGTGTTTGGCTAGTTATTTCAACTAGTTTACTAAGTTTGAATAAAATAGAGGTGTTTTATATATATATAAAAAATAGAGGTGTTTTTCGTAAATGAACTTAACTCACAAACTTATAATGTTTTTTCATACACTAATTAATGTTTGAGGTTAGGCTTATAACTTATTATTATTATTTTTTTTATCTTCAATATTTAAAATAAATTTTTTCATTTACCACCTCCTTCAACATTAAATTATTTACTTAAATAAAAATTCTCTTTTAATAGTACACTATTTATTATAATCCTTTAGTATTTGACCTTTGACGAAGAAATTAATGATAGGAGTTGAAAGTTAACTAAAAAACCTAAAATTATAATTACCTTACAATATTTTTTGTATACAAAATAAAAACAATTGCCAAAAATAAACTTGTTTCTTTATGTTATTTTATACTTATCAACTAGTTCAAAATTTAATATTACTAAACACTTTTAATTCAATAATTAGCTTAACTATTTTTAGCTTTCAACTAAAAATTAACTTTCCAGTTTTAAGTTAGCTTATCCGTTATTTTTGCCAAAAATATCCTTGAGACCTCCAAGTTTGAGTATACAGAGCTTAAAATATTAGTTCCAATAGTGTTTCTAAATCTATTTTGGACAAGTTATGTTGAGGTCGTTTCCACACATTTTGATAATTATAAAATCAAAGACATAAAGCATAGATAACGTGCAGGGCAATGATGTTCAAATTTTAAAATTTGCTGTGATCATGGTCTCATAGAACTCAAATATAGAGCCAGTTCTTGGAAAATTTGTTTCGCTAAATTTTTATGTTCTTTATTTCCTTTTCATTCCATATTCTTGAAAGCGGTTTTACTTTTCAAAGTTAAATTTAAAGCCTTCCTCATTCTGTTTTCATGCCTCATCAAACATTTAAACATGAGAATGAATCTTCCTTCCCACCCTTTTCCATTATGAACCATTCCTTTCTTTCCCATCTAAAAATTGCAAACACATTACAGGCTAGAAAGTAAAGTGAATTTTCTAACATCTTTAAGGATATAACAAAATTTGATTCTGAACGAAACAATGATTCATAACTTTAAATTTTATTGCAAATAATGGTACTTAATGTACTTAGAAAATAGTAGATTTATGTATCACATGATACAATGCATTTAGTGTTCATGGATATTATTGCTTAGGGAGCTGCACTTAATTAATTTAGGCTAGGAAATAGTCTCCACAAAGTCTGTCCAGAGTCTATCTATACGGGTGATATGCAGAAACTGTGAACTACATTTTCTAGAATAAGAAAGCTTTTCATTCTCTAAGTTTTTCCTTTCTCTCAAAATTTCCTCCATCGAAATTCAACAAATATAATACAGCAAACTTAGCAGGTTTGACTGCTATCCTGCAGGTTAAAAAAATATTATATTTTCATGGTTTTTTGATGACTGTAAGACTTTGCCCCCAAGACCAACAAGCATTTCAATGATTTGTGCAGTTAGAAATAGCAATATGTTTTAATTTGTTCTATAAATTGGAGGAAACATAATTGTGGAAAAAAAAAAAATACAGACATTATTACTAGTTCATTTTAAGTATTTGGGGCATGCACAATTAGTCTCGGTGCGGAAAGCATACCAGAATTTGTAGCAAAATGCTAGCTGAAAACATAAAAGCTAGCCCAGCAAGGCTGCACATCCATCCAGAAAAGAAAAAGTTAAAAGTTGATTTACATTATTTAGCAATATAATCAATCACGATACAAACAAAAGACAGAGTTTAGTTTTCTCCTTACACTGTAAAGACAAGAGCAGTCCCAGACACCCATTTGTAACATCAGATGCAGGACAGAATCAGTAACATGATTAAAAATATATACATTGAGGAATTAAAACAAAAATAACAGAAAAAGGCAAAGAAAACATAAATCCTTAGTAGGAAAAGTGCAGAGTGAATTTGGCCACAACCCACAGCAGTGTAATCTCCAAAAGTACAAATGAAATGATAATAAATATAACATGAGTTGCCTGCCACTAAATTTAAGCTAAAAATGAGGAAATGTTTGACCTATATGATCCCAATTGCAAGGTATAAGATCCGAATCCCACATTAGAAGTATTTTTAGTGTGGGGTCTATAAGACATTGGACTCTTCAACTACAACTATTAACTTTTGTAATGTACTTCTCTCAAGATTCTTATAAATTAGTATCAAAATCTTTCACAATGTCTCTCAGCTGCAATCAATAATTGAATTCTATATCCTCCTTTTCTCAAGTAGTTAGAGGCTAGCGCACGTTGAAAGTAACGGATGGGATTTAGCTCCTCTTAAGTAAGGGAGTGCACATTAGACAATAAATGCAATTAGAACCATGATTAGAAAATCAACAATTGAGCTTTTAACAATATGCATGTATCTTATAACAATCTCAATCATTGATTTTCTAGTAAACAGTTATAACTGCTATTTATTCTCGAAAACCCACTCCTTTCACTTAACAGAAGTCAAATCCCTGTGTAGGAATAGAGATGCACCCATATGCAGGTGACTAATTTCGGACCCCTAACCTTAGCATCCAAGCAACCATGCAATATGTGCTTTATATTTTTAATTCTTCGGACCTGTACTCGACATTGCAAAGGATGTTTCATCTGTGGATTTACATGCATCACCCCAAGTGTCTTTAACATAAGTAGTATAGATTTCCCAATTTTATTATAGCCTGAACCCTGAACTGATTATAGTTAACAATTTGTTCGCAAAAGCTTTTGTGGAATTGTATATCCCTCGTGCAACTTCATTCTTCTTCGCTTCTCTTTGGGAAGCGACCTAAGAGAAAGATCACTCTGTCTCTGTGATACCCATTCCCACCAGAATCCTTCAAAATTCAATGGATTGCTACAGAAAGTCACTATTTATAATCCTAAGACAATCTTATTTTAATACAATTTTTGTAGAGAAACCAGATGCAACAATTAGGATGGGAGCGAAATTGATTGTGACCTAATTAGAGGATTATGGATAGTGTGAATAGAAAGCACATACCGTGTATTGTCATCGCCATGCTTGAGAAGGGACCTTATCTCTCTTCCGATTGCAATTTGCAAGCCACCTAACGAAGATTTTGCACAGCTTGGAGTTGCTCCCAATTTTGACTCACTTTCTTTCTCGCCTTACTTCTCAATGTGTTTCCAATCTGGACCCATTCCATTATACTTAATTATGTAATTTTTAATAAAAATCATATATAAATTTTAATATATGTACAATATTAAAGTATTTATTGTAATTTTTAATTAATTATTATAATTTTTTCTTTTACATTTTAAAGGTGGATCAACATCACAAGTAGTTTTATTATGATAGTGATAATAATAGTTGCAATTTTTTTCCTTTTAGTTATTATCATTTATTACGGGACTAGCTCAATAAATTAAGTTTATTAGTCCAATGTATGGATTCTCCAATGTCCCTTGTTATTTATATTTATATGCGTTTTAGTTAAATTTACCTAATAATATTATTTAGTCTTCCCTTATTCAAGAGAGGAATTAATTTATAAATATTTTAAAAAGAAAATTGATGTGCAACTATAATTAAACATTTATGGTAATATTTATATATATATATATATATATATATATATTCACTTTTTATCTTTCATTAATCTTAACTATTCAAAATATTAATCAACGGTTGAAATGTAGCTAGAGAGAGGCTTGGTGTGGTTGAGGGGATTGCTTTGCTTTTTTCATTAATTTCCTTCATTCTTGTGACTAGTAAGAGGAATGGTGATTGAAAAGAATTTGGTATGTACCAAGAATACAAGTAGGAATATGAAATTCCATCGTTTCTTTTGGTCATAAATACGATGTAGGTTTGTATTTTGACTGAACATCAATGGGTTTTTGACCAAATTTTGTTTAATGATTCCAAATGTTTCGTTAAATTTATGAACATTTCATTGGGAACATTTTGGTTTACGGAAGCACTGTAGGAATTTATTGTATAGGAATTGTATGAACTTTTTTACATATTTGATGCACAGAAATATAGGAATTTATTGAAACATTTTCCAAAAATGTTCATTTTTTTCTCGTCTTTTATTCTAAACAACTATTTTGGGACATTTATTATTATTGTTCATTTTTTTTGAAATATTTTTAAGACATTTATATGAAATAACTAAAAATATATTTGACAAAATATATCTATCTAATTTTACTAACATAAATCTACTCGATAAAATGTAAGACTTGAATTTTATATTTTTAATTTAAATTAAATTTTAGTCTTTTTAACCCTATCAAATTTAATGCAGACTAAACTCCTAAAAAATATATTTTACTTATTGTTTGAACTATTTTTATGAACTTAAATTAAATTTAGACCATTTTAACTTGCTGAAACTCGTTAGTTGTCACAAATTACACTAAATTGGGGGTAGGTAGTTAGCTCTAACTAAAAATTATATATATATATATATATATATATATATATATATATAAAAGAACGTGTATACTATCAAATACAATGTTCATAGTTTAATTTTCAAATAATAGAAATCTTGATTTTGTATCATTGTTATCAAGATTCAATCATCACAATAGGCATACACGAAAAACATAAAAACTACACCTTGAGTAATTGTAAGTTGTTCAAGAAAGCAACAGCAATCCAATCCATCTGCACTGGAGACCAACGCACATGATTGATTTCAGATGTTGTTCCATGCCACATCAAGGGCTCCACATCATTGTCATTTCTTGCTGGGATCCCTGAGTCCATCACATCCCAAATGAAGGCCCTTGCATCATCACTAACAGAGCACAAATGTCGTCCAAAATTTGGAGACCATGATATAGCATTAACACATGCTCTATGCTTACTTAATTCCATAAATGGCGTGGTTGGTAGCCTAATATCCATGATTACCACTTTATTACTATTCAATCCAACCATGGCCATGAACCTTGGATCACTTTTATTCCATTCCAAACGTAGCAAAGGACAATCTTGCACTGGATTTTCATAAATTATGGTAGATTTTTCTTTGTCTCTTAAATCAAACACCCTGATAGAACCATCACCAGACACAGAAGCAAAGACATTAAGTCCACCCCATGAAATGTCATATACTTCTTTGTCATGTGCCACTAGTTGTGCCTTCATAACTTCCCTTTCAATGTCCCAAATGGTGCATGTAGTGTCTACGCTAGAAGTTGCTATAAGACGAGGGTCAAACATGGTCCAATCAAAAGAGGTTATAGCTGAATGATCACTAACTTTGTTACCAATTAGGGGGGACTTTAGTTGAATATGATCATCATGGATTTCCCACAATCTTAGGTTGTCACCTGAAGTGGCAAGGAGGTCTGGTTTTGTGTCATCCTCGGAAGGAAAGAACATGATGTTTGTTGGTGCATAAGGGTGATCAAGTACCAAACGAGGGTCGGTGGTAAAACTGAATGTGTTGTAGTTGAAGTGGACAAGTTCAACCTTGTTGGTATAATCTTCCAAATAGCTACCAATGGCAAAGCGGGGGGTTTTGTCACGGCGCATTGACCATGCTAGAGTGGAAATAGGCCACTGAGCAACATAGGTGTGGACGCCTTGTTTAGTCTTTGTAGGGCTTTGCATGGTGAAATTAACTTCAATTGAATCCATAAGAAAGCTAAGAAAAGTATTTCTGCATCGTATTAGCATGCATAGGTCAGAAACTCTTTTGCTTTTTGTTTTAGATGGTGCTTTATTGTATTACATGATAACCTATTTTTATGCATTATGCATTATGTAATACAGACCCACATTTTGGTTCTGATCCAAAAAATTAGCAAAAAGGTACAGGTTATAACTTATAAGCAATAGGTTAGTTGAAAGCTTTACAAGTTATAACTAGTCAATTGAGTAAAATTTATTTGATAAAATTAGTTATACAACTAGTTAAAATATGTTAAATCAAAGCAGCTTTTAATAAATGAGTTTTCAAAAGCTATAAGTTTTCTTTAAATTTTTTATCAAATAAATCTACTAATTTATTGACTCTTAAATGCTATAAGCTTTTATTACTGAATATAGCCTTTATTTAAGAACATCTTTTCCGATACAAATTTGAGATAGAGGTGGACAAATTTTTAAATAAATGACAGGTAAAATGATTAAATTTTTTTAATAAGTTAAAATTAACGTATGTATAAGTTTTAGAAAATTTAAATTAAAAGAGATTTTAAAAAAAATGAATTATCATAAGTTAATTTTAATTTAAAAAGATATTTTTTGCATAAATTCTTAATTTATTAAATAAATAAAATATTAGTTTTCTATAGTTTTTTATAGTATTCATCCTAAACATGAAAATCTAATATTTTCAACTTAAAATTTTTAAAAAAACTTAAAAGAATCTTCTTAACAAATGTTTCATAATAGAAAAATTTAGCATATTTTTACTTCTTCATTTTTGTCTCCTATAAATAAATATCAAAATTTAAATTTAGAATATGTTTTTAACATGAATACATAGGAAAAACTAAAGATAAAAATCAGTAAAATAAATGAGAAATATAAATAATTATATATAGTGTAAAAAACAATGTCAATATTTTGATGTTTAAATATAGAATTGTTTTATTTGTAATAGCTCTATATGTTAAATCCTATCTAACGAAGTATTTTATTTTTCAGTCAAAATAATAATAATAATGTCCTAAAATGCAACTACACTTCAATAAATTTGCATTTTTTGCAAAAAAAAAAAAAAAAAAAGAAATTCAACGAACATGTGTTAAGAATGTTACAGTATTTAGTACTATTTTGACTAAATAAGCAAAAGAAACTACAGAATATGAAACGAAATAGATCATATATAGAGAGGAGGCAACCCCTGAAACAAATACTAGTTTGTAAATATGTCTCTTAAAAGAGAAGTTAGAAAGGGGCTTACAATATTCAGATCCCAAAGCTTCCGGTGTTTGCTAAGAGTGCAGTCGCGATGGCCTCGGTGTCGAGTGAAGGAGAAATAATTAATAAATATCAGAACATAGCACCGCCACTTTTCCCATAATAAGAAAGGGGAAGGGAAGGTGAAGCTAATGGTCAATCGTTTCTCTCTTGATAGTTCGGTCACCTTTTAATTCAACCACGTTTCCAAAATTAAATTGACCTTATATCCTAAGACTACTCTAAAATCTAACAAGCAGTAAGAAATTTATTTCTTTTCAAGTAATGTCTGGGATTCAGATTTTGTTAATAATAGGGGAAGGAGGGGGATTGAGATCTTCGTCCCAAAAATGTTTCACTACAATTATTCTGATTTTAAAATTTTCAAATATTGATAATCTCATTATGTTTCTACTTTTCCATCGTATTTTTAGTTCCTTTCTTGTAGGGCTTCAAGTGATCTTCTCTTGACACTTCTGAGAAAAAAATTTAGATACAGTATGATTATGATACATATATATATATATGTAAAACATATTTCCTCCTAAACTTGGACCCTTGTCAGAGGTTTTGTTTGCTTGATTGTCCAACTGTCATAAATATAGGAATATAATGATAATTCTTATCATTTTTGAGGAAATTCTGAATATGAAAATAATTATGACATGACACGAATATCCAAAATTCTTAGTACAATGCTCGTAACTAGTAAATAAGCAAGTGCTTAGATCAGATTAGTTTAGTTGATTATTTGAAGAAAGTAAAAACTGTAAAAAGTGCTGTTTAATTTTATTTGGCAACTTTATAATATTAATTGCAATAGTCGTTACATGTTAAATTTTTATACATTCCGCTTGTTCAACCTGTTTATCACTCAAGTAATTATTAATTTCAAACTAATTATGCTAAGCCATGCTATTTCACAGAAATTTTAAGCTAAATATAAGTGAAAAAAGGTCACTTTGCATTCTTTATTTTTAGTTCATAGAATGACTTAGCACTGATGTGTATTTAGCTTATGTAAAGTATGAAAAATGTAAAAATATATTCTTCCTTAATTTGAAAATAGTGATTTATGAAATGGTAATTTTAATTAAAAGCAACGGGTTCTTAATTTTTTATCTTACACTTCAAAAGAAACAAAATCCATTAAATAATTGAAAAACATTATGTGTTTTTAATTAGAATTAGCATTTTATTTTGATAACTCATACATTAAAAACGTCAACGAAAAGTATTATGTATTATTAAAATAAATGTTCAATTTCAATTGAGAAATTAAAAAGTTATAATTTGACATATAATGCTGCATCCAATTTGTGCATATATTCCACCTCACTCGTGAGTTGAGGTCTGCGTGTTCACCTCACCATAAACGCTGCATCACGTTAAACATTACTAAATGACTTTGTGCTACGGCTCAACCATATCTATACATATAATTTCAAGCTTCTTCCCCTGTAGTAAACATTGTCTCAAAACTGTAGGTAAAAAACATGGACTTGGGAATATATATAATGTCTTCAGTGTATTGGTGACTAAAAGCACAAAAATACAATTCTTATGGTTAACCATGAAGCCAAATAAGTCATGACATTTCCCCCGTCATACCTCTGTCAGGAATTGATAATAAAACTAGAATTTCATTACATCATGGATATGCTACTCATCTCAAGCCTCTTTCTTAGATCCATTACTAATCTCAATCCTTGACCGAGGTGCGTAGTATCTTCACGTCATGGATGGGCCTGAATTAGTAGAAAATGGTGAAATGCTTGAATATTTTTTCAACAAGTTCTTAAAGGAAGATCATAGAAAGTCCTCGTTTTAGTTGCTTAGTTAACATGTAGATCAAATATGTTTTCAGAACATCCTGTGTTTCACGGAATCCCCATTATAACATAATCTAATTGTCAAAGTACACGCTGTGGCCTCTTCCATTTCTTCTCATATGTTTTCAATTCATAGACCCTAATAGACGTTCATTGGGCATAAACTTCCCAAAGTATTTTAAGAAAAAATCTATGAAAACAAGTTGTGATAAAGCATGAGGACTCGCTAGGAATAAAAAATGTAAATTGTATCATCTCCAAGACGTCCAGCACAACTCTTGCCCAGTTAACCCAATAACAATAGGTTTATGATCCCCAATGTCCCAATTTGATGTTTAATTATTTGCTGCAAACTTCAGTGTTACCATTCGTCTATGAAATTGTAGGCAAGATGGGTTTATGTATAGGATATATTTTCAGTGGAGTAAACTCTCAAATTAGTCATCATCCCTGACTTCACAAAATGGCATTCACTTTTTTTTGTACAAAAAGACAATAAAAATATAGCATAAAAGAATTAAATGAATGATTTTTAAAGCAAAAAACTAATGGAAGATTTTTAAAATCTCAAGAACTAGCATGTCTGACATATACAAACTTGTGGACTAATCTCTAAGCTTTTGAAAGATACTTGACATACCTATCGTTGTTATCAGTTTGGACACTGCCAAGTCTTTTGATCATTTCCATTCCTCTACATACTCTTCCAAATATTGTGTGTTTTCCTGGTCGAAACAGAAGCAGGAATTGAGTAACATTAGGCATTCCAGACATTTCATGACATGAATTAGAATTATTAATTACTTGACCAGTCAACCATTCTGATGCCAAGGTTATGACTAAAAATTTACTTGAGTCAACTCTAGTAATTAATAAAAAAGTAATATGCTTCACCTTAAATTCAGAGATTATAGAAGAGAATTCAGAAACAGCTTTTAAAAGAGAAAAGAGGCCCTCTCATTTTATGTCATTTACCAATTTAATCAAGAAAACCAATGCAAGGGAATAAAAGAAAACATGCAGTTGAATGAGGAAATGAGCTAAAAATATGCTTGCAGTTGTATCTTCCGCAAAGGGAGAAAATATAAGAAACATCAGCAAGCAGTTTTCTCATATAGGCTGGCTATTTTGGCATATCTGTGAATCATAGTTCTTTTGACAAGTGAGTTACAAAGCAGACACAACAAGGGAGATTCTAACCACCGTAGTTGTCCACATTTAGATTAGACAGCTTTGTTAATTGCTAATACCCTACGTTCGTTAGTATCATTGCTATCTTGCCTCCAGTGACCTCAGAACTCATTGTATAATGATAAAGCACTCATATTGACCGAATAGTTCACATACTGTGAATATTATGAGGATCAATCCCATCCAAAAGTCAAAAAATTAAATGGAATGTAATACAAATACAATTTTCTTTTCATATCTCTTCAATGAGAGAGATGATATTTCACCATTCTGAGTTTCCAAGTGTACAACAGTTTGTGTGTAATGTGGATGGTGCTATCTCCAGAAACCAGTGCCTGTGTATGCTTATAACAAAGTTGTTAATATGACTTCTGATTCACCATATTACTGACTCAAATGATAGCTTGCAGCTGCTAAGTATTCAAGTTGGAGAGTATCGTCCCACTTGATTAGGCGGTGCAGTAGAAATTTCTTACTTGGATACAACTTACAAGTTGTACAACTTGCATACAACTTTGAGAGTTAATAGCATCGGGTCTTATACCATAAAATCCCCAGTACAAGCTCTGAGAGGAATTGGGGTGTAATGGGATTTTGGGTACAGCGGGAGTTTGTATTTCACAAGATTCTCCATTTAACACAAACGTTGCACGGTCTTGGCAAATCGTGTGTGTGTGTGTGTGTGTGTTCCTTTCTGGATTTCTACATATTAATTGGTTCACCAACAGTCTAATTTCTGCTTCTACATGTTAAGTTCCTAATAAAAGTTACTTTTGGCATTTCGTGTTTAATTTTCAATTAACTAGATTGAAAAAAGAATAGCATTAGGAGCTCACAATCCTCACAATGTCAGTGGGTGACACAGTACAAAACAGAATTATCAACAAATATCCACTAGTAATTACAAAATTTAGTAGTAAAAGCCCACTATTTCAAAATTCTAAAGGTAAGTAGAAAGAAGCACAACATTACCATCGAGGGAGGGACATGGTGCCAGAGTAATAAAGAACTGACTTCCATTAGTATTTGGACCAGCATTTGCCATGGATAAGATACCAGCTCCGGTGTGCTTCAACTCTCGTTTAATCTCATCTTCAAACTTTTGCCTATAATAAACATACTAGGATGAGCAAGAGCAAAGAGATAAATAATAATAATAATAATAATAATAATAAATGCTTATGCAAGATACCCATATATGGACTCTCCTCCCCTTCCAGTTCCAGTGGGATCCCCACCTTGTACTATGAAATCCTACTCAACAAACCACATATACCTATGTAAGAACATACTATCCCAACAGAGGGTTGATAGCCACATAGACAACGAACAAAAGTACCTTGATGATTCGGTGAAATTTAACGTTGTCGTAATATCCTCTGCGAGACAGTTCAATGAAGTTTCTACAAGTTCTCGGTGCATGCTTGTAGTACAGCTAAACCCGAAAAAATTACTTTATGAAAACACCGTACGAATTAAAAAAGAAAAGAAAAGAAAAGAAAATTGAAGACCCTAGATTAAGAAATTGGGAAAATGGAAAGTACCTCGACGGTGAAGGACCCCATGGAAGTTTCTAGAGTAACCTCCGGAGCACCCCCTTCAGCACTTGCCCACATTTTGCTCACAATCAGAAACCAAACACTTCTTCCCCTCTCTTTCGCGAGGCATGAGCAAAAATAAAACCCGTTTAGTTGGGCCGGGCCGGGCCGAGCCAGTCCACTATAAAAGGGCCTGGCCATACAAAATCGCGCACCTATTTCCCTTTTCCTTCCCATTGTGAATATTGGAACGGAAACGATGCCAGAGATCATCAACGGTGCAATTCGGCGAGCCGTTGTAATCGGAAACGGCTTCGCCGGCGCCGAGAATCAGAGCGTTGGTTTGGTTCGTGCTCTTGGTCTCTCCAACCGCCACTCCTTATACGTAAGCGTTTTTCTTCTTCTTTTTATTTGTGTATAGCTACAAATTGAGCTGAAGTGAATTGTTGTTTGCAGCGCGTGATGAGGCCACGAGGAGGAATCAATAGGTGGCTTCAATGGCTTCCGCTTTCTATTCATAGAAAGTTAGACTCCATTATTAGAATGATCTGTGGCAAGTCTCGCTTTCGAACACCTCACAAGATCGGTAACTAACGCTGCTTCCCTTTCGTGTTTCTATATTGTTGAGAATTGTAATAATGGTGGTTCCGTTCAGGTATATCTACCGTGTTGGAAGCTGATGCTCACCACATTGCGACGATGGCTCGTGAAACGTTTCACAGGTATATATATTATGTCTCATTACATGCCATTTCGGAGTAATGGTACATTGAATTCTATAAGAGTGATATTGTTATTAATGAAATGTACAATCGCTTAATCCGCAGGGACGGTCCCTTGCTGGTGGTTGCATCTGGACGAGACACTATTTCTGTTGCCACCTCCATTAAACGGTTAGCTCCAGAAAATGTTTTTCTTGTTCAGGTTAAACTTTTCACTGTTTCCTTTTTGTCCCTTGAAGCATATATAAGTTCATGTGAATGTGATGATTGACTGCCATTGAAGTACTTTGGTGAAATCTTATAATTTTGAGGCAAAATAATCATTTTCTTTTTGGTTTCTCCCCAATACTCGTTGGGTTTTTTCGACCATTTGGGGTTGACTGGCAATTAATCTTTTACTTGGAAAATGGTAATAACTTAAAATATTGGATGCTGCTTGTTTGTTAAGAAACTGCGATTGGAAACATTAAACGTAAATACTCTTCTGCAATCACAAATTCATTTGCTTCTTTCGAGATTTAACGCAAATTGCCAATTTTGATTTGCCGTGTGTTTTGATAGTGTGTTCTTCTCCATTTCCTATGTGCATGGATTTTATTTGTATGTAATTCATGAAGGCATGCGTTATGTATATTGCTATCTAACTCTCTTAGATGCCCAATTCAGATACAACATCCAAGATTTCACCTCAATAGGTTTGATCTTGTGATTACGCCGCGCCATGATTATTATCCGCAGACTCCTCATGCCCAGCGGCAAATACCTTGGTTTCTTCGAAGGTGGGTAACTCCATGGGAACCTCCTGGCCGCAATGTGGTAGGTACAGTGGTTCTGTGGTGGCTATTGGTGTCTCTGCCTAAGAAAAACATTTTGTGGATGTCATGTTCAAGCTGAAATTCTCTACTTTTTGTCCTAACTTGAAGGTCACTGATTTTGCATTATTATAGGTTCTCACTGTGGGAGCGCTTCATCAAGCTGATTCCAGTGCTCTTAGGGTTGCTGCTTCTGCTTGGCATGATCAGTTAGCAACTTTGCCAAAGCCCTTGCTTGTGGTTAATGTTGGGGGACCTACAGGTATTTTATTTTGCATTAAGGAACTTATAATGCCATTCCTGCTGAACTTTTATCTTGAAAGGTTGAAAATTTGCATTAGGCTGGGCCCAAAATTCTCCTACTGTTGGTTTATCTTTATTTTTATTCAGTGTTGTCAATTACTGTGGGATTTAATTGAAATCTGGTCATCCCATTTCATTTATGTATTATTGGAAACTCCTCCTTTCGTCCATCTTATTTGACAATCCCTTGCAAATTGAAGATTCTTTTAAATGACTCTAACCTAATATTTAATATCAGTAAAGAAATCGCATGTCCAATGTTGGGCTCATTTTAAACTTTCAAATATTTGTATTGTACTGAGCATAGTTGAAAATATAACAGAGTAGTTTGTCAATTTTGATTTCTGCATATATCAATGCTTGTTTGTTTGAAACCTTAAAGAAGCTGAGATGAAAATTTAAACTTTCACATGTTTGTATGCCCTACGCCCAATATTTTCTTCGTTAAACATTTTGTTCCAGTCATTACCTTTGGTTCTTTTCCAAAACTTCTTTTTCAAGTCCTACTTTTGTCACACCCTGTATTACACCTTATAGATCTCAAGACAGTCTTTCTTTTTTCTTTTGGTTGGGGGGGGGGGGGGTGCCAGGCAATTGTCTCTATGGTGTGGATCTTGCGAAGAAGTTAGTGGTTATGCTTCAGAATGTTCTATGGAGCTGTGGGTCTATCAGAATATCTTTCTCCAGAAGAACTCCTGAGAAGGTATAAAAGATTACTCAATTAGTAAGAATCTTTTTGTCTATTGCATAATTTGTGTGTGGTTATGACGTTTGGCTTCTAAGCATGGGCATGCTCCCAGTGGCAGTTGGTCATCTGTCTGATTTGGTCTTGGGAAGTATTAATGATGTTGCATTGAGGGATGGTGGGCTGGTGGTCTCTATTTAGGAATCCTCTATAACTTTGTTTCTTTTCACAAATTCATAATACCTGTTCTTTTTTTTAGATCTCCAAAATTTTGGTCAAAGAATTTTCCACAAATCCCAAGGTCCAAATATGGAATGGTGAAGGTACTTAGTTTTCATATTCTTGAAGAGAATATATTTATACTTATCAGTCCTAGTACTGAAGATTACTTAATTTATTTTTTTTTATATATATATATATATATTACATTTAGGTCCAAATCCACATATGGGACATCTTGCATGGGCTGATGCCTTTGTCATCACAGCTGATTCAGTTAGTATGTTGAGTGAGGCCTGCAGCACTGGGTGTGTACAATCAACTGACCAATGACGATGAGCTTCCATCTTAAAATAATAAATGAAAATAAAATCTTTGTTTAATCATTCTTTAAAATGAAATCCATATTTTCATGACTCTATCTTTTATTACAGGAAGCCTGTGTATGTAATTGGAGCAGAGCTGTGTACATGGAAGTTTGCTGACTTCCAAAATTTCTTGCAGAAACAAGGGGTTGCTCGACCATTTACAGGGAAGGAGAATGTGAGTGAGGCTATACTGTAAATGTTGGTTTTTTTTTCTTGTGTGTCTAAATCTGTCAGTTTTTTATTTAGGATGCACCAACCATGATTGTGTTGAGGGAATTGAGCTAATAGCTTATAAATTCTTAATCCACTTAACTGAAAAATACAAAACTCTATATCTCATTATTATATTGCAAAGCTAAGTATGTAAATTGGTTCCTTATTCGATGATACAGTTCTAAAATTATATACATAGTAAACATTAGAAATACTTTACAAATGGCCTTCTCACTTATCGGAAATTCTTTTTGGGTCTGTTTTTAGATAGGAGCAGGCTCTTCGGTGCTGCCAGACCAATTGCTGCCTGGCCTGTAGTTGTTGCTGGTTGATGTTTTGTTGAGCAAATATTGGTTTATACTTGTTTGTGTTTTGAAAATACAGATAACCGAAAGCTGGAGTTATCCTCCACTTAATGATACTGCAGAAGCTGCCAGCCAAGTGGTTGCTGCTCTTACTCAGCGAGGATGGACTATCTGTGCATAATGGTTTCCCTTTGCCTCCCAAGATTCCTTTGGAACTCTTGGAAATCATAAATGATGCATGATTGAATAGGAAATATTGTACAAGAGCCACTGGATTGTGCTCAACTTCAGTGTGCTTGCTAGCTGTGGTAGTTTCCTTCTTCAAAAAGTCCCTAGTTTCTAAAGAGGTTGTTTTTATAGGTGTTGTGGACAGAGCGGTTTCCCCAATTTTGGCTTGTTAAAGAATTTTGCTGTTTACTCCTCCCAAATAATATTTGGATCTCACCTGTTCCAACTTACTATGGTTGTCAGCTTTAGAATAATATAGGCTGCATAGCACTTGGGCATGCACTAATTTTATTTTTGTCAGCCAAGGAATTGTATCATAATGATAAATGAATTATATTAATTAGATAGTTTGCCTAGCTATGTTTATTAATTTCTTACTCTGGTATCTCCTTGTCACCGAGATGTTCTTTGCTCAGACTTCTACAGTATGTTATTCATTTATATGTGGTATAGTAGGATAATCTTTTTGCTTGTGCTATGTACCAAAAAACAAGTTGTAGTATTGAGTTGAACAAATTAACTGTAAAGTTTGATGCACATTAACATAGGGAAATCTGGCTAATATTATATCAAAATGATATTGAATCAGAATTTTTTTACACGAAAATTGATATTTATGGACTAATTAATTTGCCTATTTTCTTTTTTAATTGAAGGACTACTCGGATCTAATAAGCAAGTAATTGTAATTTGTACAAGTTGTATGTAATATATATCCATAAAGCAGAAACAACAAATTTGTGGCTACAGCATAATTGTACGTTGATTTAAATTCTTATATTTATATTATATAATATACGTATGATTTGATTGAATTTAAATAATACAGTATTAAGTCCCAATTGTAAATTAAATTGAAGTGTTTTGTAAATCACACCAAATTAATCATCGAGTAAAAAATAATATTAAGAGCATTTTATTTAATTTTAAAAATAGTTTTCTGTTTTATATTTTATTTTATTTTTAAAAATAGAAAGCTGGTTTTAAAATGAAAAATAAACCTGCTCTACATCTCTTGTTTTTTAACACCAAAGTTTTATTGGTTTAATCTAAATTTAACATATTTTAGATTCAATTTTAAATATATTTTTATTATTCGAAGTACATTTAGATTCTATTATGCTATTTTTTTTATGATATCTTTATTAGTAGTTAATCTTTGCCTACATGAAATTTTATTTGGAGGATTAAGTATGCATGTGAATCTAATAAATGCACACTAAACTTAAAAGGATAAAATAAAAAATATATTAAAAAAAACATATTGCTAAATTATAAATTGAGAGTTGTTATTCGTAATTTTCTGAATTATCAAAATAAGAGTCCCAATAGCATTTCTGTGTTTGATTTGGGTCGAAGTAACTTCAACTCTGAACACTGAGCACGGCTTGTTTGGTTGGAGCGAGTAAGAGTCAAATCTTGATTTCTTGAGTTGCGTTGGAAGAAAGAAAGGAGACAAAAGATCGTGAGTTGGAGGGTTTGAGTGACTCTGTGAAATTGAAATGTCTCAGACTAAGAAATTGACGCCGAATCTGGATCAGCAGGGCACGAAGGCGCTAAATCTCACAGTGCTCCAGCGAGTGGATCCATTCATCGACGAAATTCTCTTCACCGCCGCGCATGTTTCTTTCTACGACTTCAACATCGAAACCAACCAGTGGGTTCGTTCTTTCCCATTCCACCCTTTCTTTTCACTTAACACCTTCATCTCTCATCTTCTCTTTTAATTTGACAGAGTCGCAAAGATGTTGAAGGATCTCTCTTCGTTGTCAAGAGGTGATCATCTCGCTCTGTTTTCTGTACGCTGTCGCTTTCATTCATGTACACTTGAATCGTTAATCAATTTCCTGTTCTTGTTCAGGAATTCACAGCCACTGTTTCAGTTTATCGTTATGAATCGACGAAGTACAGGTTCAGATTCGTAATTTCGTATTAAAATCAATTTTATTACTATTATTATTGAAAATCAGTGTGGCTAGATGGACCGAAGAAAGGGTTTAGGGGCTAGATTTATCGAAGTATTGTATTTATTTGGAGCTAATTTTTGTTATAAGTAGCATATGGTCGGTTAGGCAATGCAAAATGTATTATTGTTGCATTGAAGACTATTTCTGAATATGTGCTATTTATTCTCTAATCAGCAACTTTCTTTCTGATGTTTGTCTTGACAGCTAACCTAGTGGAGAATCTATTGGATTTTGAGTATGAAGTTAAAAATCCGTACTTATTATATCGTAATGCGGCCCAAGAAGTTAATGGTATATGGTTTTACAGTCCAGAAGAATGTGAAGAAGTTGCGAATCTCTTTAACAGGTATGGTAATTTATTAATTTTCTCCATTCAAGTTATTTATGTTGTGTTTTTCTTTGCTTAGTTATGCTCAAATTTTTAGGTACAACTTACATGATTCTAATTCATACTAATCTGGTCTGAACTCTGAGGACTTTGTGTGTGTGTGTGTGTGTGTGTGTGTTGTTAATATTGCCATGAAGTTGAGATGCTGGATGCTTATCTACTGGTGGTATATGTTTTTTTTTTTTTTTTTTCAAATTCAATTACAGGATACTGAATACGTACACAAAGGTTCCTCCAGGTACAATAATGCCTTCTAACAAAAGGTAAGGATTTTTGTAAAGCTTATAACATTAAATTGTTTCAATTGCTATCTCTTTGAATCATGTGACTATTTCGCTGTAGTGTCACAGTCTTTGCAATAAACCTTTTACTATCATATTTGTTAAATGAAAAGTTTATCTTAAATTTTTATATTATAAAGTATTAATTAACATAAAATCTATTTTAAAAAAGCCCTCCCCCTCTACGTCCCTCTCCTCCTCCCCTCCTCCCCTCATTTCTCCCCATTCTAGTGGAGAAATTTTATTAAGTGGGTGCCACCTTCTTCATTTTTTTCCCCCTCCTATTTCTATTCAAACAAACAATCTAATTACATTTCTTCTCCTCTCATTCCTTCCCTTCTATTTGTTTTTTCCCCTACCCTAAATCTTCCAATACAAACAAGGTGTATAGCACCCATCCTGCCATATCAATTTTGGGGTCTACTGCTCTGTATCATTATCTAGGATTGATAACTTTGCTTTGGATACCGTATGTGATAATTTCTCATTTTGTATATTACTCTCTACTGCAATGTGCTGCCTGCCTATATTGTTAAAGATTCCAAACAACATTGACTTTAATATTCCATTTGTGACAAACTTGTGATTTCAAAACGTCAAATAACTTTCTTCAATAAATTGGATGATGAGAATTGAGAAAGGTATAGGATATAATACTTTTGCTTGGTTTTTCTCGTCCCCTGAACGCACTTGCTCAAAATTCAAACTATTTATTACTCCCACTTTATGACCTCTCCTTGTTGGATTTATAAGTAATAAATACCACGTCTTATACCTTATGTTTTTATATAATATAGTGAATTTGAGGAACTTGAGCGTGTGTCAACTATACCGGGAAACCCTTTAGAGTCATCTTCAGCTGCTGTTTCTGCAACTGAAGCTGTTGAAGATCCTGTACTTACTAACTTCTTCAATGTAAGTAGCTTTGTTGCATGTCAATTTTCTCTGCATTTTGGTGAATACTTCTGTGATGCCTTTTTTTTTTTCTCTTTATTGTATATTGTCTGTGGCTTTAGAAATTTTGACTTCAATTATTACAGACACTGAAGGTTACTGGAAATTATGCTTCCAATATAGAAAATTTTAGACAGCATTCTGCAACTGTCACCTGTACTGCTCCTAGTGGATTGTTGTCTCCTGCACCTACTGTGCAAGTACCATCTGCCTCTTGTTCAACTTCATCTGTATCAGGCTTACCCCATGACATTAATCTTGTTAAGCCTTCAACTTTTTTGGCATCCACATCTACGTCTTCACTATTGATTCCCCCTATTCCTTCATCTGTGCCACCTAGTGCAGTTGTTAATCATTCCCTAAATCTGCCACACCAATATGGGTCTCCTGTGCTTCAATCCTTCCTACCCCCTAATCCTCCTCTTTCTCTTACTCCTATTCCTAGCTCCTCTCCAAACCGACCTTTTATCAGCAGGGATAAAGTTCGTGATGCCCTTCTATCACTGGTTCAGGTACTTGTTGATTTTGCCATCGTTGTTTTGTTCCCTTAAATTTCTTGACCATTATTAATTTAATTTTGTTTTTAAGTTGTCATTCAATTACTTCTTTTATTTTGGGGGTTGGTTGGTTAAAATAAGGGTAATTGTTTGCTACTGTCACGAAAAATTCTATAGCTGCATTCTAAATGAATGTGTTTTCTTTTATCCTTTTTGTCACATGTTTGCTATTTTTTTATGCTTCTTCCATATTAACCTTTTACTTATTTTCTCTACTAATGGAATTTTCCTGCACCAGGATGACCAATTCATTGACTTGATTTTTCAAACTTTACTGAAGGTTGGATGAAAACTGCATATAAAGTTAGTTCTGTATATAGTAGTACACACCGACACATCTAACAGGAGGTGTAACTTGGTATAGACATCCGTGCGTCTTTAGCTTTAGCCACAACTGTGCATGATATATCTGTAATGGCCAATTCTACAATATTCTAAGAAATCATATAGTGCATTACACTATATTATCTTCACCGTCAAATTTATGTGCGTATGCGTGGACAAGTTATAAAAGAAAACAATGATAAAATTATAATGATTTCCCGTCCACGTGTACACATGATAAAACTAATGGTGAAAGTATTGGGTAGAGAAGTATTAAGAATACACTTTTTAATTTCACACTTTCTCATATACTTTCATTTATTGGCTGAAATTTATTTGAAATTACAAACGCATGATTGAGAATAATTATATTAAGAATGAGACTTTTTTTTGTAATTTTTAATGAATTTTAGCCAATAATAAAAGCTTTATTTGAAAGAATGTGATAACATTTCTCCAATTGTGTATTCTGACGCTGTTACCCCTTGGTATATTGTAGAATAGCCGTCTTATCTGTTCAGTAATAAGTGTTTCAATGTAAGTTTAGCCTTATTATGCTTTGTCTCTGGCTTTTTCACACAATCCTTTTTTTTCATATGCATAAGGAGTAAGCAGTAAAGTCGATTGTCTCTTTGTATCAAGTCGGACAACTCTCTACTTTGATATTGACTAATGAATATGAATGCGAAAATGTTATGCTTAGCATGCATTTAGACATAAATAAATAGAATTTTACATGCCAAGAGATATAAATTGTGGTCATATGATCGGTTCATTTACTTCCTAAATTTGACAAACATCGTGAAATTTTGAAGGGCAAGATAATCTAATTCTTCCGAAGCGTCGGAGCCCGTTGTTTTGGTGACAGTTGAACTTCTAAAAACTTGAAAATATGTCCTATCCACAGTTTATTAAATGTAAGCCTGTAGATTGCAGATGCTCACTAATCTATACGATAATTTACTATTACTCAACGTATTTGAATATAATCTTTTAGATACTATTGCATTTTGAATATGAAAAGCAAATTAATGAAAATTGTTTGAATCTATGCACTAGTGTACCATTAGTTATCTTTCAACTAACTTAATACTCGAATATTAACTATTTAAGCTTTTTTTTTTATTTGCATAAATCTTTAAGTTAGTCTTTGGGGAATATTAACTATTCTAGTTTTTAATAATTTTAAACTCATTTGTTAGCTTTTGATTTGGTAAAAACAATAGTCAATTTTATTTTTTATATTTTTACTATCATTATATATTAAAAGTTAAAATAAGTATTGTCTTATAAAATTAGGAACTAACAAAAATTAAAGTCGTGTGCACGAAAGACCAAAAACTCGATAAAAATCAAATTTCAGTTTACCAAAAATAAAAAGATATATTTGATTTGATATAATGTATCAAAATTTAAACTAAAAAATATTTGAAAAGAATAAAAATTAAAAAAAAAAGCGTTTAATATAAAAATTTATATGATTTGATGAAGGTGAAAGTGTTTTTTAAGAATATTCTCATTACAAATTCATACTCTTAGTAAGGTAACTTTTTTTGGTTTAAGTATAATAAGGAAAAGTGCATAGGTAATATATTTTTTTGGTTGGGCTTTTGGTATATTTAAGCCCGTTTGCTACCATAACTATGACGACGCAACAATCATTCATTATCGAACCAAAAAATCATTCATTGCCCTTTGGCTCTGCAACTCTCACTCCATTTGTATTCCATGGCCGCCGCCAGAAGAATCATTGGGTCCAATAAGACCTTGTTGCCGTCCAATAAGACCTTGTCGCCTTCTCTTCTTTCTTTTCGCAGGGGAATTGCTTTCAAGCTTTTCGTCGGAGGTTCTCTCTCTCTCTCTTTCTATTTCTTCTACTGAAGCAATGCATTTTTTTCTGAACTGAACATGCCCTAAGGTTTAAGAGCTGTGCCTTGCATAATATTTTGTGATCATCAATGGAAAATCACATATGTCCAATCATTATTTAATTCATTAACCTTTGAAAAGCTGTTTGAAATTATTTTTATTAATTTGAATGCATGAATGAATACATATTAAGAAGTACTTAACCTTTGAAAATGGATTATTTATCCTTGGCGCTTTGTTCCTGGTTATTTTTCAGGATTGTCCTTCTGCACAACAGAGAAAGCATTGTCAGATGCGTTTTCCAATTACGGGCAAGTTATTGAAGGTATCTTAAAAATGATGAAATGCACGAACACTAAGAGCAAACACTAAGTTATATCATCTTTGTCATCTCAGCATTATATGGTTTTCTTGCCCATCACATTTCACAATGTTACCTTTTCAGCTAAAGTTGTAACAGATAGGGTGTCAGACAGACCAAAAGGATTTGGGTTTGTCACCTTCGCTTCACAAGATGAGGCCGAAAATGCCATAACACAGATGAATCGAAAAGTAATCATCAAACTTGCAACTCTGTGTCTTAAGTTTTCCGTTTAGGAACAGTTAGTTATGGCTTATCCCTTTGCATGTTTCGGAATTTTTGCTAATGAAAAACCAAACATGCTGCTTGGTCTGAGGCTATTATGCATCATCCATGTGCATATATAGTCTCTGTCAATTTTCATGACACATTACCAAGTTTTATAAACTCCAACACGTGAAATAGAAAACTTGGTCATGTCTCATGCGAAAATTGGCCAGAAATATAAACATGCGGTGGTTGTCTTGCACCATGTAATAATTTCTCATTTAAGTGAGGACTCGTGGAAATTCTTTGCAGGCACTAAATGGACGTGTTATTTTTGTTGATTATGCAAAACCCAATGTCAACACAGGTGGTGGAATGCCAATTGCCAGAGGACCTCCTGCAGATCCTTGATTTCCCCTCAGACCATATGATATTGTTTAATCATTTATTTGAGCAAGTGATATGTTAAAAAATGGCTACTATTATGTACACAACAAGTAGAAGCACTGAGCAGCACAAGTGATAATTGAAGGATTCATGGATTATATAATACTGACATGTGGAAGATTTTGTGATTGTAGCAGAAGCATATAAACTGTCCTACTATGCTGTTTGTGCCAAGAGCCTAAAAGAGTAATATGTTACACAAGGCTGAATTATTACGGAATTGGTTGTGTTCGTGCCACATCGTTATGGCAAATATGCTAACTCACCCATTTTCATGAATTATTGGTGTAAAAGAAAGTATTGTACGAGTAGTTTTTTTTAATAAATTGTGGTCGTAAGAAAAGTTTTACATTATTATTGTTACAAAAACTTTAAAACGACTTTTGCAAAAGAAAAAACATGCTGAACATGAAGCTTGTATATTCCAATTATAAGAAGAAAAAAAAAAACCAATTGATCATTACAATTATATTAACCACAATTCTTAATATAGATTTAGTTCAGCTTATAGTAGAGAGATGATCATTACGAGCAATTTGGCTTTAGGAAATATTTCTGGCTTTTATTTTGTTTGTTTTTAAAGTCTTGTATATGAAACAGTGAAAATAGAAAGAAAAATAATTGATGCTTCCATACAAATGTTTTAATAAACCAAACAAAACCTTATTTCTTTCAAGTTTTGAAGATAAGTTTTTAAATATAAAAAATATTTCAAAGTTTAAAATAAATTTTAAACATGTAATCCGTGTCTACAAAACAATGTAAATAATCCTTTTAATGTCCGCACAGTGGGTCACCGCGAAAATGGGGAATTGACTCCACGGTAGTTTGTAGTAGTTAAAGAACAAAAACATTGTTATAATAAATCTTGAAATAAGTCAGAATTTTTCAGTGACTGATTAGTCTCATGTGTGTAAACATAGTAAAGGTCGTTGTACAAGCTTTTCATAAAAGCTGAAAACATAGATAAAATACATAAACGCCGTCTGTGGGGATCGAACCCACGACCACGTGGTTAAAAGCCACGCGCTCTACCGCTGAGCTAAGACGGCTCACACGTTAATGGTTGTGTAAAGTATTATAAATTAATATTTTTTAAAAAATAAAAACAAAGAAATATATAATTAATCGCCGTCTGTGGGGATCGAACCCACGACCACGTGGTTAAAAGCCACGCGCTCTACCACTGAGCTAAGACGGCTTACATGCTTGAGTGGTTTTCTAGTAATTTAAAATTTCTTACTATTGCCATGAATAATTATGTAAATTGATAAATTTCAAATTAGGTTGAACCACGGTAAGTTGAGTTTGAAATTGATAAACTAACTTTACTTGTGAGTAAAAAAAAAAAACAATACAAATTAAATGCATTGAATCACTATACTTTAAATAGCAACAAAATTTAGAAATAACCTAAAAAATCTCAAAACATAAAATTTGTAGATGAACAATGTGGGTCACAAATTAGTGCAATGGCTCTATGAGTGTGTAATGTGATAGTATTTCACGTTTGTAATGTTATGGCTTTGTGGAGGATAGCAATGGAGCTTTGTAATTGTATTGGTTTGGGGATAGAGGCAGAGGATTTAAGGGTAATTAAGTGGGTGGATTTACCAATATTAAAGAAAAGTGGATAATGAAGTTAGGTGGTGGAGCATGGTTAATTAGGTGTGTTGCGTATAAGATGAAGATGCGTATGATAAATTTGTTTTTTATTATCTAAAAATATTGTGTGATTCAACTAGGTTTAAGTTACGAATTGAATCTTTTCAATGTTTTAGAGGTAGCAATCTCATTTCCTAACACTGTCACTTCTCATTCACAGTTCATTTACTTGTCCAGTTTTTTTTTATCATTTATTCTTCCAAATATCGTCAACTTCAAGCTACTGCAAGTCTGCAATTTCTTAGAGTATCAGATGTATTGATTGTTTTATCATCAGTTTATTGGTTCAGTGTGAACTAGTTAGAACGAAAGTGTAAGATACCGAATATAATCATTCATTAAATTCAAAAATAAAATTGGGTGAATCTAATTTTAAAGTTTTACACCAAACACGAAAATAATATTCTTAACCGATCAAAATACATATAACAAATCTGTATTATATTTTATTTTTAAAAGAATAATCAAATATACTCTAAATTTTTGTCATTTAAAAAGTTAAGGCTCCATGACAAAATTAAAATTATAGTTCAAAATTATATTTTGAATTATTTTAAAATCATAAATTATATTATAAGGTTTGGATTCTAAAATTATTCCAAATCCTATTATTTAAATCAATGTTTAATTAGAATTTGAAAAGTACATTAGTTATGAATCTAACGTTTAATAGTTAAATATTTAAAATATAGTTATATGATTATTGTAATAAAATGGCAAAAAAAATCTACCTTTTCAATTTCTTATATTATTAATGAACCCAGTAAACAAGTATTGCGAATAACAAATTATTGTCACAATATATATTTTTAATCGGTGATTAATTTATTTAAGTGTGTTTTTAACATATATATATATATATATATATATATATATATATATATATTCATTTTAATTTTTATTTCTTTAACTCATGTTAACTTCAACGTAACTTTTTTTATAAAATTAAAATTGTTTACAAGAATATATTATTTTTCACACTGTTCACCAATAATTAGAAAATATCTCGAGTTAATTATTTTATAATTAGAAGGATCAATCGTATATAGCTATTCTTGTAATTATAAACATGTTTTTAAATATTAACCTTTATCATTAACAAGGTTGATTAGAATTTCAAACTCCAATTTTCATGTTCAGTATTAAATGCCAAATAGGCATTCTGTAAAGTTTAAAATCAATTCTTTAAATTTCAAGTATCAATGATACACAAATAATATTATATATATGTGTCCTTTTCTATCTGTTATTATTTTAATGCTTTATGAAATAAATGCGTGATATTTTATAATTTAAAAAATAAAAAACTATATGAAAAAAAAACTAATGTGATAACATATTAATTTTTACATCATCAAACTAAAAGTTAAAAAATATATATATATACCTTGTGCAATTGCGCGTAAAGATGGAATTAAAAAACACATGAAATATTAAACTGTTGCATATGGTTCACGCATGCTTATGAAATCCAAACAAAGTAATAAATAATTGTCTAGAAAGCATGTGTTCAAAAAGTCAAAATATATTGGAAAATTTGAAACTGTTAAATATTGAAATCACATGCTAACAAGTCTAAGGAATATGATAACTCATAGCCAACTATGGAAGATCCTATTTTTAATTAACGAAATCTTCGTATCACAAGTCTAACTAAGCACAAAGTCAACTATTTTAAAATTAAAATAGCTATGGTATTATTTAAATTACTAAATATTGATACAAAATATAATGTTATATATATTTTTCAATTATATATATATATATATTAAAAAAAACATATCTTAAAGCTTAAAAAAACACTTAAAGATATTTCTTAAAATATACAAATATCATTTTCCAGACTAAAATAAGGCATAAGCACGCAGAGATCAATTTGATCAACAAATTATTTATATGACCCTGTAGCCATAATTTTTGTATATGTAGATATAATCTTTATATGGATCATATCAAATTGCATGCTACTATCATAGTGTACAATGTATATCACTGTCAACTGAACAAGTATTTATTCCACATGTTTCAAACTTGCTTCGTATAATAAGTATAACTTCTTCTTTTTTATAAATTAAAAGCAATAATAAAATAGATTATAAGATAAAAGGAGTTATTATTATTATTATTATACTTTGTTATAGAAATATATTATCAAGCGGGGAATTGTTAAGTGCCAAACTATATTTACAAGGGCGTCTTCCACTATCAATAATCAAACATTGATGTAATAACATAATCTATTACCACCTCTAAATACAATAAATATGTTTCATTAGACCTAACATAATTTTTTTGTTATATGTATTTATTATTTAAATCATTTTTAATATTGCATAATATTGAAAACTTGTGGGTAATTGAAAAAAAAAGTTTATATAGGAGAACAATTTTTTAATGAAAATTATTTCATTTAACCTTTAGAGGTGTTTTTAAACTTATATTGAAATTATAAATATTTATAATATATTAGAATTAGCTTTTTAACAGTAATTTTTAAAGAAATTTTTTTGAATTTTTAAATTAATTTAAAAAATCAAATATATTGTACTTGATATGATAAAATATATTTTTCAATTGAACTATTTTAAGAAGGTGATGACACTGTAAGCCTATTAGGTAGGATGAAATAAGCAATATTATGACACAGACATAAGTGGCATAACATTTTTTTAGTACTAAAAAATTCTCTGGGAAAGGATACATTTATCAAATAAAAATTTAGAGGAATTTAAGCCCACAATATATATATATATATACTATGAGTCATCAACTATGTGTCAAATCGCGATGGCTTTTATCTTCCTTACAAGTTAAAGCCATATTCTGAAAAAGAGTCCAGAAAGATGGCAATGTTATATGGCAAACTCTTTTACAAATACAGAATTCACATATCCTTTTATTTAATTGTTTTTATAATAAAAATTAATAGAATAATACATAAGTTTTTTACATTAAATAGGTTTATACTTTCATTACTTCCTTGTGTCTGTTGATGGTTAAAATAATTATGACAGTCATATATTAAATATTATATTTGTTTAGCTATTAATTACAGTATTTAAGACAAAAATTAATAATTATATTAAAAAGTCCGTTATTGAGCAACTTAAATTTACTAACGTTATCAAAATGTTACTGCTTCCTAAATTTATGGGAGTCATTGTCATTCTTAGGTCGGTTTAGGTAAGAGACAGAGGAACCAAAAGGGGAAAAAAAAAAGAAGCAAAACAAACTCCCTTGTTTCTTTACTTGTAATTTCATTTTTATTTTTATTCTATTTTTTATCCAAACATATTTCTTAGGGAAGATTATTGAAAAACAAATAAAGAATAATAGATTTTATCATCACAATATAAAAAAAAGAAAAAAAAAGCAAAAGATTAATAAAGTCAGAGCATTTGCAGCTAACAACAGAATCATCATTCACTATTCATACTCTTAACTTTTTAATTAAATAAAAATCACTGACTAACTCTTTGTTTTCTTCTTTTTGGTATGTTTTTTTTGTAAGTGTATAAGGAAGTTAAAAGAAAGACAATTGTATATTCAGAAGAGAAAGAGAACGGAAAGAGCCGCAAACGACAACACCAGGAAGGCCACGCAAAACATATCCAACCTTCTTTCAGCCTTTACTTTCTTCTCCTTCCTCTCTTCCTTTCGATTTATGAATTCCCCATATCTGTGCCTCCCTGCTTTTTCATTCTTCAATTTTCCTCTTTTACCCTCCAACGCCCTCTGTAAAATTTTCAAACTATCCCTTCCATTCAATTGCATTCCATCCATATCCTCCATATGCAAACACACTTCCCTCACTTGCATTTCACCTCCACATGTCACTGTCATGCTGCAAAGCACCCCCTCGGTTGCTGACCCTTTCTCTCCACCGTCAATCAGCGATGCAAACCGCATCTGCACCTCTCCACTCAGCCAATGCCGCCGCACCGACACAGGCTTTCCACTGGATACGTTCATGGCACGTTTTCCTTTCGGATCAATCACTATCCAACTCAGTGTCAGTTTCTCTCCAAGACCGTCACACGCTTCCTCACTCCTAGGATACTTCATCACCGATGGAACTGCCTCCTTCGGTTCCAACAGGTCCACCCTGAAGGGCGAGCACCGGAACCATCCAGACTCAGTCTCCGTCTCCACCATCCTTGACAGCACCAACTCTTGCCGATGGAAGAGGTCCACAGCAGAGATAAGTTCCGGCGCAGCACCATCGGTACACGAGCCATGAGCTGCTGCAAGGGCCACAGGAAAAGAGTCAGAAAAAAAAGAGTGAGAAGCGCCTGGGAAGGTGGCTATGATGTGGCTAACGCGTGGCGCCTTGGTGGAGGGCCACGTGTAATGGCAAATGTTAGCCCAGAGATGGTCGAGCGCTGAGAGGGCGTGGAACTCAGAGCACGCGCTGGCAACAGAGGCGAGTGCTGGGCCGTCGAGGCGGGTGAGGATGTGTGTTTGAATTACATCGGGATGGACAGCAGAGATGGTGGTGGCGTCACCTGACTCATCGGCAGCGTTGGGGGTGTTGATTTTGGCGCAAGTTGAAGGCATGGTGTGTTCTTTAAGTTCTTAGTTTAGAGCTTAAGGAAACTTTTGGTTTGGGAGTCTTATATATAGAGAACCTAAATGAAGGGATAAATGTAATGGCAATGGAGGGGTCAATGGCGGATTTTAAATGCCCCTCACTTTTCGTTTTAATCACAGGACTAACCTTTTGTCCTCTGTTGACTGCTACCAACTTCATCTTGACCACACTGACTTTATTTATGGCAGATTCTGTACTTGCCATCCCTCCGTAAAAGCTGCATTCATTCATGTAAAAAGCCCACAACCTTCTGTAATAATTTATGTCTTCTAGCAAACCTTAATAACTTTTTTCAAGGTAATGATTAAGAAATTTAAATTATATTAAAAAATATTGTTATTGTACATTTTATATTTTTTAATATTATTTAATACAAGTTTTATACTTTTTTTTTGTTAGGCTACTTTTTATAAAATGTCAGTAACTTTTTGTAAGACATATTATAATTTTATCAAATATTTATTTTCTTACCTTATTTTTAATAAATAAAGTTTATCAAAATTAATTAAAATAAAAAATTATTTATTATGTGCAAATTTGTACAAATTAATTCTATTTAATTTGAATATAATTATTTTTAATAAAAAAAACATGTGCCTAACAAATTTGTACATATTAAGCTTCATTAATTATAAAATTTTAATTAATTAAAGAATAAATTATTCATTTTTCTCTTTCTTATTTATTGTCTTTCATCAGTTAATTAAAAATACATAATTAATAAGGCTTAACATGTTTAAATTTGTACAGAATTGGTAAATTGTTAGAGTAACTATTGATAATAAAATTAAGTAGAATAACATTAAATAAAGATAAAATATCATGTCATAATAATTAAAAATAATAACTTGTTACTTTCTTAAACTTTTATAATTTAATTAAAACTTTGATTTTTTATAAAATACCTTTTTAAAAAAATTTAATAACTTTTTTACGTCACACTCTAGTTTTATGAAACGTAAGTTTTTCACTGTTATTTATAAATAAATTTCACAAAAATTTAAACCAATATTAGTAAAAATAAATATTAATAATAAAATTAAATTTAATGATGTTAAATAAAAGAAAATTTTTATATTATAATTTTTTTTTAAAAAATATAAATATATAATCAACGGTAATTATTTTTATTAATTATTATAATTAAATTAAGATTTTATCATATAAAAAATAAAAACAATCTTTAATAGGTGTAACTTTTAATTTATTAATGGTAGTTAAGGCAAAAAAAATTTTATAATGTAGCATAAACAGACAGGACAGTGGACCCAATTAGACTACCTAATTCATTTGAATTTTATTTTTTGTTTTTAAGTACTATTTTATTTTGAATGATTTAGTGTGTATCCAAATTAATTTAAGAAATTTTGAAAAAAAAAAATATATTTTGTTTTTTGAACTTTTAACTGCCAACCAGATATTTAGAGTGAGTTGTAGATTATCCATGTCTCGAATATAGTGAGACCGTTTTCCTGAGACTGCACAAGCGGTGCCGTCTGAACAGTGAACTGGTTTTCTCTGATCAAAAGATAAAGGCAGATTTATCTAGCATTTTTTTTTTATTAATTGTTAATGTCCTTTTTAATTATTTTTTATTTTTGAAAAATAGATACATTAATGTTTTAAAAATATTAAATAGTAATATTTTTCTTGTTCAATAATCAAGAAAAATTATATAAAAATAATTTAAAATTATCATATTGTCCTTATCATTTGTGACCGCCTGTATAAGCTTTACTCAAGATACTATAAAATGAGAGTCAACGCTTAAAAAAGCTTTAACTTTAAACAAACAAAAGTTACCTCAATACACAGTTAAATGACCATCATCTTATCGTATCTAAAACCTTTTGCAACAAATACTTCTAAATTCTTTTATACATATTAATATAAATTTTTTATTTGTATGCACATTATTAAATATTAGATAATAATTATTAATATTGTTTATATTTTAAATTAATAAAATATAAATTTTATTTAACATTTAATTTATAAAATAATAAAAACTTTAATTAAAAATATGTGAAAGTATAACAAAAATCTTTTAGTCCTTCCAATTATTTACTGACATTTAAACTTTTATACAGACATTTTAAAATTATTTTTTTAAAATTAATATTTGACTTTAAATTATGTTTTTCATTTATTATATTAATTATTTTTTTAATATTATTATTTTATTAATATTTATTAAATAAATAATAAATTAATTAAATTAAAGACTTAAAAATATTATTATCTATTACTTTTTATAAAAAAAATTACTAAAAACATTAAAGAAAATAAGCTATGAGTATAAATTAAGTAATATGTAATTATTAATATAGATAAATAATTGAAGAGTTAATTATTTAAATTCTTATACTTTTAAAAAAATTTGTTTTCTTAAATAATGATATAATTAATTTAAATATTATTATATATTTTTTCTTTTATCACGTGTCACTTTTTTATGAAGTTATAACACTGGTATAAACTAAATTTAACATTTTTTAAGTATAAAAATAAAAAATAAAAAATTAAATATAGGGATTCTTAATTATGAGTTTATATAGCCAATGTAATTTTTTTGTTTGTTATTCCTTAATATTTTATAAAAGAAAAATATTAATAAAAAACATAATAAGTAATATTAACTCAATCTTTTACATAAAAATATAAATAAAACTAAATATAAAAATGTCTCATAACATTTGTTTTAAGGGGTAGATATTGCAGCTATTATATTTTTTCTAACAAAATCATAGTTAAGACATAAAAGTTACCTGACATCAAGTAACTTTGAAAATCAAATTTCTCAACTTTAATTAACTTTTTAATATTCACATTTCATATATAATTGTACAACCTGTATTCACTATTATCGCTTTTATGTAAAAATATATTATTTGAAAATATTAAAAAATTTAATTTTCAATAAGAACTATTCATGATTAGATTAATTAAAATTCATCAATCATTCTTACCTTTGCATTAAAAGCTCTTCACACTTTATATGCTTGCTATATATACATTTGATTCATAGTTTATTTGGCCCTATGAAGCTTAAACAAAAGTTGCCACAACACTATAACATGTATAGTTAGTGATAACAAGGAAGTAATATACATGCAAAAGTTAATCATTGTTTATAGTAGCACAGTAGCAATAAGAGAAAGATTTGGCATATCTATATACTATAGATTATATAATATTTAGATACAAGTATTATACAATCAATGTAAAAAAAAAAAGTTGTGTGGTTCACTAGCATTAACACTACATAATTATAGAAGATTTTAGTTACTTGTCACCATAGGTGTGACTTTTGGTTGTGATTCAATGTCTGTGTACAGAGCATTAGACACACAAACACAGATTTAATAGATAACAAAGTGTTTTAAGCCTTCATAGATTACCTAAACAATATACTATTAATCACAGTTAATAAGAAGCAAGAATAACTTTCCATTCACTTGCAACCTTTTTTAAAGTGAGAAACAAGCTTTAAACAATAATGCATTAAACGTATTATTGAAAGTTGTAACACAACTCTATTGCACATGTAGACTTTCACTTTTAGATGTGCTATATATATATATTCTAAAAATTCCTGTGAATTATCAAACACCTTTTAGGCTCGAAGTGTCCATTAGGGTACATTAATATCTGCAATGTTCATTAGCTATGTCATAGTCGTTAGACACTTAAAGTTTGTAAATATTGTATTTTAATAAACATTAACTTGAGTGAAATATTTCAGTGAGATATTTATAAACCAATGCCATAATAACTTTTATCAGCTAAATTAATTTTTTTAGATATTTTTTATATTTTATCTATACTTACAAATTCCATATAATGTGAAAAATATTTATTTGATTATTTTGGGTACGAGGCACACGATTTGTATGCTGCACACGCAAACAATAAAGTAAGAGACAATAATTAATGCGAAGCACACCTTCTCTTTAATCATATGTTTACTTTGTTAAATTAAAAAAGACAAATTGTGATTGTGTGAGTTCAAACTGAGTTTCTAACAAAAATAAAATAGAATTGAATATAAAAATTTAAATTTAATATTTTAACATACATCTAAAAGCACAATAAAAAAACATGTATAATATTTTTTATTAAAAATAAAATATCATAAAATTCACTATAAAAATAATATTAAATTTTTAATAAAATATTTATTTATTAATTTTTTAATGTGTATGTAACCATAATTTATCTCTTCTTCCCTTTTCTTTGTTTGGTATAAAATTACTTAATTTTTTAATAAAATTAATTTTGAGATATTAATATATATACAAACTTAAATTATATATTTTTATTAAATATATATTAATGATTAGAAATATGACCTAAGCTATTAAGAAGGAAAAAAACAGAGAAATGAATTAGATCAAATTAACAATCGCAATCATTGCACCTAAACAATCATTTTAAGGATGACAATCTAGTGGCTTCATTGGAATATTCTCAAACTATATGGATGGAGCTATAAAAAGGAAAGTGGCCAGGATATGCGGGAAAAAACAGGCCAATATGTAATAACTCTTTTTTTTTTAATTACTATTATGACAATACAATTTAAAAATTATTAAATAATATTATTTAAATATTAAGTATTACAAGAAGTTAATTTAACAGTTGATGGTATTTAATAAATGACACACATCACAACACAATGACACGTTTTAATGTGACACATGTGCCGTGCTTTAAGAGGAGTTTGAAGGTAATTGCAAAAATGACAATAGAAAATATGACAAAGTTGTAGGTAATGCGTGATTATATGAAATGGCGCTACAAATGAAAAAAAGTAACAAGTGGCGACTCTTCAACTATGATGCTAGAAGAATGAGTGCCATAGCTTATAGTATGATGCATTACAGTATTAGAAATACCATTTTTAAGTGTATTGTTCAATGAGTTACGATTTTAGCTAAAGGAGGAAATAGAACAATCGGGTGGAGAAATGGTTACATGATGAGAAAAAGAAGGAAACAAGCAGAAAAATAAGGAAAAGAATGAGTTGTGGACAAAACAATTGGGATGCATGTGATAGTAAAAATGACCAACCAACAAACCGTCCAGGCCCACCACCATTGAAAGAAGAAGAAGAATTGAGATATTAAGAGAGATCAAAGAAATAGAAGATGCAAGCACAACCCATCATACTAAGGTTTCTAACTTATATGTTTGTGTGCTTTTAGCCTTAGGAGACTAATTAAAAATGTATTTTTAACATTAAGGGGAGAGAGTAAACAAACAAGTTTACAAAGTCATAATATTAAAATTTTTACAACACTTGAGCCCACTTTTAACAGAGATTTTAACCTAAAGACCCGTATTTTCACTCACTGCATACCCTTTATTTGCATTCTCTATGCGTTAAGTTAACGGACAGGAAAGCGTTTATCAACACACTTTTTATCTCATATATTTAAATGTAAGATATTGTCATTCTTTTTTTTCAACACATTTTTTTCTACTAATTTTTTGTAATATATTATTTCATCTGTCTCGTAATATTTATTTTTTAAAATCGTATGCATACCTTGAAAAGGTTACTAACTGCACAAATTATTATAACGAATTCTTTTTTTAATAAAATTATCTTTGTTAAATGAGTTAGATAATAGTTATATATAATTATCTTTTAATGTTTTTTTAAATTACAAACAATTTAAGACAAGCTATAGCATTTATAGTTTATCAATGATAAAGTGTGCGGTTAAGTTTAATTGATAAATAATGGTATTTCAAAATAAGTAATATTATTTCAACAAGCATTATTATTATTATTTAATTGTACGTGCGATTTTAATTTTTTTAGTTTTAATTGCAAATTTTAATTTTTCAAAGGTTCAAATTAAGTTTTTTATCTTAAAATTTTATCTAATAATTAATAAAAGTATATTATAAATATGACATTTTATTAGTTTATAAAAATAAATAAAAAACATACAAATATTTAAATAAATATATAAAATGTAATTAAAGTCTTAAATTTAGAATGAATAACTTAATTTCAACCTTTTAATTAAACAAATTAAATAAACAAAATACAATTAAGTATTTTTTAGCTGAAGCTTTCGTTAATTTTGTATTTATTTTCTCGTTGAAACAATTTTTGGAGAAACATTTTTCATTGTTGGGTGCAAAATGAATTTACAAGATTCTCCAATGGTATAAAACTCTACCAAACACGTTCCTGCTCATTTGTTGCAACTTTAAATAAAATTTGAGAAAACAAACAAAATAAACTTTTTAGAAAATGTATCATTTTGTTTAAAATACTTTCAGCTAAGAGTATTTTGAGGAAAACCATGCTATTTGAATGTTTTCCAGGAATATATTCTTTAAGGGAAACATTTCACACTACCAAGTGATTTCTATACAAACCATTGAAGTATTTAGTGACTGATCATAATTTATTTGATGCTAAGCTGATTTGGTCTGTGTGTCTGTGGCTATCTTGTGAGCATTTAATTTTGAACATATTGTTGACTCTCAAAATTCTACACAACCCCATTTGTTGAAGTCAAAATTGTGTTTTTGAAAGCCTATTTCCACATTTTCAAAACCTCAGTTTTCTACCATTGCCTTTGCTTGGCCACAGCTTTTCCATTTGATTTGACCTGCTTTGTTACTCATTGATATTAATTGCTGTCATAGTCTATCGTACTTATCAAGTTCCTTTCCCTAGAATTTTCTTTTAGATTAATAATTATATTTCAGTTCTTGCAGGATTTGGTGATTAGGGATGATGATGATAACTCTTGCTATATTTTTGTGTACCAAGAGAAAGTTATGTTACATCCATAGAGAAATAAACATGCCCTAATTTATATGAAAGAAGAATTTTTACAAGCTCTAACTAATAAACACAATTATTGAATCTTTAAACTTTATAATTCAATAATATCAGTTGGCATTCATTTAAATTTTAGAACCTGTAACAATTTTATAATTTTAATTCACCATAAAATATATATTTTTTTAGTTTCAACTTTTGTGTAATGTTCTGAAAATTATCAATTTAGTTTAATTTAATTTTTAAACTTAAATATATTTTTAGTCTATGTCATTTTAATTTTTATTCCATAAAGTTTTATTTTTAATTTTTTGTAGATCTTGATTCTTAATTTCTTATAATTTTATTGTTTAGGCTTTACTTTTTTATAATTTGTCAGACAGTAATATTGTTGACTGTCTCACGAAAAAATTGTTGGAGATAGAAATTAATTAAACTTAAAAAAGTAAAAACAAAAGGTACTAAAAAACAAAGATTTTTTACTAAGCCAAATTATAGAAATATAAAATGTAACCTAATTTTTATATTAAATCATTAAAAATAATGTTAATTTTGCTATTCCAAATTTGATAAATTAAAAATGATTAGAAACATGAAATTACTTTTTCTATTATACTCTGAGGGGAAGAGAGGGTGTTCGTCCAATATAAAAGGTTATTTAGAAACGAAAAAGTTTAGGGGAGGGAGGGTAAACTCTGTTCTCTATTGTTCACACTGTTTCTTCGGCAGCGCGATTGTTGGAACCCATACAAACGCTTATGCAGAGGTCAAATCGTTGGTCACCATCACTGCTAGCTCAGCTCAGCTTCTGCTCTGTTGCTTGTAAGCCACTGATTTGTCTCTGTATTTATATTTTAGCTCTATTTCTCTCCAGTGAAGTGATGAGAAACCAATACAGGTATTAGTCATTCACACTCACACACATATTCTGAAACCTGCGTATATTTCTACTTTATGATATCAAATATGGCTACCACCGGATGTGCAAGAATGATCGGGACTCACGAATTTCCCTAATTTGGTATCCCTATAAATTGATACCATTAGAGCCCCAATTCCGTTGTTCTTGCTGTGTTTATTTATATTATGTTTGTATGCAAATTTCTGAACTAGAGTTGGATGATGTAGGTGTGTAAATACAATTTTTTCTTGACAGTAATAATCTATTACATTTTATTTCTTTGTGTCAGATCATAGAATAGACATTTGTTAGGCCTTTTAGATTTAAGAGATCTATTGCATTGTGAAACTTAATATTATGACTCCTAACAGTCGTTGTTATTGTTGTTTAATATGATTTTGAGAATAATTTTAGTGTCAGTGTATGGGAAAAAAGGGAGCCGCACTTATGTATCGTTGTCAAGTTAACCGAACTCACCAAATGTTTGAAATTTTCGTCTTCCTATCTGTGTTTGATTAATATTGAAGTGAGTAACGACCAAAGATAGTGTCTTTGGACAATTCTTATAACAACTGTTTTCTTTGGCAGTTTTTTTGTTTCACTATGGGGTTGAGTTTGTCGTAATTTAAACATTAATATGTTGTTTTTGTTATTATTATTGTTGTTTTCACATTTTGGTGATTTAAAAATTTCTTTTGTTCTTGATTCATGAGTCTCTTCACCCATTAATGAGTTGGAGCTCAATTCAGTGCTGACATCTTGTTTTACCCTCTTACAGTCTAGTTGTGAGTTCATCGTTGCTGCAAGCTCTGTTCACACTTTGGATTTGCCAAATGAAAGTGAGGGTTGTGTGCAGGAAAATTTACGACTACATACGCTATGATCTCAAAGAAATTGCTTTTCCCTCCTCTTTGCCAGATCCTCCTCATATAAAAAAACGCCGTATATTGACCTGGGAGGAGCGTATCTGGGTAGGCCCGTCCTCAATAATGCTTCCCACTTTCATTTTCAACGAAGATGATGGGTTGTCAATCTTTGCTTGTTTTCCATTTAAATTTGTTTGGCTTTATCTTAATTCAACACAGTTTTGTTGTCCCCTCCTTCAAAAGACAGTGTCTGTTAGTAAGAGCTAGGGAGAATGAATAATGTGCCCATTTTGATTGTACCGATCACAAAGAACATATTGTAGTTGCCATGATTTTATTGTTTATTATTGGGGTTGTTTGTGGATGACGGTGCAATTTGGATATACTGAACTCTAGTTAATTGCACAGATGACACTTGGCTATTGGTAATTTACATTGTACTGAAACATTGAATCTTCAGGTTTTGAAGAGAGCTGCCAGGCTTTATGCTGCAAGCTGGGTCCGTGACATTGGTCCTGATCTTCGGCCAAATGATTATAAGAAGGACGAAATGACTGATGAAACAAATGGTGAAAAGAAAACAACTACAGCAAAAGAACCCTCGACACTGGAGGATCTTGGTACTATCTTTTGCTATAGTTTAATGTCATTATCCTGTTTGGAGTTAATGGCTATTGGCTTGTCAAAATTAATATTGTTATGATCAAAGTACAATGGTGCTTGTCACTGTGACTTTATTGAAGAGTAGTTAAGAAATACCTTTACTCTTTGGTGTACTCATGAAGTTTTGTGAATTATTTATTCAAACTATAATGAATTAGTGACTTTCATCAAGAGAAAACAATTAGGATGCTGCTCAATATTGAGTCAACAGTGTTCTAAAAATAATGAACATGAACAATTAGTCAAAGATTTCTTCAGGAACTAGAGCACCACCCATTGCTTATTTAGCATTCAGGAGAACATTATGGTCTTGCTATTGTTGCAACTCCAAACCTCTGTTTTCAGGATTTTATGCTATGACTCGTTTGATTGTAACCTCCCTTTTCTTTTCTTTTTTTTGTTTTTATTTTTCCTACCATTTTTTTCTAGTGATGCTTTCCTAATTGAATAATGAGTTTGTGATGGTGATTTGACCAAGCATGTGTATTTTTTAATGGAAAATTTACAGCTATAGCCGCTAGAGGGGGAATGGAGACTCTCAGACCTGCTTTGCAGCGTGTATACATGACCAGAGCTTCTGCATACAGGGATGCTCTTAAAAGTTTCATAGAAGGATACCAAGAAGGTGTTCAGCAAGTAATGGAAAAGGAGAAAATTTCCAAAACTCAAGAAAATGCTGATGTACAGAAAAAATAAACTTGAACTTTCTTGTAGTAGGCAGGGTGTTATTTCTTCTCCTGCAGACCCAGCTGTCATTTAGATTCATGCATGAACATTTGCTAAATTAGTGAAAGTCCCCTTGAATTAAATGGTTTTAATGTATATTGCACTGAACAAATGTAATTGAATATTCCAAAATAGATGTATTTTGGATACTAAACATCCAATCATAGTCCTGAGTTTTGTTTTAATGGTATGTTTGTTTGGAAAGTGGTAGCATTAGCTCATGTTGATATCGTGTTTCTTTAGTAGCTATAGCAAATGGTGAATTATCTATTATTATTTGCATCCCCCCTCAAGATAAGGGTTTGATAATTGCTGATTATACAGGACTCTTGTTAGTTTTACAATCACTGAAGACTACGTAATGAATTTCATGTCATTGGCAAAGGATGGGAGGATGCAGTTGACACTAGGTTTTTGCAATCTAAATTATTCTGTGTAGAGCTTCACATATCCAAATTTGTTTTTTTCTCTTAGAGATATGTGAATGCACGTTCTTAAAGATGATATAAGGTGAGCTTTTTTATGATTGTTATCGGGTTGGGTTATATAGTATCCTTGGCTAATGCTAATTAGGTTAGATTGTGTCATCATTTCTTCTATGTAGAATTACTGAGGCATTCTACAATATTTTTTGGCTTCTGGTGGGTTGAATTATCAGTCCGGGACTATGAGGTGCTAATTATATCGTAGGATGCCATCTTTTTTTTGCTTGGAAAACATGTTGTGGCGGATAATTGGGTCATTGGATGCCAGGGTGAATAGTTTTGGTTTCATTTTGGAGGATGAGATGGCTGAGAAGACTAGCATAATGTGAAAGATAAGACAAATTTATGCCCCACAAAATATTATTGACTCCATCTCTTGAGTGACGAGCCTTCTATATTGGACCACTTCCTTATGAAGCTTCCACGAATAGTCCTCAAAATTATGGAGGAATAATTCTTACTATTTCAGGTAAGAGTCATAAGTTTTTCTTTGTAGTAACATTGTAGGCGTGGATTATATTTTCAGTCTTGGCTTGCCGCCTAAGTTTGCTGGGAAACTTTTAAAGCACAAGTTTTAGATCAGTAGAACTATGACATTGAGGGGCATAATCTACACAATTGACATATATTTTACTTTTCTGCAGTAAAAACCAGTTTGGCAGGATGAACCTGATGAGTATTCCATTTTGAAAAGATGCAAGAAACAGCTTTGGTTTGTGATTAATCTGTTTAATTTTGGTTTTGGTAGCATATGAGCTGAAAGGAATCAGGTTACGGAGATGCAAAGGGAGACTTAGTCGGTGTTGATGCTGAGATCAGTATGGTGCTATATTCGCCAAGAAGAAATTAAATTCCCATTGGTGCTCTTTATTCTATATGACCTAAAGGAGGGACAGGGTGAGATTCATCGGGGCCTTTCAAAGTAATGCTTAGTGGAGTGGAATGAAGTGATACACACATTATTTCTCTCATGTTTTCCCCTTTAATGTCATCTGTACTGTATTACTGTTAATCATAACTGGATCACTCTTGCAGGTCAAATCCTTTCATTTCTTTGATTGGCCATTATGTGTAGGCCAGTGATAAACACCGCATATCTGAGGACCCTCCCACTTGCAGAGCCAGTGAGCCACTGAGAGAGAGAGAGATTGGACGCCTTCTAAGGCAGGGCTCAATGTGCCTCTTGTGTAAATCTTTATGGGCCCTAATAATCACATGACACAGTATTTGATTACTCATAAAGGTATTCTGCTCTTTCTTTTGCAAAATTATTTTGTATTGACTGTATGAAAGTTGTATTGATCACATTGATTGAAGCTAAAAGCTTTGGTGAATCCACTGTTTATACACAGTGATCAGCTCAAGCTCTTCTGGCCTGTGGGTCCTCGAAAATTATCATTCGGTTTCTTCTTCCTCTATGAGAGACAAGGGCAAGGACTTGTACTGGTTGGAGTTTGGAGTTTTGGTAATTCAGTGCGATGAATCATTGATCAAAAGCATTTCACTGACGGGTCACGTCCTTATTTCCGCAACCCCTACTTGTCTTCTATATAAGCAGTTAATAGTACTACAGCTTGAACTTCAGTCAGTGAAAGTGTCCTTCACCTGATAATACCTAAGTGTTGTACCTGAAATTTGGATTTTTTCTTTCACCATGAAGCCATATCACCTTAGAGAGAGAAAAATGAGTGGAATAAAAAAAACACAAAAGAAAGTAACATGTACAGCGTGCAAGTGGTGGAAAATCAATAAAGTGGACCAAAAGTATTTCTTTCACTGTGACCACCCCGTTAATCAGCGAATGAAAAACTAAGGAAAGAAACAAAGGATTTACCTCAATGGCATTGATAGCTAGGTGTTATTAGAGAGCTTAAGGATCATTCAATGTGGTCTAGCTGCATTACCTTTGGGGATTTACTGTTTTATTAGCTTGCTATTTAAGGATACCTAAGTCTCCTTTTTGGTTTCTGGTTTTCATTCTCCATTTTCCCATCTTTGTTTAAGCATTTTACCCTGGTCAGTTTCTTTGTGAACGTTCTCTTTTCCCTTTTTTCTTCCATTGCGTGTTATTTTTAGTTTGCAAAAATATACAACTGCATACAACAGACCATAGAAAACAGGTCTGGCCACAACGCAGTGGGGGGGGGGGGGGGGGGACCATGGCCTGTTGACATGCTCAAATTTATTGTCTTATGCTTCCCTATTTTCACTTGATTTTCATCCACATGTAAAAACGCTCATGAGTGAAGACAAATGAAGATGAGGAGCAGCTTGTCATTACTCGAATAAATGCGTCAGGGCACTACTAGCCAAAATTAGCGTGGAAACAAAATTTGAAATGTTAATCTTTAGTTAAAAAAAAGCCGAAAATATCCCCCCTGGAATGATCACTCAAAGCAGCTCTTTGTAACTATTGAGGTTGTGGTGCGAGTGCAACCTATATACAAAAAGGTGGCATGTGGTTAGTGTTGATTAATTAGAGGAGTGGACTTATTAGTACGTCTTTGGTTGTGCTATCTATCAAGTCAAGTCGACCTCCCCACCCATCATCCCCACCAACGCCAAATAGCAGCACACCATAAGTGGCACCATACCATCCTTCCCAACCCATTATTATGATGAGCCCCTTGTGAAAAATCTTTAGGCAGAATCACAACAGAGGCAAATTGATTCCTCATCATATTTCCAATGACATTAAATTCTCCATTTAGTACGTCATTCGGTGTATTACTGGGCCCCACTATGCCTCTCCATACCTTACCCTCTGATTCTGCCCTCTGGCTGCAGTCTCTTTTCTTTTCCCATCACTACTCTCCACCTTTGGGTTTACTCATTGCCACTCTTTTGGGTGTGAATGTTTGGTAAGAAAATCAGGGATTTCGCTTCTTTTCTCTCTTCTAGTTTTTCCACTCTTCCTCTTTCTGTCCCTCTCTCTTTATTTCCCCTTTCCTTTCCCTTTTAGGCAGGGTTTGAGGGGGGGAAACCTGACAAGTGGGTTAATTGGGTCAATTATGAGATGTCGCATCCACCTATCTTTGTCCTTGGCCATTTCTCTTCTGGATGACATCTTGTTGCAATCACGCCTCGACACATTATGTTGATTCCTGCTATTTTCTTTTTCACTACATTGAAAAACATTTTAATAGTTATCAAGATGTGCCATTGATTTTAACCAAGAAAAAGGAGAGGAACAGAAAAAATTATTAGTTGTGGTGAAAAAAATGAGTAAATAATGTCTTCAAAACATTTATTGTCATGTTCATCCTTAATCTTGCCCATGTTTTTTTTCAAACTGGGTTCTTTCTGCGCGTATCGAGGGTTAAACTAATGCTTATTTATTTAGTGCTTATTAAGGTATTAACAAATTTGAGTTAGCATCGTATACTTTTTTAAAATTAAAATAGTCTTTTGATTTAAAAAGTATCGTAGAAATTACTATTTATAATATTGCGATTGTATCTCTGACAAGTATTTTTTTTTTCCCTGAGGACTTGCGCGTTTGAAATTCAATTCATACATTTCATTTACGATTAATTTTGTGTCAGTTTTTGGAAAAGGGTATAAAAGTTTAAGCAAGAACCTTTGGTTTTTGGTAAATGGGAGTGCGTAAGCCCATATTAGGTAGGAACTTTGTCCTTGAAAAAAATGTTTAAAGAATCGATTGAACCTTTTCCCGGATACCATAAAGTATGAGAAACCAATCCCTTAAATTCAGGATTCTGAAGAGGGATAAACCACTTGAGAGTGACCTGAAGAGACACTAATTAGAATATCTATACCATCGCTTGAAATAGTTAGTTTACTTCCTTATCTTGTATATTCATTGAGTATGCTTCTGAAAGCTTTTGATCGAGTTGTCAACCATGTCTTGGAAAAAGTTACCCATAAACATGACATTCATTATGTTTAAGACCAACAAACAAGAAAGCTTGTTCGGAGAAAGATTAATCATAATTTGATCCTGTCATCCTTTACACTTCAATTATGTGTCTATTGGTTGGCAGACCCCCACACATAAAAAGAGAAATGAGATTTACCCTATAAATCCCGTTTCAAGGTTAAAAGAAATTTCTTTTAATCTATGGTGGAAAATGGATTTGCATTATCGGCACATCACCTTTCATCACGCAATTCTAGAGAGGGAACGGTGTTAATTTCCAATTAAAAAGAGAACGAAGCTAATTCTGCCGGTGTAAAAGGAAACCTACAGCTTAGCATCCTTATTAATCAAAGATGCGGAATCAAATTAATGAATTGAAGACATAAGTGATTAGACCTCACATCTCATGACTTAAGCGGAGATGCTCTAAGTTCCAATACAAAATGGATAACCTTCATGAACCCCACGAAATTTATATCTATTTAGATTTGTGTGTGTGTGTGTGTGTATCGCTTTCACCCTGTGCCTTTCTTATATAGTTAGAGGCAAAATTCATTGAAAGCATGTCCCTTCTGGCATTGGCACCTTAGTTGAAAATAAATATGCTTGATTGACAGGGAACACGAGGATCCGATAAACCGAATAAACAATCTATTTCCATTTGCATGCATCTCCCGAATTTAAGACAAGAAAGATCCTCCGTAATCTTCAACGTCACCCTAAATAAATATACTTATAAAAAAAAGAACAGTTGCTTTCAAGAGTATGTTGATGACAAGGTCATTGATTATAATTAATTAAGGGGATACCTTAACCCTGAAGCTGGAAAGATACAAAAAAAAAGAAAGAAAGAAAAGGAGAATCTAATAAGAAGGGGGGCATAAATATCTAATAGATGCTAGTATGGTTGTTGACGTAGCATGTGATGGTGAGGGTTGGAAGAAGAAGAATAAGAGGGTTGATGGTATAAGTGTTGGGTAAGTGTAGGCTGGTTTGACGACATAATGTTATAGGAGCATTCGGGTGTTGAGGTTTGGGAATCATTATGAGGTTGGCATTCCATGTTCACACCAAACAGCCTTAACACCCTGCAACTTGAACTTGAACTTGAACTCGAACTCAAACTCCAACTGTTTCCTCCCGCTGTCGTTTCCTTCTCACCCTGGCAGTGGGACCCTCCACCTGTAACATTACAACACGTGCAAATGCCCATCCTTTAATTATTACTTCTCATTTTTCAATCAACCAAATATATGGATAACGCATTCAAAATCAAATCTCCATCCACCAAAATTCAACCAGCTTCTCCCAAGGACTACTCATAGTAGTAACACATTTTTATCAAATATTTAAAATAAAATTTCAATTTAATATCATCACAAAATTTTGAGATTAAATTTCAAATTTGATTGAAACGGTCAATTAAGTTTTCTCCATAAATTCATGTACTGTTGTTGATTAAAAATTATTATGCAGAATTATTAGCATTTTTCTTAAATGTAAAAACTTCATTTTCTTAAGTTGTTTTGTTCAACGAAAACGCGCGCGTATGCTTCACGCATCCACGTTACACTATAGAGGCCAGGTTGTTTGAGCAACCTGAATCCGCCGTATTGATTCCTTTAAAACGAGTGATAAGGTACAAAATACAATTATTCATAATTAGAAAACAATCGATTAAGGTATTAATAATTTCAAAATATATTATTTTAACGGCTAATTTTTTAGTGAATAATTTTCACTGTAATTTATCCTTATCCACTGCACCTCTTTCTTACAGAAAACCTGAATTCAGAAGAGAGAGAACCCAAACTACACTTCTTCTTCCAAAATCATAACCCACATTTGTCCCAATCAATAGGAAAATTACCCTTTCAGCGCCATGGATATATAATTATTTCATCTGCTTCTCTAATCTCATGAAAAGAAAAATGTTCCTAGATTTTTAACAGAGGAAAATAAAACAAAACTATAATAGCATAATCATAGTAGTAGGCACACAGAGAGAAAGAAAAGGAGAAGAAGGATAACCTGCATGAATAGAGTGAGGTTGCGTAGGATAAGGAATCGCAGAATAGAAGGGTGGTGAAGTGGCGGTGGTAACGTGCGCGGGGGGAGAGAGGTGGCGGCGGGTGGAGGTGATGAAGAAGCGGTGGGGATGGATGCGCTGTCTGTGGAAGGAAACGACGTCGCCGGCGTGGAGGCGTTTGTCCTTAACGTAACGGCTCCATCCTTTGGTCAAAACGTAACTCTGACTACTGTTCCAATAAGAGTAACGGAAGCGCCAGCACTTACCTGACTCGTCATCGAAACTCAGTAAGAGTCCCTTCGTGTCCATCGAGTCGAGTGGGAAGTACTTCTCGGCGTGCTGTTTTGGGATCACGAGTCGGTTCAGTTTCCCCACATCGCTTGGCGTCAATGGCTTCTCGAACATCGCTTCCTTCTCTTCTTCTTCTTCTTCTTCTCGGGAGATGCCTTGCTCAACGACGTCGTCTACTTCGTCTTGTTCTTGGTTGTTGAGATTGAAACGCGGAGTGTGAGGATTATTCATCCACGTGGCGTGTTGCTGACTCCACCTTAGCCTCGTTTCTGCTGTGTCCGACGAGCAGTGGTTTATCGACATTCTCACTCTCTGGGGAATTTGGAGAAAGAGAAAGAGAAAGAGAAAGAAGGAACGATAATGATTATGGGTTAATTGTTGTTGGGAATCACTACTTGTTTGATAGAGCTAGCAAAGACATGACAATGAGAGAGGGAGAGGGAGAGGGAGAGGGAGAGGGAGAGGGAGAGGGGGAGAGAGAGAGAGACCCAAGTGAGTACGAGAGTACTTTAAGGTTATGTGCCAAGTGCGTTACTATAAGAAGAACAAAAAACTTTATTATATATATATTTATAAAAAAAAATATATTATTAAAGTATTGATACGTTAGAGCTGATATATATATATATATATATATATATATATAATTTTGTATGTAAACTCGTGTTGTATTTATGTTAAATTATAATTAGTGCTAATTAATGAAAGTGTGATGAGTTCATGAACTGGGTACACTTGTATAATTTAAAAGTGAGGGAAGATAAGATTATAAAAATGAAATTATTACTGAATTGGACCGAACATGTATGTTTATGAATATTGAGAAAGAGAGAGAGAGATTGAAGAGGTGAATAATTTGGTGTAATTAGGGGCATCCCATGTTAGTAAATTGGCTAACAAATCAAGGGATGGGCCCCATTCCTCCCAACCCTCACCTGTTCTTAGACGAAGCACTCATCATAATATGCTTCATTTCATTCCCCATCCTATCCAATATGGCCGGCCTACCTATCATGTCACTTTATTTGCACACCGATTTCTCATTTTGCTCTCTATTTCATCTCACAACTGTTACTTTATTATTATTATCTTGCTCTCCTCAAATCGATCTTATAGTTCCGGACTCCTTTGTGCTTTTAAATTAAATATAATGCAATATCATATAATGTGATGGGTAAAAGGGTACAATGATATTCTAAATTTGTTTATTGTCTGTTCATTATGTTGTTTGCTCTGTGGCTTAATAATAATATTGAGAAAACTAACGTAGCCAAAAAGGGTGGTCCATGTCCCCTGTTCTGTATCTGTATGATGGACATATATGTATGTGTGAATGTATATAGGTCTGATTCATTCAAGCTCTCCAAAACGTATTATAATAAGGATGATGAGAGGATAGTATTTGTGTCACGTGCATGACTTCAGAATTGATGTTTGGCCATTTCTAGTTTTCAAATTAAGGAAGTTATGTATCAAAATGAATGCGTCATAAATAAGAGGGGAGAAAAATACAGCACAAACAAAGGCATGGGAGGAGTAAATTTCCTTCACCTTTCCAATAATCACACAGTAATGAGAACAGATTTGATTTGTCCAATTAGAGAAGACAAACCCTTCGCAGTCGTGTTTGAATCCCCACCTCACAACTCTCTTGTACACATAATCACAAGCTCTCTCTCTCTCTCTCTCTCTCTCTCTCCCTCTCTCTCTCTCTCTCTCTCTCTCTCTCTACTTATTATCTGGTCCTATGGGTGTCTACCCATCCTTTATATTTTATTGTTTTATATATAGTTGTATTCCATAGTTAATAATTTCTTTGGTTAGATTGTGTCCTTTCTAAGAGTTGGAGACAAAACCCACCTCAGTTTCCAGGTAGATTCAGACACCCTTTTCTGCCCTACAAAAGGTTCAACTGGTTTGTTTAGTTTAAGTATATACATGTTGGAGACGCAACCATAATTTCCTAATTATAAAGGTTGTTGGGCTTTTTAGTTACTTTCATTTTCAATTCTAATACAAACAATTCTCCTTGTGTCATCTTATTCCAGGTGTATATTTATAGATAAATGTATATGCTCTCCATCATCTTGTCACGAAGCTTTGGATCGGACGGTTCCCATAAACCAGAAGCATGCAATGCAATTATTTCTCCGAAGAAAACATGAAAATTACAGGGCCTGCGTGCAAATGATGATGCCATTACTCGCTTACATGTAAATGTCAAAACCTGAATTTTTTTTTATTACTGGGCCAAAGATGTTGCTTGGCCAAGTGCAGGAAATAAAAGAAGACACAGACTCGGCTAGGTGAGAATCTGCCATGCTAATTCGTCGCCTGGGTGATGTATACGGAAAAATCTTAGTAGATTATTTCTGGGGAAATAGGGAACAAGACAAACCCACTAGACATTTAAGGAAAGTGGGGTAGGAAGAGCCAAAGGAAAAAGAAAAGAAAACGAGAAATTTATCCAAGACAATAAAATGATGTATGAGTATACATTATTTGTTTCCTTACATTATTTTTGCATCTGTTTATAATGAGTAATTTGTTGTTAACAACATGTTGTTTGAAATAATAAAAATGTTAATCACTTAACATATTATAATTCATCCTTAGTTTAATCAATAAATAATAACATTATTATTAAAGTTGATACGTTATAGGTAGGTGTAAAAAAAATTTACGTACGATATTTTCCTATTGAATATTTTCCATTTAATTCAGGGAATTCATCATTCATATCTTGTAATTCCCATAACAATGGTTTTGCAAGTTCAATTATAAATAGCGAGAGTAGGGGTGACACTAAAAGTCCTTGTTTTTTGTATTAGTAATAAATTAGATGGGGACATACGTTCAGAACTTGGCCTAGCTAGCTAGGTAGCCATGCCAGCATTTATATACATATAAGGCTGGAATTTCTGTCTTGTATTTATTTGTTAATTTTGCTTGATAAAGCAAGCAAGCATGGTTTCGTGAGAGAGATGCTATGATTGGTTTAACTAAATATTTTGTCTTATATAAGATCAGAGCAGATTGTAATGGTTCATTGTAGCCGTAATATATTCCAAAAACAACTTGCTAACAAAAGGCCAAGAACGATGTACGCAATCTATTATTTTGATACGCATCCTACACCTGAGTTTATCGTACAAAGAGATTAATAAACAACTACTCAAATGTGTATATATATATACCCATCTTGTGCTTAAATAGTAGCATAATTAGCACACTTGTCAACTACTTAATTGACATTCAGTTTATTCCTTGTTAGTTTCAATTAACATTATATTTTGCCAAGACACACATGCATATCTGTTAGAAAAGTTCAGACTAATTGATAAATTTCGGTCTAGAGACTCCCCTAAAATATGCTAAAATTAATGCCAGTAGGTAAAGGGTTAATTTAGTGGGCCAATTGGAGTTCTCACTTGGAAGTTATCATATTAATGATTATAAATATAGTTTGCATGTGGCTCTTTTTAGGTTGAAAATAGTACAAAGGATCTCAGATGCATCAATTATATATGCGTGTGTGACCCTATATCTCCAACAAAAGCATCATAACATGTTAAGCAGCTTGTTGAAAGCTATATATATCCTTAACCCAATAAAGTCATGTTCATGCCAAAATTCAATAAAATCTTGCCTCACGCATTTCAGATTTTATTTATTTGTTCCTTAAAGATATCTAATTAATTAGTGGGGACCCTAGTCCTCACGTCTATACTTGAAGCTAGTATTTATATAGACCATTAACTTTGACAATAGCAATAGTTCACAAATGCAAAGTGGCCGATATGGTAGATTTCCATTACATAGATTGGGACTGAAGTGGGACTAACCTTTCCATTGTCTTTGAACATTAATAGCTAATCTTATCCTCATGAATAGTTCCAGGAGAGTTGGGTTTAACAGCAACATATAGAATTTGATCTGTTGGATGACTAAGAGGAAAGTGGAGGAAACATGACTAATATAGCAATGAACCAAATATCGCCCATGTGAACACGTTATGTCAATACCCATGAGAAAAGACAAAATAGAAAAACATCAGGTTAGAGTACCCTTTAGCACGCCAAATGGCAGGCCTAAAAACACAAGCATACTTAGGAATGAGATGATTCAAAGGGTTGATAATTAACCATAATTAAGAGCATTGAACCAAGGGATATACCATATACTATTGTCAGAATGCTTTTCATCATGTAAGATTTAGTCTCTATTAGTGGTAATGAGTGGCTCAAACTCCTGTTAATCCCGTGTGATGTTTGAAAATTATATATACCTATGATTTGGCTTATCAAAAAGATCACTAATCATATGGCTAACAGCATTCAAATTTAGGCATGCAAGTCTAATCTTGTAGTGCATGATGTCATATTTTATGCCGGCATAATATATCCATCATTCAGTGCCCCACATTACTCCGTCTCCTTCTTCTCTTTTCTCTCTTTTTAAAAAAATTGTTGTTGTAATAACTACTACTTCAGATATTCGAAGGATCAAAGAGAGGACAATGGACAAATTTTGAACTCAAATTACTTATCACTCTGTATTCTAGCTATTTGGTATTTTACTTTTAAATCTTACCTAAATTAGTTAGGATTCGAAAAGGATCTGTTCGATTTGCTTTTGTTGTTTTATATGAATAAATGAACATATGATAAAATAAAGTATATATCTATGTATTTTTTTTATTGCAATTATATGTATGTATTTAATATAAGGACAAATATTAACTAATACTTTAAAGCCATTAGTTAAAGGAGAAAAAAATTTATTATAAAGTATATTTTTTTGTTGCTAATCTATTATAAAATATTTTTAATCTACTCTATTTGTACTTTTTATATACCTTTAATGTAAAAAATATTTTTGTTTATTATTTTAAGTTGTATGGTGTCCTTTAAATATTAATTAGCAAAATATATAAATAAATATAATTTTAAGTTCACTTATTTCACGAGTTTATTCATAATTCAATTAAAATAATGATTAATTTGCTAAAGATTGATTAAAAAGGTTAGATTTCCTGATGTCAATGATATGCATGTTTCCACGGGAAACAGAAAGCTATATACATGTGATGAGGGTAGAGAGAAGAAACGTTACGTACGTATGACGAAAATATGAAAAGTTTGATGGAGCTGCTACATCAACTTGAACTAATTAAGTAATCACTACGCTGTAAATATCAAATGATGATTTCGCAGCAGCCATGAGAATTTTAAATATCAGGAACCAATTACAGCAGCTGATCTGGCTCCCAATTTTTCTCCCTAAGTTAGGAAACTATATTATGTCATGAATCCAAACAACGAATGGATATCTGGCATGATGGAGTCACCGGGCTATACTCTATGCAACCATCGGCTCTACCTAGCTACAGCCAAAAACCAACTTACATTAATTTGTATAATCTAATGACTCCTATGTATAAACAATTTCCCAAACTATAATCAAGTTTATCATAAGCAAAAGCAACGTCTCAAAAGTTCAAAGATAAATAGATAATCACAACTCTCTTCTCTTTAGAAATTTTTTTATATGATCCTACACTATATGATTCTAACTAATGATATTGCGTCTTGAATATAGATTTTATAATTTTCAAAAAAGTTAATATATAATATTACGTGAGTAATCGAAATTACATAATTGTAGACTGCCTAAAATTTACTCTCTCTTTCTCTTTATCATACATTCATACAAAGATACACAAAAGTAGTAAAGAAAGAAAGAATTAATCATAATATTACAATGTACTATTAAATATGAGATTTTATTTTAAATTTTATTTAAAATGAGAAATTTTTTTAGATTCGTTATTTTTTTTATTGTGCCATTTGTCATTTCTTATATGAAGAATTCATCTTATTAAAGAAAAGAAATTTTTGACGTTTAGAATTTTAATTTTAACTATAGTTAATCAAAACTGATTTTGCATCATGAATTTTATATTTGAGTTTTATGACATAGAATTGATATTTTAAATTAAATTTTAATAATTGAATGTAAAATTTAAAAATACAAATAATTATAAATATCAAATTATAAATTTATGTAATACATAATAAAAATTTAAAATATGATTATTAAAAAAATGATATTTTGCAATTTTTTAAAATTTTAATTTCTTGTACTTTTGATGAAGTTAATGAATAATTTTTATGACTAAAAGAATACTCCATATATATTATGATATTCTTAATAATAAATTATTTGTGTATTTTTAAAATATACATCACATTTTTTTATTTCTCAAGCTTATATTCGTTAGTATAAAATCACAACTTATTTTCAAAATAAAAGGCCAGAGAGCCACGTCTTTATTTGTAAAAAAAATTGAACATAATTTAATTCTTATATATAAATTGATAATTTCGAAGCTGTTTACTAATGATTGAAAATAACTTACTGTAATCAGTTAAAAATGTCAAATAAATATCAGTAATCATTATAACTTTTGATGTAATGTAATGGAGATTTAAAACAAGAAGAAAAAAGAACTTGTTATTTTTATCATGGGAAATAGTGTTTAGTCAAAAATAGTAAAATAGTGAAGTGAACTCTCCACATATGAACAAGCATACAGAATGAAATAAAGAAAATGTGGGAAACTAAACAGCACAGCAGAGGCCACGTCTCCTCTTTTTCTGGCCTGTTTGAATTTATTTATAAAACAATAATATTCTAAAATTTTATCCACATTTTTACATTTATATTTACTATATTATTTATTACATTATTTTAGTGCTATTATTATTGTTGCTGGTTGTTGTTGTTTCTTCTATCTCTCAAGATGAAAGTGTGTGCTAGAGTGTACAAGAATAATGTCCCTTGGTTTATTTTATTTTATTTTTTGTTTTTGGTCTAGTTCTTCGTTTGTTTTCTCACTCGTCAGGGAAGGCATGCGGGCTGGGCCAACCCAGATATGGCCCACAATGTCAATAGGTAAAAGGTGTGGGCCCACACTGGGACGTAGTGTGGTGTGAAAACTGCAACAAAAGAGAGTTGCAGAGAATGGTGATGGAATTTGGCAAAACGGCACGTGGCACGTGATTTGTGTTGTTCTGTAGAATGGGTTAGTGGGGTGGACTAGATGTGGGACCATTCCCCTATTTTGACTTCTATAGGAGGCCCAATAGAATGGTCCACCAGTAGGCCCTAATCCTAACCCTAACCCTCTACTCCTTGCTTTTCAGTTTTAATTCTACTCTTCTCAGAGAGGGTTAGAAAAACATGCATGAGCACGACACCTCTTCGTTGTTACTTGTAACCAAGGACATCAACTTTGACTTGCCTTTTAATAGGAGAGAGACTTTTCAAGTTAGCCCCTTAATTTAATTTGTTTCTTTTCTATGTAATGGTAGTGAACTGAGATGGTAGGTCTCACTAATTAGCTAGATTCGTGCAAAGTTTATTAAAACAGCTTAATTAAGAATGTTGCAAAAGTAATCGATGACGAGTTTGACTCTGCTGATGAGCCAAGAAGATAAGATTGCTAGTGGTTTGATTAAGACATTTATAAAGACATGTACACAAGTAATCTCAATTACACGTACAATATAACATAATATAAAGAAGACAAACCGATGCCTGTCCAAAATATAATGTACAGATTTAAGTGGTTCGTATACATTGGATAGTGTCCATAAATCTTATTCACCCATGTATTATCCTTAACCGTTCAAACCATTTATAAAGAATATAAAAGATGCAAGATTATTCATATCAAAATAAAATAAATGAAAAAGGTGCTTGGATCCATTATGTAGAAATTATTTTAAAGAAAGTTAAACTTTGGCTTATTGGTGAGTCCAAGTGTGGTGCAATAGAATAGAAATATAAGAACTATAGGTTGGAGTAACTTAACATATACCCCTATATGAACTTGGATATTTTGGAGAGGTTTGCCCAACAATATACTGAATTGAAAATCATAAGCTAAGATTTTAATTGAATTAGAGATGTTTTATCTTCAATTTGAATATAATATTCTAATCACGTGAGTCAAAAAAAATGTGAAGCATTGAGAGCACCGACATGTCATAATCTTGGCCTAACTTTTGAAGGAAGAATTCAATAGATTCGAGACTCAAGAGAAGCCAACTCAAGAGAAGACCGCGTGTCTCCTTCATTTTCATGTCTATCCCCACCGCCTCACCGCCATATTAAGCATGCCATAAATGACAAAATTTATATCCTTTTTCTGTTCTTCAATTATAACCATGGAAAATAGTAAACAACCAATATGATTATAATAATAATAAATGTCTCCGCAAAACAATTTTTTCACTAGAACATTTTGCCATTATTACGATAATAAAGTTATAATAAATTAAAAGAATATATATATATATATATATATATATAATATTTTTAAGTTAAATTTAAATTTAAATAAATAGGTCACTCTAATATGTAGTTTAATTATTCTTTTTTTATTTTTACATTAAAATCTTATTTATAATTTTAATATGATATTAAAATCTCAATTAAAAATTTAAATAATAATAAAAAAAGAGTCAAACAAAAAAATTATAATATTATAAAAATCCAAAAAAATCACAAACTCGTACAATAAAAAAAAATAAAAATACAAATTATAAGTAGTCCAAATTAATTAAACTTGAATTAGAGTATTGACCTAAAAAAACTCATACGAATGAATTAATAACAAATAAAAAAGTTATAAAATAAGAAAATATAAAATAATTCATTCAAATTTATAATTCAATCACTTTTTCTCATTTTTATACCGCATTCAAAATTTCAGAAGTCTTGTTTATCGTGATTTTTTATTAACTTTAACTATAAAAAATATTTAAAATAATAAATTTTATTAAGAAATACTTACTATATCAAAAGCATGTATTTTCTAATGTTAGGTTATTATTATTAATTACTTAGATTTAATTTTAAAATTGAAATTAATAAAATTGTACTCATTATTAACTGCAATTGGTCTTTTGATGGGCGTATATACAGGTTTACGTGAATACAGTAACAAATAACAAAGGGACCTGAAATTGAAAAATGAAAAAAGGTATATGATACCTCGATGTCAACACGCGTTGGGACAAGTTAAAGATTGGGCTTTCAACCTTTGTTTTTCGCCCCTTCTATCTGTATATTTTTTCGATTTTCTGAAGTTATTTTAAATTCTTATACCAATGGATATACACTATTTTAGTATCCTCTTTGAAAAAATAACTTACTGTGAGTACTTTTAAGTAATTATTTGAGTGAATTCCTTTTTACCCTTCAAGATTCTATATATGTTACCGTCTTACTGTAGCCATACCCAATATTATATTAGCAGTACTATTCCTTGGTTATTTTATTAATTAATAACCGTGAGCTGTAGTTAATATTTTTAATCCTAGTTTTCTTAATCTCTGTTTTTCCATATGAATAATAAGAGGTGAGGACATGTGTGGCACGAAAGATAATAACGGACATTTTGTATGTAACATTAAAAGAAAATTAACAAGAATATGAGAGATTAATTTATAGTTTTTACAATTTTTTTTAATAAGCTATTTTTAGCTTATTTATCAATGAACTGAAAAAGTTGTTTGATAAAAACGAATAAAAAAGGTCTGTAGATTTTAAAAATTAACTTATGAAAAAACTACTCATGTTAAATTTTTTTCCAATGCCTAATTTGATTTAAATATTTATTCTAACCACTTAAACGTCAAAGTAAAGGGTCATAAAACTGTTGGACATTTTATTTGGAGTGATAATCATCAGAAGAAAGGTTGGAATTTGAATATGCTATGAATGGAGAAGGGGTCGTGGCATTGAATATGCTATGAAGTTTTGGACATTAAATGTGCTTGGGAAATTAATTTGGATCCTCATAAACAGAAGCTTTGGATCCAACTTATTTGGTCCAGGTAGCTAAAAGGGGCATGGTTCTGTTCTTCGTGCTAAAAAAACTGATTTTTTTTGTTAACTGCATTGTTATCTTATAAATTAATAAAGTAAAACGAATGTTGTAATAATATTTTTTGTTTCTACAATGATACCATTTGACTACTTTTTAAAGTTTTTATACTAAACTTAAAAATAAAATATATTTAAAAATGAAACAGTATTTAGTAAAATATCTTTTGAGAGAGCGAAGCTATGGAGTCAAGGCACTGGGACGAAATGAGTAAGATTGTTATTACTAACAACCACTTATATGTTCTCTTCATTCTGGGTATCCTTTATAATTGTCTTTTATTGGTCCACCTTTATAATTTTCAATTGGCAACAATTGCAGTGCCTCGAAGGATAGAAAAAAAAAAGAGAAAAACCCCTTAATTGTTGGATTGTAGGTCTTGATAGTATTGTGAAATCCAACTTGCTATGATCTGCACCTCTTGTTTCCTTACATCTTTAAGCCACTTTGGATCTTCTTTAGTTGAGTATCTTAGGTCTACATGATGTGCTCCTGCTCACAAACGCCCAATTAAATAAAGAAAAATAGGAAAACGGAAAAAGAAGAAAAAGAAAACACAAATTTTTTATTAGTTTGGTTCACCAACCTTCTTTTGCAACTATAGCAACTATAGTTTTTGATATATTCTTTAACACCCTGAACCAATCTCATAATTATTAGCATTGGTGAAATTATACCAGTAATAATAGTGGGGGAAAATGGAGTATAAAAAGAAGAGATGATATGCTATACCCTCCACCACTCCAAGGATCTCTTAAACCATTAAAGAAGATAATGTTGCTTGTAGACCTTTTCAGAACTCTCTCAATACTCTGCATGAAACATACTCCATCAACATCAATGAAATTGAACAAGCTTAGTGCATGTATATATTTATGGAAATGCTTGGCAATTAAAAATTTATCATCTAAAAATTTGATTGACTAGTAAATACCCACATGGCCACCAAACTCAGTTGTAATCCAGTGGGGTCTTGGCTCTACACCGAAGAAAGAGTCACAGAAAGAGGATCTGGCTTCGTATGACCACTCTGATTCTGGGAATATGCTCTCCTTATTGCTTCCCCCTACGGGCATTATCATCTCTGTACAGGCCTTATACAAAAACAATAGAAATAGAAAAAAAAAACATAATTTTAGTATTTTTTTACAAATATTTAAAAAAATAGAAACAAAATAAAAATATATAAGACATTTTCTGAAACTAAACTTTTAAGGGTCTGTTTTCTGAACAAAATTTAAAAAACAGGAAACAGAATAAAAATAAAATAATAGTTATGTAACTAAAAGTGAAGATAAAAAACATTTGCAGAAACCAAACATACCCTAAACTCCTCCTTGCTTAGTTCACCTTTAAATGATATCAACGTTCCTTTAATTTTTATTTATCTCTCTTTTTCCATCATATAATATAATCTATCATATCTATCACTTCTCTCTTTTTTTATTCCTATATGTCACATATTTTCCTTCCTAATTTCCTTTGCCAACTTTCGTTGCCATTGTCCTTCATGAGAATCCACTTAATGAGAGAAGCAAGATAATAACTACCTGTTAAATAAGTCAAGTCTAACGAATGATGTTTTTGGACTGATGACTACTTAAAGCAACACTAAGATAGGGTCACAAAGAGATTTTTATTTTGGTCACAAGGTTTTCGTGTGTGATTGAGGGCCCCAGTATGAGGTATGATATTACTGGAGCCTTCAATATAGCTTATGGAATTGGAACTGAGGCGGGGATCTCTGTTGTGTCTCTGACTAAAGCAAGTGATTAAATTCAAAACAACTTTTATTGTACGCATGAAAAATATCAGCGCATGGACGAGTTTGATACGTGATAGTGTCGAAGCAACTAAGAAGAGTCCAAAAACGAGGGAATGACCTGGGTTGATAGTAGTGATATTATTGACAAGAATGCAAAATCAATGTTGCCTTAATTTTAGAATGAAATGTGCCCAAGAAACATGATACAAAAACAATAAAAGGTAATTTTTTCTAGCAGGATTAAGGATACCATAATAATAATAATAATGTACTGATGTAGCTATTAAGATATAGATAATACAAGTTTTGACAGTTTTTGTCAAATAAGGGATGTTGCACATAATTATTTGAATTTGTGTAGAAGATTTTAAAAGTTGTAAATTCGTTGAGGGACAATTACAAAAGTTGCATAGCAGTGGTACCAATATTGTCGACAAGGTTTTGAAGGAATTTAATTTGTCAATTACTGACATAAGCAGGTGCATACTATATTGGGCACTAATGTTAGAAAAGTAATTAACAATATTTTGAAAGAGGATTGAGTTTTCCATGTGAAGTTGTCACGGGCGAATGTTTTTCTTGGATTCTATCGTACGTTGGACCAGACAATAGGCTTTTCGATTGCAAGTTGGCAGCTCAATCAAATTTCTCCCTCTTCCCTTTAGTCAATCACCCATCTGAGCTAACCTCACACTGCCTCAGTAGTTTTGGAGGGATTACTGTTACTAATACAGTTTCATTATATAAGATAATTAAAACTAATTATGTTTAATGTTGTATTGGTTATTTTTATTATATAATCTTATTTTGATTTATTTATTTATTTAGAGAAAAAATTATATAAACTAAAGAATCTAATTAGTATTTTGATTAAATTAGTTGTTAATCTTACTAGTTCTTTTTTATTAGCGAATCTTCTTTTCATCTTTGTACTGCTTAATAGTATAAATATTTTATATAAATAACCAATTATTAGTGAATATTTGATTAATAAATATTCTTTTATCCTTGTATTACCAATCATTATTTTTTTAATTTTAAGTATATATATATTAGCCAATAAATAAAAAAATATTTGCAAAATAATGCTGACATCGGTTGTCATTACAATAATGTTAAATTTAATTTATGTTTAATAATGTTTTTTTAAATTTTTATATATGAAACAAATTTAATTTTGTCTTAGTCCTTCCTAACACTACTAGAAAATCGCTATTTATAGATGGATTTGTGAATTTTTTTTTTCTAAAAAATTCATATGTAAAATTCATCTATAGTTTGCTCGCCATTTGGCGCGAAATGGTATAAATAGGAATTACAGACAGATTTTTCTATCTGTAATTTGAAAATATGAAGAAATTTATTGCGGGAGTTACAAACAAGAAAAATCCGTCTGTAATTTGTCACCTGAAACGCACAGTTTCATTAAATCTTTTACAAACAAATTTTTCCGTCTGTAATGACTAAAACTCATAAAACGACGCCTCCCCTTTTCCCTTCCTCATTTTTTTATAACTCTCTCTCTCGCCCCCCTCTCTCTCTCTAGGAGTCAGTGTTTTGGCCTTTGCGAGTAATTAGGGCATCTATTTGAAAGATTTTTTGTATTATTGTATTCTTGGTACGATACTCTAACTTTTAATCGGTTTAGTTTTTTAATTTTTTATGTATTTTAGAGACTTAAAAGTTCTAAGATAGAGTTGTAGGATTGGAGATTGTATGACTGGGAGAAGGGCGTATAGGTCCTTCTCCAAACCTGATAATTGTGTGTTGTGGGATTGTTTGTGTTTGTAGAATATGCATGTTGTGGAGTTACAAGGGGATGTACTCTAGAACAGTTTAGGATTGTGATTTGTTTGTGTTTGATGTATCGATTAATATATTGTTATATAATATATTGTTATGTGTGGTGAAATTTTGATTTTTGTAAAAAAGTGGTAAACAAATGTAAGGAAATTGACATGTATTAGGGAAGATTCTGCCAAAATTTATATTAAAATTCAGTGTAATGTATAATAGAAGGTTGATACCACATTGTATATTTGTATTAGGTTTATATAGTTCTTGAGGAATATGTTTCTCAGAAATCGTCAGTGGATGTATGATAGGTTGTACCCAAGTCCGGGGAGAAATAAAACCTGAATTTTTTGAGGGTGTAGAGGAATTTATACGTGTCTGTTGTAATTCGCAGCAATTCATCACCAACCAAAAAGTTAGGTGTCCATGTTCTAAGTGTAAGTGTAGAAAGTTTTTGGATATTGATTCAATTATATATGATTTGTATAAGTTTGGATTTAAACATGATTATTGGATATGGACTGAGCATGGGGAAGTAGTTAATTTGAAAAATCAAGTATGTAATTCAAATATATTGCAATAAGATGAGGATGTAGGTAATGTAAGTTGGGAAGAAAGCAATAGTCGTTATAAAAAAAATGATTTATGATGCTGTTGGTCGTCAATTTGGAACTTTTCGTGATTTTGAAACTGAATAAAAACCTAATGGAGATGCTGCAAAGTTTTATAACGTTTTAGAAGCAGCAAACAAGCCTTTATGAGATGGGTGTATGCATTCAGAATTATCTTTAGCAATAAGAATGTTAAGCATAAAGTCATAAAACAATCAAAGTCAGAGTTCATTTGATCAATGAGCTACATTAATTAGTGAGCTTAGTCCCCAACCTGACTCCATTCCAAAGGACTTTTAGCAAGCAAAAATATTAGTTTTCAAACTTGGATTAAAAGAAGTCAAAATTAATTGTTGTTTGAAAGACTGCATGCTGTATTACAAAGATGATGTTGTTTTGACCAATTGCAAATTCTGTGGAGAGCCTAGGTTTAAACCAAAAAGAGGTGGTAGAAGTGATAAACATAAAGATGTACTGCAAACTAGAATGCATTATTTGCCTTTAATTCTTAGGCTAAAAAAGTTGTATGCATCTATGAGTTCAGCTCCTTACATGACGTGGCATGCTGAAAATAAAAGCAGTGATGAGATAATGACTCATCTATCTTATGGTGAGGCTTGGCAACATTTTAATCAAGTGTATCCTGAGTTTGCATCCGATTCTAGAAATGTAAGGTTAGGGTTATGTGCTGATGGGTTCACTCCAAACAATCAATTTAATAAACCATATTCTTGTTGGCCTATTGTGGTTACACCTTTTAATCTTCCTTTTGAAATGAGCATAAAAAATCCATATTTATTCTTGACTTGTATAATTCCTGATCCAGAAAATTCAAAGGCTAAAATTGATGTATACCTTCAACCTTTGATTGATGAGTTGAAAGAGTTATGGTGTGAGGGTGTAGTAACTTATGACCTTTCAAGGAAGCAAAATTTTATCATGAAGGCAGCACTGATGTGAACGATAAATGATTTTCCTGCTTATGGAATATTGTCTAGATGGATGACTTAAAGAAAGTTAGCATGCCCAATTTGTATGGAGGATACAAAGGCATTTACTTTAAAACATGGAGGAAAAAATTCATGGTTTGATTGCCATAAGAGATTTTTAGATATGGAACATCCTTATAAGCGTCAAGCCTACAAATTTAGAAAAGCAACAGTTGAGAATGAGGATCCTCTCGTCCGTTTAAATGGTCATCAAGTATGGGATAGAGTTAGACACTTGCCAAAAATAACAGAAATAGAAAAATTCATTAGGTTTCCTGGTTATGGGATGACACATAATTGGACCAAATAAAGTATATTTTGGGAGCTCCCATATTAGAAGGATAACTTAGTTCATCATTGTTTAGATGTGATGTATGTGAAAAAAAAAGTATTTGACAATATCATGAATATTGTAATGAACACTGATCGAACTAAAGATAATGTAAAGGTAAGACAAGATTTAGAAGAATATTGTAGGTGTCCAGAATTGAGGTTAGAACAACTTGCAGATGGTCGATGGTTAAAGCCAAAGGCAAGTTACACACTAACTTTTCCACAAAGGCAAGATGTGTGTAAGTGGACGAATGACTTAAAAATGCCTAACAATTAGGTTTCAAACATCTGTCGTTGTGTGAATGTTGAACAAGAAAGATTTTTTGGAATGAAAAGTCATAATTGCCACATATTCATAGAGTGTCTTCTACTTGCTGCCTTTAGGGAACTACCAGACCATGTTTGGAAGCCATTGACTGAGTTAAGTGAGTACTTTAGGGACCTGTATTCACCTACTCTTAGGGTTGAAGATCTATTAGTTATGGAGAAAAATATCCCTGTAATTTTGTGCAAATTAGAGAGAATACTTTCCCCTGGTTTCTTTGACTCAATGGAGCACTTGCCTATACACTTAGCGTATGAAGCACGTGTATGTGGATCAGTACAATATAGGTGAATATATCCGTTTGAACGAGAAATTGGAGGATTCAAAAGGACTGTGAAAAATAGAGCTCAAGTGGAAGGATCCATATGCCAGACATATATATCAAAGGAGACATCAAATTTTTGCACATACTATCAGAGTAAATGAGGTAAATTAAGTAAGTTTGTCAATTTAATATGTTTCCATGATTATTTATTGTGTTATCACAAATATTAATTATATTCTATAGCGATTATAGTATTTGTCACTAAACATATATTGTATTACATGATTATATGGTATATTGCTCCTCCCTCTCTAATACAGTGAATTTCACACTCTGCACCGCTTACTACACAGGCTACACAGTCACCTACTACACAGGGCACAAGAGAGGGATCCACTACTGTCCTAGCTGTAAGTGGGCAGCAGTCATCACAGACCCAGACATCATCGAGATTGTTACAAACTTTGAGATGGGATGGGTCCACTTGGTAAGTTTCCTTCAAAATATGCCAAACATAGGCATTTATGTGAATGTTAGTCCTAATATTTTATTTTATTGTGTTATCAGTTGGATACCACCACAGAAAGGTCTCCACCAGGTCACAGATATAATTAAGATGTTTGATGTGCCTTACACAAATTTTGTAAAGGTGCCGAAGGATACAAAGATGGAATGGTTCAAAGATTGGAAGATAATAATAGTGTATTAATTTTAACTAAGTGTAATTACATATGACTGTTTGTACCTTTTCTAATGGAATTGTGTTTTTGTAGAGCAATTTCTCCATTCTCCCAGGACAAAGAGATGATTTTCAAGGCCTGGAAGAGTCGCACTGCAAAGCAACTAAGATAGATGTACACTGAGGTTCGTCAGGACCCCTCTATTGCTAATTGGATAACACCCAACTTTCTTCATGCCTTGCAGGAGTATTGGGGTATGGATGAGTTCAAAAATCTCTCCATAAAGAACAAGACAAACAGAGCATCTAATAAGGGAGTCACTGCATACTGGTGGGTCTACGACTTTGGCTAACACTAAGGCGAACTTGATATATGATTTTAAAATTCAGTTTACTCTATCTATAATTTCATATTTGAGATTGTGATTTATTTCGAATTGCAGGAGAATTCGTTGAAGAAGCCATCTACGACTGGAAAGTTGTTTAAGGAGACACACAATCGCAAGCAGGACAAAAACCTGTGAGTTGATACACGATCTCAGGCCACATATGTAAGTCATTAATATATTGATACTATATGTTATTATTAGTGATTTATTAAATAGTTCTCCAAACTAATATCTAATTATCTGAACTGAATTGTAGGATGATTATGTTCAAAGGCTTGAAGAGACATCTTCTCAAAATCCAGAGTCAGTAGATGAGGATGTTATGTGGTCACAGACAGTGGGTAACTTTTATAAAGGTCGCATTTATGGCATGGGAGGCTGCTTTGCAGACTCCATGTCCCATGCATCTGTCACTGGATATGCCCATTCTTTTACACCTGAGGAAGTGGAGGACATGGTTCGCACTCAGGTCCATGCCCTCAATGAAGAACTCCAGAAGCAGAATGAGGAGATGTGGAAGAGTAAGGAAAGTACATGGAAGAAGAAGTGGGTAAAGAAAATGGAGAAGAAGATAGAGAAGAAGGTGGCATCGAGAATGCAAAGGAAGGTGTAGCAGCAGATGAAACAACAACATATGCAGATACATCAGATGCATGCTTATTTTGAGCTCATGAGAGCAAACAGCTCCACACCTCTTCCTCCTCCTCCACCGGCTTAAGCACCACCAGTTTTTACCTCCATGCATCATTCCTCTTCCGACTCCTTGTCTACTGATGATGATGCTCCTTCAGATGATGATCATATAGATTATTCATGATAAAGACTTGTATTTTATTTTTAAATGTATTTATTTGGATGCTTTTGTCTTTCTTTATAATAACATTTAAATTTTATGTTTTATAAATCATTTTTAAATGTTTAGATGCCTAATTTATAGTTGTTATTATATTTATAAATTGTGATAATCAAGAATAGTCAGAAATAACTATCTATATAAACAAAAAATACTAATAATAGTAAAATATATTACAGACAGACTACAAACAAATTTTTTCGTCTATATGTTACAGACAAATTTTTTCGTCTGTAATTTACAGACGAATTGTGAAATCCATCTGTAATTCTTTACCGACAACGATATCACAAACAGTTTATGTCCATCTCTAAATCCGTCTGTAATTTCAAAAATCGTCTGTAATGATTTAAAAATCTATCTGTATATACAAACTTTTTAGTAGTGTAAATGAAAAAATATTTACATTTTGATTCTTACACTTATAATATTATTTTAATTCAATCCATATAAAAATATCATCCTTATAATGTCAACCAATGATAAGGACTAATTAATAAAAAGATATGTAAAAATTTAAATATAACTTTTTTTACATTGAAACTTAATTTAAATAGAGTAAGATTTTTAAATTAACCTTTTAAAAAATAAGTTCATTTTTAAAAGTTATTGAGCTTCTATATAATTAGGCTTGTTCAATAGCTTGAATTAATCCAATAAATCTAAAAAATTGAATCTGACCAATTAAGTTGGTTTATATATTTAACTTTAGATCATATTAGACTAATAGAATCTAATAATCTTTTATTTAAGTCTCAAATTCCATAACTTGAAAGGTGATGACCCATTACTTGATTTGTGGAGCCAAACCTCTTTTGTCCTTTTTAGCTAGTTATGTTAAATCTTTGGTGTTATTTTCTTGAAAGGGAAAGTTTATCACCCATAATCTAACCCACCTACATTAACAATTCAAGACTTAAGAACTCGACCATTGTCTTTATCATTATTTGGTTGAGGTGAAGGAGGGAAGTAAGAAGAAGGTTCGTTTGGTAGGAAAATTGGGGAAAGGGATATTTTTGGGCAAGTGCCATATTTTGAAAAACTATTTTCAAATTGGGGGAGAAGTAAGAGAGTAGAGAACTTGAGTGTTTTTGGGTTTTGTTAATTAAATTATTAAATAATATTAATATAATACAAAAATATAATAAGAAAATATCACAATGAAAAATTATTTTTAATATTAACTTTTTTTAATAATTATTTGTGATACAATTCAATTATGTTTTCATATTTTTTCTACTCATCCAAATAAATAGATGATTTTTTATATTTCTTTATCTTTTATTTTAAGTAATTCAAATAATATATTTTTTACTTCTTTTTTTTCACTCTTCATCCCAACATTATGACTATTTAGCAACACGAACTTATGACTTGTCTAGAACTTCGTAATTTTTTTAAAAGAAGAGCTAATAAAGTCGTTTAATTTTAATAACTACAAAATAGAATAAACTTATAATTTTTTAAAAAATAATTTTTGAAAAAACTATAAAAGTAACGTTCAATTTATAATTATCAATAATTTATGTCATTTTTATATTTATTTTTATAAACTTCTGCTCTCTCTTCCTATAATATTATATATCTTTTTTAGTTATTTAAAAAATGTTTATTATATAATTATAATTCAATCAATTACTTATAAAATTATATACTTTAATTATAAGTTATAAATTGTTATTTTTTTACTAATTTTACTGAATAAACCTATGTTGATATAAGACAATACTTGTAAACTACAGGCAACGTACCCAAGTCTACATTGATGACATGATATCTAACTACTGTTCTGATAATTGATACCATCATCGACATTGGATAATTTGATTATTGGTGTTATGAACAAAGTAACCTAAACCAATTTGCTCTCAAAGAAATTAAGTTGTTTATGTTAATAGGCATTTTACTTTCTAGGTCTGCATTTTCACTTTCTCTTAAAAACATCTTTTTAAAATAAAAGACAATCTTGATGATCTAACTATAGTATTTGATTTATGATTAAATTAATTTGGTTCTAATTTGAAAAATAAAAGTTTGCAAAATAGAATAAGTTAAGCTAATTTATTTTGATGATTGGATTTTTTTTTTTACCCTAAGCCATACGAAATTGACCTATATACCTTCTTACACCAAACTACTCTGTAGCGTTGAAATTGGGATGAGATACTATAACTTAGATACTTTTAAGATAATAAGATAGTATTTTCTTCTATCTTATTTTATTTTGCTATTAATAGATTATTTTGACTTTTATTTTAAGAAGTTATTACTTTAAAAAATACTAATAAAACAAATTGGAAATGGTAACTCCCTAGCCTGAAGATTTTATTCGATTAAAGTTAAAAATAGAAAAAATCAAAATTGAGAAGAATGATATGTGAAATTGTATGGATGGGTACCTGCCATTGCCATCCTCCAAGATCATGAGGATCTGAATCGTCATCCAAATCGAAGCACGTTGCAGTGCCCGTGTAATTGTAGTAGATATTTGCCGCTGCATACAACTTCCCCAATGTATTGTTTTCCGCCACTGAGCTGTCAATCGCCTCGCACATCTAAATTCCTCACAATAAATAAATAATCAAATTTATAATATTTAGGATTTTTTTAAATATTTGTCTATTTCATCCTATTTCTGGTGATTAATGAACTAATAAAAAAAATTATAAATTTATGTTATAGAATTATTTTACTTTATTATTTGGTATAATCTTAAATTTAAATTAAAATAGAACTTTTGATATCTAACTTATTATTGTTTTAACTTACATCAATTTAAAATAAAATAAAAGCTTACTTTACAATATCTTGAAGATATTTATATTTACGTCTCATGTCAATTTTTTTTATCATACATAGACTCTTACAATTATTAATTATATTTACGTGCCATTGGATATATATATATATATATATATATATATATATATATATATTTCAATAAATTATATTTTGTCAATCCTCTGGTCTCCCGGGTCAGTGGTCCCGTCCCACTCTATCAATGGAATAAATAAGAAATCCCACACATAATAAATTAACTTCCATATTAATTTCGTTCAGGGGCAAATGTGTAAATTTATTTAAATAAATAACATAAAACTGTTTATATCATATTACCAAAATAACAAATATTTATTGTTTTTATCATTAAAATTTTATGATAATTATTTATTATTTGTTACTAAATAAATATTAATAATTAAAAATAGATTTTTGAAAAAAGTAATTAATGAAATAAAAAGAGGAAGGAGTGGGACCTTTTTGACTGGATATGGTGGCAAGGGATTGAGGAAATTGGATGGAGTGGGATAATCTGTCATGGCTGTGTAAGTCCAGGCCGTTCTAAGCCAACCTTCCAAAGCACCTTCGCCAATATCATTACTGCATGAATTTGAACAGTGTGAGCAGATTTGGCATTTAAAGAGTGCAGTAAAATGATTGAGCATGAATGATATATGCTCTCACCTGCATATTCTGAATGATTTCCTTAGCAGTTCCACTCCTCCGTGTTCGTTGGCCGTGTCAGATATTAATTCCCAGGACCCTTTTATCACTTTGTAACAATTCTCACTTTCGCTCTGTGCAAGGACATCAATTTTTTTTTATTTAAATATTTACTTCTTCAATGCCATGCCCACATTTGCACGTGCATATTAATTGCTAATCAAGAGCAACACTCAAGGACTTGTTTGTTTTTGTTTTTATTTTTAATTGTTAAAAATTATATTTTAAAATAAAATAAAATAAAACTTATATTAACAAATATAAAAAAATACAAAACAAACAAGATTCAAGTATAAGAGAATCACTTTCTTTTTCCTGCTTAAAATTGAAATGTTATATTGTGATTTTTTATGTTTTAATTATAATTTAATTTAATTTTAGTAATTTACGTCATAAAAATTAGTATGTTTTTCAAATTAAAGCTTTAATTTTAATTATAAAAATAAAAAATATTTATGATAAGCAAATAAAAATAATCATTTTATATAAAGTGCTATAAGTGTTATATACTTTTAAAAAATTATAAATTTTAATTACTTAAATATATTATTAAGAATTAATACTAACAAAAAATTATTTTTAATATATAGTTGAAAATATATAATAATAAATTAATATATAATAAATAATTATTTTATATTGTTAATGCGATAAGTGTTTTTTTTTTAAATTCATTATATTTTGATGCTTAAATTTAAATTTTATTTATTAAAAATTGTTTAATAAAAATATTATTTATTAAAATATAATATTTATTATTATCAATACATTATATCTTATTATATACTATAGTTTTAATAAAAATATTATTAAAATCTTATTAAGCGATGGGTAAATCTTTAGAAAAAAAAAATAAAAAATTATAGGGTCTTAATGTACGCTGGTCAAAACAATCAGCTAAAAAAAATACATTGAAAACTATGCTGGATATTTTAATTTTGTTGTTTGCAGCTTTGAAGAGTTAATTATTATTATAACAAAATAGCTTGCACACATGACACAGGTTATATTAAAAAATAGGGGGTCCAGTAGGGGAGGGAGAGACAAACTCTGAAGTCTTGTGTGATGATGCTGCTGAAGATATCTGGTGAAACCAAATCCATGAAATGGAGGATTGGAGCAGAGGATGCTAAAGCTCCAATTGCAACATGTGGATATTTCATCCTAAACCAAGCAGCCAGCACTGCAAAACCAATTTGTTATCCAAAAAATGTAAACATCTAAAATAAATTAACAAAGTGATCATGAATTAGGCTCATACTTCCTCCATAGGATCCTCCAAACACCACAACAGGGGAATCAGTGGCTGACAAATTCTTCTTCAGACCAATTATTAAGGTCGCATAATCAGCCAAGGCCTGAGTTGAGCTCAGATACCCAAGTGTGCTGCTATTTGCATATGCAACCTTTTTGTTTCCCCCAAATGGTATTGATTTTCCGTAGAATCTATGCTGCAGTTCAATTTGTGATGCATGAAATAGAGTAAGAGAACAGTTAACGGTCAACAGTTCTAGTTTGAGATCTCAACAGCATAGATTGGACAAGTTGCATTTTAAAACAGTACAGGGTTGCTTTTTGGTGATCTCTAGAAACCTTACCTCAATAAAAACCAAAAGGGCTTTAAAATAAGGAGCTTTTTCAAACATAAAGCCTGTGTTTTGTGTGAACCATTCTATGTTTCCTTCATTTCCCGTGTAGACAAAGATTGGAGCTTTCTTCTTGGCACCACCCCAGTAGGTATCATTGATGAGATATCTTTGCTGAAATGTTTTGTAGCTCTGGGGATTAAAATTGAAATGATCAAGTGTTTGGGTAAAGAACTTTGTTCTGTAAAGGGCATTTTGGGCTGAAGGAGAGTGTTGCTTTAACTCTTGACGAAGCGCAGAAGGAAATGTTGGAATGATAGGGGCAAAAGCAAAGGTAAAGGATGGCAGAGAAAATAGAGAAAACAATATTATTGTGAAATGGAAGCCAAGTCTAATTCCCATCGTTTTTCTAATGAAGTGCGGGTTACAAATGAAATGAGTATTTAAAAAGGATAAAAAAGGTAAAAGAGAATCTCACAAGTTCAGAGCTTGAGCAGAAAAAATGCCGTCTTGGTTGGGTTACTATGACAGAGGGATGGGTGGACCATTCACCATAAATATAACACTAACATTCAATTTACTTTTTTGATAAACTTAACTTTTCATACATTAATGTTTAATAATATCAAAACCTCAGGATAGTAGCCCTTTTTTAGTGAGACCTATTAATCCTTGAAAAGACTACTCTAATTTGTTTGTACTATAATATTTAAAAATTAATTTTTTTTTACATTTTTAAAGATCAATATATTGATGATTAGTTTTTCGAAAAACCAAATTAAATGTTTCCTCGCTGCTATATTTGTATCACGAACATATTACAGTACAGATCAGATTCTTCATTTTCATGGTTACGAATCTATTTTCTTACTTACAGTACATTAAATAAAAATACTTTCCCGTATTTTCTCTAAATTTATCCATTCAAACATAATAAATCATTATATTTTGGTGTTAAAAATTGATACATTAATGCATTTTATCTTATTTGATTGTATTTATTGAATAAAACGTAAATCTGTTGTTTTGTATTTGCGCTTCTGCTAAGGATAAAATAAAACTATAAAAATGCATACCGAAAAGCAAAGGTGACGAAATGATAACGAAGGAGGTAAGTTCTTATATTTTTTATTTTATTTTTGAATAATACAGATATTAGGAAAAATGAATGGAAGATAAAAAAAGAAAATAGAAAAATGTATTTTATTCTTCTACAAGTTGAAGTGGTCGATAGTCTTCAATAATTGATTGCTTCAACAATGGATCGGAGCAGATACAGACATAACAGTGGCGGGATAGATCCTTTTTCATTTTGCCTCATTCCATTGAGAATTTTTAGAAAACAAGAAAAAGGTTAGAGGTTATCTCTTTTCATTTAATATTGGGAAAACTATTTTTTATATTTTTTATTATTTATTTAAGAGGCTAATATATACCGATTAAGAAACAAAAGCAATACCCTTTCATTTATAATAAACACTTAAAATCTTTAAAATTTGAATAAAATTAAGGATATAATTAGAAAGTAATGTAATTAGTATTTTTAAAATTTATTAATTGATAAAATAATTAATAAAAATATAATAAATGTATAAAATTGTATTTTTATACAAATAAATTTATTATATATATAATATTTAAATATAAAATAAAATATATAAAATATAATAAAAATATTGATTTAGAGTGAAAAACTTAATATAAGAATTTAAAAAATTAAAGAAACTAACTTTAAGTAATTAAAATTAAAGAGACTAAAATTGCATCTACATTAAAATATAAAAACTAAAAATACAAATAAAGTTAAAAAATAAAAATTAACTAATATTATTAAATTGGTATTTGATAACAGATTTTACCAACAGGTCATCAAGTTGAACAAGATATATAAAACATGTATAATATAAAATAGAAAATTAAAAAATAAAATAAAATAAAATAAAGAGTTCGTTTGTTTCATTTTTTTATTTAATGAAAAATGCACCCTTTGTGTAAAAAAAATAATTATTTTCATTTTTTATGGATTGTTTAATTAACATTATGAAAAAAATCATATATATATATATATTACTAATAATTTAAATTAAATTCTAAATAGAATTTCAAAATAATTTTATCAGCAATAAAATCTAAAATTTTACATTTAAATACAGAGTCAAAGTGTAATTAATTATTAGTATTTATTTTTGTTTTTTTTTTCTCCATACGATCATTAGGTCAACGCACATAATTATGTGCATATGACATAATATAGTAATATACCTAAATTATAACACAAATTTAAATGTTAATTGACATGATAACGCAAAAGATATTACTAATCGATAGTGAGTAAAATATGAGCAGTGAACAGTATTTTGTCCTCATTAATCCTGAACAAATCTTCAATATCTTCCCAGTGACATTGAAAAAGGAATATATCGGTTCATCGAAATTTCAAGGCCAAATAACGTTGGGAATAAAAACCTTATTTCATTTTTATGTCTTCATAATATTGTGAGATCCATCTTGCTATCATCTTTATCTCTTGTTTCCTTACATCCTTTAACCACTCTGGATCTTCTTTGGTTGAGAACCTTAGGTCTACATGATGAGCTCCTGCTTATAAAACACACAAATAAACGGAGAAAACAGAAAAAAAAAAATGAAATATTGTAAAATTGGTTCAAAATTTCAAACTAGCTAACCTTCTTTGGCTACTATGGCAACTATCGTTTTTGATATATTCTTCAACACCCTGCAACAACAACCTTATAGTTAGCTGGTGTCACATAAGAGACCTTAACAGTGACTTGAGTATTTTGTGAAATTATAGGATTATACCCTCCACCGCTCCAAGGGTCTCTTAAACCGTTAAAGAATATTATGTTGCTTCCAGACCTTTTCAGAACTCTTTCAATGTCCTGTAAAGAAAGAAAGAATCTCAAAATTGTATTTATTGGTATAACCTTTATATAAATGAAAATTAAACTATTGTAATAGATATTATTAGTACATATATTAACAATATCATGCATTATGAATAAATTTATAATGTCTATATCAATTTTAATTTTTTTATAAAATAAATGTTATACTATTATTACATGATATTTTTTAGTGAGACTAACAGTGTTCTCCAGTTAAAATCAATATTTAATGTCGATAACCAATGAATTCATTTTGATACCAACATCTATGTTTTGCGATAAATTTACTACGCACATGGCCACCAAACTCAGTGGTAATCCAATGGGGTCTTGGCTGTAAGTGATAGACATGGTTGCAGGAAGAGAGAACGTTTTTCAAGTTCCATTTATAAGCTGGGAATATGCTGTCCTCATTGTTCCCACCCAGGGGCATTATCATTTCCGTACATGCCTGCATGCACAAAACATATCGTTGAATAATGGATATGCTGTTGCTCATATGCAAATTCTAAACTTGCCATAGAAGCAATGCAGAATAACACAAGAATATTATATATATATATATACCTGCCAACCCCATCCACCGAGATCATGAGGATCCGAATTACCATTCAAATCAAAACACGCCGCAGTCCCACTGTAGTTGTAGAAGATGTTAGCTGCTGCATACATTTTGGTGAACGTTTCGTTTCCAGTGGATAAGTTATCAATTGCTTCACACATCTGGACTACCATAATTCATGGTCATAAAGTGATAAAGTGCAGGTTTGCATTTTTTTTAACAAATTGTTACATGTATATTTTAATTTAACGAGTTCAAAACTAAATACTATAATGTTGAAATTTGCTAGAGGAAATTTGTCTCAAAACACGTGTAGTGCGTGCTAATTTTTAAGAAAGGGAATTTTTTTTTTTTAAATAGAAGCTTATGTATATATAATTTAATAAACATCAAAAGATGAGAAAAAATTTTACTCTAATTTATTTGAAAAGTTTTTTTATTACCTTTGTTTCAATAACTCGTGAATTAAATTAGTTTAAAGTTTCACATATTAAAAATGTCAAGTAAGATTATATTAGCACACCTTTCTCACTGGATAAGCAGGCAAGGGAATGAGGAAATTGGAAGGTGTTGGATAATCTGTCATGGCCGCATAACTTAAAGCCGCTCGAAGCCAACCTTCAAGATCATCTGTGCTTATATTGCTTCAGAAAAACAAGAATAAATAAACTATCATCTGTTATATATAGAAACTGATCTGAATCAAAAGAATTGAAAAATATAGAAGGATTTGTTGATTTGTATAAGTCATGCTCTCACTTGCATATTCTGAACGATTTCCGTAGTTGTTCTAGTCCTCCAGGTCTTCGGCCCATGTCTTCTATTTGCTTCCAAGACCCTTTAATCACTTTGTAACAATTCTCACTCTCGCTCTAAGGATTATATTACATGCAACAAAGAAAGAAAGTCAACGTATAACTCTTCAATATGGACTTGTATACCGTATACTAAGACGGGAATGAATTAATAATGAGGATGAACATAATGTAATTAATTAAAGGTGTATTTGATTTGAGAAAACATATTCCGTTTTTAGTTTTTGTAACATTTAATAACATATTACGTGATATTCAATCTAGAATTATATATTAAACCGTCTTAATTTCCTTTTATACTAAATAAAACATATGACAAAAACTCATCATGGAAATATATTTCCCTCAAATTAAATACTCAAATTAATAAGAAGTCTCTATAATTAATATTGCTAATAATTCAAAATAATTTGATTTTAGAACTCGCCACTTTCAGAGACAATCACCAATCTTTTAATTTAAGCATTATGGTTTGGCTAAATTTCAATCATAATCCAATAATTATTCCACTTTGTTGAAATTCACAATCTTCGACACAAATAAAGCAAACATACAAACTAATAACCGGCTTCATGACAGCAGAAAATTCACTTTTATAATAATAATAAAAAAAATCAGAGTTTTCGGAAATTATCACTTTTGGATATAACCACCACTTTTAATATTTGGGGTGGGTTAAATTTAAGCCATAATGGTGGAGTGAGCTGAAGATACCTTATAGTCTTGAGTGACGATGTTAGTGTATGTATATGGTGAAACCAAATCCACAAATTGGAGGATTGGAGCAGAGGATGCCAAGGCTCCAATGGCAATATGCGGATACTTCATCCTGAACCATGCAGCAAGCACTGGAAAACACATTCAGAATTTCATACTTAGGAAGAGAGGGATTGAGTTATTAAAAATTAAAATAGGTAAAAAAAATGTTATAATTAATTAATAAAATATTATTGTTAGAGAAATTAAGTTTATATGAGTATACTTCCTCCATAGGATCCTCCAAACACCACAACAGGAGAGTCAGTAGCTGACAAATTCTTCTTCAGATCAATGATGAGAGTGGCATAATCAGCCAATGCCTGTGTGGAACTCATATATCCAAGTGTGCTGCTATTTGCATTTGCAACCTCCTTGTTCCCCCCAAATGGTATAGATTTTCCATAGAATCTATGCTGCATTATATATATTTTTTGAAAATAATTTGAAGAGTAAAAAAAGGTTTGCATTTGGATAATCGAGCACATAAGGGTACAAAAATGAAAGGGGGGCATATACCTCTATAAAAACTAAAAGGGCTTTGAAATAAGGTGCTGTTTCGAACATGAAGCCCGTGTTCTGTGTGAACCATTCTATGTCCCCTTCATTTCCTGCGTAGACAAAGATTGGAGCTTTCTTCTTGGCACCACCCCAGTAAGTATCATTGATGAGATATCTGTGTTGAAACGTTTGGTAGCTCTGGGGATTATAATTGAAGTGATCGAGTATTTGGGTGAAGAAATTTGTCGTGTAAAGCCCATTTTGGGAAGAACGCACTGGATGGACCCTTGAAGAATGAAATCTTGGTGTGAAGCACAGCAGATAAAATAAAGAAAACCATATGATTGTAAAGTGCAAGTTCATTGCCATGATTCCTGATTCGAGGAGTTTTAAGTTTAATAAATCAATGTATTACGCATCTATGGGTTATATATCTCCCATATTAGGCATACGAATCGTGAGTATCTTACGAGAAACGGATATTACGATGTTACGGTCTTGTCCAATTTTGGCTTTAGTAGCCAACCTCAATTGCTTGCATTCCTAATACGATATGATGAGCCGGCTAATCTTCTATTATTATTATTATTTTAAAATTCTCTATCACAAATTTTTACTATTGACCTAATAGATAACACCAAACACGTATTATATATTCTAATTTCTAACTTAATCGAAACTAGTAAGTTTGTATTTCTAGAATCCAATTATATTAAAAACATAGAGAATCAACTTTATTGATCTATGATGATTTTATTAATCTCAATTTAAATTAGTCACATATGTAATGCGACTTTTCAATATTGATTATTTTATGAAAAAAGAAATGCACTCATAATTTAACATACAATGAATATTTTAAAAAGTTAGTTAATTATGTCGTCAATTATTATTATTTTGTACGTTAGTTTATTTATGTAAAATTATCATTAATTTTGTTTAACAGAGAAATCTTTATTTTAATTTTAAAATTATAAATTTTTGTTACTTAAATTCTCAATTTTAGAGAAAAATTTATTTTAACCTTTTTATATCTAATGACGTGCAATTTAAATTTTACTTTTAAAAGTTCGTAACGTGACGCTATGTAGTTTTAAAAGAGTAAAAAGAAATATTTTCTTTAGTTTTTATATTATTTTAATAAATTATTTTAAATATACCATTTTAATAATTTTTATTTATTTATTGAAAGTAAAAAGTCAATGATTAAGAGCATCAAAAGTCGATAAAAACGTTAAATCAATTAAAAGTAAAATTTGAATAACTTATTAGCTAAAGAACCAACAAAAGTTTAAGATAAATTTTTAATTTAAAATTAATCTAAATTAAAATCATGATGACAAAGAGAATTAGGACCGCAGTAAGTTAAAGTTGACTTGTCATGACCATCCAGATCGTGCTGAGGCCGTGGTTCCACGCGATTTCGGCTTCTATTCCATTTTTTCCGTGCAAGTTTGATGCCTCACTGTGAGGATTCAAATATTTGACCAAAATATAACTAAACATTTTTCAAAAACTAAAGTCAAATTAATGTAAAACACACAAATAATTATGTATTTATCTTGAAATTTATTAAAAATATATTTTTAATCATATTAAAATATAATGAAAATACTTTTTATCTTATAATTTTTTTCTATTGCATTTTAAACAATATGTTTTAATTTAAGCTTTATTAACTTCAAACTTAATTTTAAATTTGAGTTTAAGCATCTAGAAATATAATTTTTTATTAAAAAAATAATACATTCAATGTATTAAAATTATGAAGTATATAAATATTTTTTAAAAAAATTTTACTATGTTGTATTTCTTAAATTCAATTTTAAGAGTTAAAATTAAATTATATTTGATGTAAGTTTAATTTACCTTTTACTGTTTGGTAATTTTTCATTAAATAATTTAATATTAAAATCAATTATTAAATTAAAAGTTTCAATTACATAATATATACATATATATATATATAATTTGATATTAATTTAAAATTAGTTAATACTTTATTTATATACATAATTGACATAATTAACGATTTAAATGAAATAGCAATGGAAGTACTTACGAGTATTTTCATCTTAATAAAATGTGAAACGCGTTAACTTTCACATAATTGACATGAGAAAGGTTAGCAACAGGTGTTTATTCATCGACATTAAAATAAGAAAGGTCTCGAACGGATGCTCTTTCTTCCCTTTTAGTTCAATGTTCATTCCATTTGCAATCATAAACTCGCAATGCCAAATAATCAAATTTACAAATAAAACGTGAAGCATCTGATCGAAGAGGGATACAATAGGCTACACAAGTTGTTGCCCAATCACTGTTAGGTCCATATGAATCGCAATGATAGTGGAAACTCTGTGAGGAGGAATAAAGTATGAAGAAATAGTAAAAAAACAGATTTCAGGGGAAAAAAAGAAAGAAAGAAAGGGAATAGAGAAAGAGAGAGGGGGCAAATGAAAACAGTCAAAACACAATGCATGTGACATGAACTCATGAAGCATGAACTGCTACCTGCTTTAAATCAAATTTGCCTTTTTTTCTTCTCCTTGAATTTCTCCTTGTTTAAAGTTTCAACCACGAATATGGATTTAATCATTGCGAAAAAGCGACAGAGGACAGATAAGTTGTTTACATATAAATCCAAATTCATTCAGTGTTTGCTCTTTTCACGATGAGTGAGTGTGGCTAGTACCAAATATACGGGGAGATAAGAAAACAGTAACATATTCTAAAAGAAAAAAAATTATAATTGAGAGTTTAAAATAATAATAATAATAATATAGTATTTGGGAAAGAAAAATTTTTCTAAGTTATAAAGTCCTCTACCATACTTTTGTAGTAAAAAATAAATTACATTTTTTTTAAGGAGAAATACATTTTGAAGTTCAGTGGCATGACCTTCAACTACAAAAATCAAAGAGAATCATAGATTCATTTACCATGATAAGTTAAAAGACTGTAAAAATTCAAACCTAAAACTTGTCAAAGAAGTTGCCTTTCGACTCATTTATATGAAAACTAATAAAAGATCATTACTCTTTGTTGAAGGTTATATTTCAAGACATTTTAAAAGGTTATGAAGGTTTCATTCTTTGTTGAATAAAAGGCTACATTTCAAAAATATTTGAAGAATTGTAAAACCTCTATAAGAAAGTCATATTTTGAGTAGTTTTGATAGGACATGAATAGGCCCATTTTTTTATCAAAAAGAGGGTGGCCTTTCAAGGAGTTTTGAGAATTTTTTAGTTCTTGCATTGAAAATAACCAGAATTGGTCAAAAAGTGAGAACTAATAGAAAAATATTCTAAATCCACAAGATTGAATAAGATTTCAAATTTTTCTCAGAATTAGTTGAAAAGTGAAAACTGACAGAAAAAAATATTATAAGTCCATAAGACTAAATGAGATATCAGATTCCCCTCGAAATTGGTCAAAAAGTAAAAACTGACAAGAAAAATTTTCTAAGTCCACAAAACTAAATAAGATCTCAGATTTCTTTCAAAATTGGTCAAAAAATAGAGACGAATAAAGAAACTATTATAAGGCCATAATATTAAATGAGTTCCTAGATTTCTTTCAGAATTAGTCAAAAAAGGAATTGAGCAGGGAATTATTCTAAGTAAGAGACATGATAGAATCCAGAAAGTGATATTAAAATAATTACAAGGTTCAAAGCAGTTATCATCAGTTACCAACAATTTTCATTAGATGAAGGTTTGAGATACAAAGAAAGATCGTAGACAACAACAGTTATGGAAGAAGCCACAACCGTCAGCACGATCAGAAGTAGTTGTGGATAATAGGCAACAACAGTTGAAGGCAAGCACATATAGAGGACAATTACAGAAAAGTGCCCAGAAAATGAAGAGAACATTGCTGGTCTATTTGCCTATAAATACTACGAAGCTTCATATTCCCAGATGACGACTTTTTGCACTCAAACATTGCACCCAAACTCTCTACACACTGAAATTCTGCACCGATTCAAATACTAACTATTAAAAGACTCACAATAGTTGTTGTTCATTACTGAGAGTCGTAAGTTTACATTTCTACAGTTTAATTCCAGTTTATTTACTTGTTCATTTTACACTATTTATTTCTGCAATTACGTCTTTGTTTAGTACGATTTTGTAAACTCTTTTAAGTTCAGTTTAATACTGCTTTCTATTTCATCATTGTTCTATTATTCCTACTTAAGTTCACACTTTGTGACGTTAATTTGAATCGTTACGTTAATAATACACTTAAAAGAACTTAAGAGAATCTAAATTCAGTTTTCAAATTATTTTTGAATTTATTTATTTACATTCTGCGATTTTTCACTGTAAATAGATACATAATGTGAATTTTTTTTAAAAATTATTTGTAATTTTTTTATATATATCATTATGTATAAAAAGAATTCATGTTATTTTCAAATTACTATGATGCTTAAATACACAAATTATGTCAGAATCTTGATTTGATGTGTATTAGAGTTTTCAACTTGGTGAAATATATATGGATGTAGTAACTTGTAAATTATTTTCCTTAAGAAAATGACCTATACTTTGGAGATTGGAACTTTGGAACATGAAGTTGTCATTTATTGATCACAATTCTTTGCATAAGTTATTTAAAATTATTTAACATGTGTAATTTTGATTGATTATAATCACATTTTAGTAAAATTAATAATTTGTTTACTTAATTACATTAAAAATTTTAATTAAAACATACTGAAAATATACATAATTTTTTAACAGTGTCATTTAGTTATGGGCTTTTATATAAATTTCTGTAATAATCTTTAAAAAATAATTATAATATTTTTAATTAATTGATAATATAAAAAACTTATACCAATAATGTATATTATTATGATACTTAGTTATCTATGACTACTTTTTTTTATATGGTTTTTTTTAAAATACAAAAAATATAAGATTTTTTACAAAATTACAGGAATATAGAGTTCAAAAATCACTATTATTAATTTTTTGTGTAGTACAAATATTCAGAGATAAAAAAATAAAAGAGTGATAAAATTTTAAAAGTTGCTAATAGCATTTTTTTAAAAAAATATAAAAAAATTAAAAGTCACCAATGACAATTTTTTAAAAAATAATTAAATATTTAAAAACTACATCAAAAGTCGCTAATGTCAATTTTTGGCCTAAAGTTGCCAATAACAATTTTTCAAAAAAATCATATTTCTGTAATTTTGTAAAAACTTCCATATTTTTTGAATTTTGAAAAAAAATATCCATATATAAAAAAATGTTCCGAAATGGGTCATGATGGTAATTTTGAATTAGTTATGTAATATTTGTTCGTATCTATGTATTATTATTTCTTTATTACATCATATACGTTTTTTCTAAATTTCTTCATTACACAATACAAGAATGCCAGCAGACAAGTTCTCAATCATAAGATTGGTCCCCACCCATTCCCTAGAGATTGTCATTACGTTTTGGTATTGATCTTTATAATTTTACTATGTTTTGGTTTGAGTCTTACTTTGTCTTTATCAATTTTTGGCACAAATCCCTTCTTCTATTGTCATTTCAAGAAATGAACATGAAGAGCAACAACAATAAGGTTATGATAGTTTAGGAAACAAAGATGATAATATTGTACAGGGTCAAACAAGTCTTTACTTATTTTGAACTTTGAACACCCGCAAAACCTTCTTTTAGAACTCAAATTAGTTTCAAAAGTACAAACCTTTCACAACTATAGTATTTTATTGTGTCAAATAATTTTTATTAGTGCTGTTACTTGCATGTGACTTTGCTTCTTCCATACATTGATGGATTTATATTTCAAGTGAAAAGATGGCGAGGGAGACGATAACATACATATAAAGGGAAGGACACGGTCGAATGTCACATGCTTAATTTGAATCTTACAGAATTAATGATATTTTGCTTGCAAAATTCTAAAATCTTCAACACAAACTTAATTCCCTTAGTTTGATTAATATTTCTAAAAATTTATATTATTTACTTAATTAATTGTTCCTTGATGAATTACTTTAAGCCTATATATATTGGAAGTTTATCGGTAAAAATTTTTATATTTGATAATTTTTACGAATTTATGTACTTGAATTGTATAAAAAAGGAAATGAATGAAACAATATTATAAAAAAACATTTAACTCTCCGAAAAAAGAAAGAAAAAGGAAAACGACAACGAAATGGGGAGAAGTTGAGCTGAAGCTGAACCTGCGAAGAGAATCGAAACGAGAATAGTTGTCAAAGTCAAATGTTGGGGTCATAATGATGATTGAGAGGTGAGTGAGGGTGCCAACTGCCAAAAGCGGCGTACATGGTGTCGCTATTATACCACTCCACCCAATCTTCGCTACTTTCCTTCATACGCACCCTTCAATCACTCCTACGTCATTTCAAACCACCACTTAGAGCGAGACACGTGTCCACACCCACTGGGGTAGGTCGCCCCTGATTACACTTGCCCTCTTTCTTTCTCTCTTTACTGCTCTTGCTAATGCTAATTGCTATGCCTGTCTGCGCTCGTCAAATCTAGCGGCACCGAAGCTGAGGGTTGGTGATGCTGAGGCAAAACCGAAGCAGCATGGACATGATGATTCCTGGGAAGATCCGAAAACGAGGCTGTTCCTCGTCCGCATCGTCATCGTCCTCCGTGCTTCACAACTATAGGTTCAAAAGGGCTATTCTCGTGGGTAAGAGGGGCGGATCCACTACGCCCGTTCCCACATGGAGACTCATGAGCTCGAGATCTCCGCTCCGAACACTCGACTCTCCCAAGTACCCGCCGTCGCAGTCGGGGACCAAGCCCCGCCAAGTTCCCGTGTCGGCGAGGAAGCTCGCCGCCACGCTGTGGGAGATGAACGAGATTCCTTCACCCAGCGTCAAGGACGGCACGAGGTCCAAGAAGGAACTCAGAGCAAGGGAAAGAGTCGCTAGGTCCATGCGTTCTGGTTCCTTGCCTCCACATTTGTCCGATCCATCACATAGTCCTGTATCCGAGGTCCTTTGAATTTAATTTTTTTTTGTTAACTAAATAGGAATTATAATGAACTTTATAGTATATACTACTTGTTGTGAATTAAATATTAATTCATAAAATGTGGAATATTCGGAGTCCAGATCATGTTGTTTGGAATTTTGAAAAGCATTAATGGTGATTGATTACTGTTCACTTTTGTTTTTGTAGAGAATGGATCGATCTGGAGCTGGTAGTCGCCATAAAAGAACTCCGTCTATCTCTCACAGGCCGAGGCTCACAGAACATCATGTTGGCCCTTTAGACTCTCTTAGCAATGTCAGTCTCATGGAGGTATCTAATCTGTTCTTTGTTACTCTCGTTGGAGGTTTTTTGTTTGTGCGATGGTTTTGGGTGTTGAAATATATTCCTCTAGTGTGAAATGCACTGTCATGTATACAAACATTTTTATTTTTTTTTGATAAATTAGGAGCTTCTTTGAGTTACAATGAAAATGCTGTGGTGCTAACTGCAAAGGATTTGTATGCACAAATGCAAACGGTCCCTTGTTGACACCCTTATTAATCGAGTAAATATAATTTTAATAAATGTACTAGTATGACTTTGTCATTATACGTGAATAGAATATTTATACTGAAATATATTATAAATATAGCTTGGCGAGGTTCTCTATTCATATCAGAATGGCCAAGCTACATACCGGAGTTAAATTTACATTTTTTAGTTACTTTGAATGGAGGTTCTGTTTTGTTCTTTATTGTTTTTATACGGTTTTAAATTTACCCTGGCACAAAACACCCTTTCATGCACTTCTCATTGATAATCCCCTTCTGAAAATTTAAAATTCTCAAAAATAATATCTGATGTGCACGTCTCTTTACAGTAGCATCTTGGTGGTTTTTTTTTTAACAGATTGAAACCAGATCTCGAGCACAGACCCCTGCTTCATCTACTGTTGGAGTTAAAACACGTCTAAAAGATGTTAGTAATGCTTTAACGACATCCAAAGAGCTACTTAAAATTATAAACCGCATGTGGGGTCATGAAGATCGTCCTTCTTCGAGCATGTCCCTTATCTCAGCTTTGCATGCTGAACTGGAGAGGGCTCGCCTACAGGTCAACCAGCTAATCCAGGAACAGCGGTCGGATCAGAGTGAGATTAATTACTTGATGAAGTGTTTTGCTGAAGAAAAGGCTGCTTGGAAAAACAAGGAGCAAGAAATTGTTGAGGCTGCAATTGAATCTGTTGCTGGAGAACTCGATGTAGAGAGGAAGCTGAGGAGACGGTTTGAAAGCTTGAACAAGAAGCTTGGGAGAGAACTGGCCGAGACCAAAGCCTCCCTTCTTAAGGTGGTCAAAGAACTTGAAAGTGAGAAGAGAGCAAGAGAAATTATTGAACAGGTATGTGATGAGTTGGCAAGAGATGTTGGTGAAGATAAACCTGAGATAGAGAAACAAAAGAGAGTGTCTACAAAAGTTTGTGAAGAGGTAGAGAAGGAAAAGGAAATGATGCAGTTAACTGATATGTTACGGGAGGAGAGAGCCCAAAAGAAGCTCTCCGAGGCAAAATATCAGTTTGAGGAAAAAAATGCTGCTGTTGATAAGCTCAGAAATCAACTTGAAGCTTTTCTAGGAAGCAAACAAGTTAGGGAAAAAGGTAGAAGTTCCACTCACTTGAACGATGAAGAAATTGCTGCATATCTAGGTAGAAACCGATTAGGTTCCCATCACATTGAAGATAGAGACGATGATGGAGGAGAGGTTGACAATGGAGTAGAATGTGAGGAGGAATCTGCTGAAAGTGATCTGCATTCTATAGAGTTAAATATGGACAACAACAACAAGAGTTATAAGTGGGCGTACCCTTCTGAAAATAGATTTGATACGAGAAGGTATCCAATTGAGGAAGAGGTGAAAGGTAGGAAGTCTACCTCTGGGAGAGCTTCAAGGAGAAGCACATCCCTGCAAAGAAGCATATCAGATGGAATAGAATGGGGAGTCCAATCTGAGAGGCTTCAAAATTCAGGAGATGGGATAGATTGGGAAAGTTTTTATGAAATGGAAAAGCAAGCCCAAGGAAAAGGTTATGTGGATGAAATGCAAGGCTATAAATCAGTGAAAGGTCTAAGGGATCAAATATTAGCTAGTTCTAAGCTTGGATCTTCCAGAGGTTATGCCAGTCCAACTAGACAGCCTTGGCCATCACGAGAGATTGCAAATAACTTTCAAGAGAGACCCATTTCAGTGCAGGGAAATGGTCTAAAATCAAGGTTAGGTGAAGGTAGGAGTGAGGGCCAGAATGTAAGAAAGGCTAAAAGGTAAGAAAATGCTCACATCTTTTGACCCAATGTTTTACTTGCTAAGTCTATACCTATTTATATTTGCTGGAAAGCAAATATCATAGACCTGCTAGCCACTTGGTGTAGAAGCTGAAAGAAGCTTTTTCCCATCTAAGAATGGTTGTGTTTATAGAGTTCAGAACATATGTTATAAAGTGTAACCGGCGAGTTTTTGTGTTGTCCTGTAACATATGCTGAAGTTGATTAAGAACATTCTGTATTTAAGGAGATCACTTTCTCTCCCACATGGTACTCAACTAGCGACGAATCCGAATTGGTTTGATTTTCACATCGAACATAACTTTGACAAATTATTAGCATGATCCGCAAGGTCAAGCTCATTATGCTTGAAAAACTAGAAAAAGAACATCATGTTAGATGAATTTGACAAAGAAAACTATTTCAATTAATTTTTTTAAGTTGATTCAAAGAACTACGTAATTTTAAATTGGGAGTGAAAAAGAACACTCTCTCTCACACACACATGCACACACACACACACTGTTTTACCTGGAGTAGCTTCACAGAAAGCACACGTGTTATATCTCTTATAATAATATAACTTGGAAGTACACAGATTGTTTCCCAACTTAGGTCAAGTACAGCACTATTAGTTTATGTCTTTCAACGAATGATCAATGGCTAGAATCTGACCAAAGACAATTCACATTTAGAATATGAGTAATGATCGATGAGAATGCAACTCAATATCTCCTTAAACGCAAAGAAAAAAGTTTCTTTAGTTTAAAATAGTTTATATAAAGTCAATGAAATAAAATGTAAATTAATATAACTTTATTAATGTTTTATTTATTTTTATAAATATTTTATAATTTTCTTATGTTTTAAAAAATTATGCTCTCTTTTTTATCCCTTCAGGGCTAGCTCAGGGCTAGCTCACGAACAAGCCTATGTCCAGTGCATTTTGTGTTGTCAGCACTTCTTTTCTGAGCTTCTTCGTGGGGACACTTCTCTAACTTGTGGGGCACCAGTTATAGGGAAAATTCGAAGAGGGCAATCTTAAGGAGAAAATGTTGCTCTCCAATCTTCACCAAAAACAAAGAAAACACATTGCTATTTTTGTTTTCTTTTTTTTTTTTTAATGTTGTCCAATTAAAAGGGCCAGCCGACTAAATATTTACAACTTGCGGACTGATCCACGAGCCTGCTGTTTAGATGTGGGTCAAAGACATTAGCCCACTTATTTGCAGGCCGATATAGAACATGGGAGCCCAAGTTATTCTTGAATTAAAAAAAAAACAAAGTTAATTAGTTATTCTATACTGTTCAAGTACACGACTTAGAATACCCCATGGAGAATGACCAAGAACAAAAACAAAAAGAATACCACATGTTTGATTGTCCATTTTGATGGTCATTTGTTTTCAGAGAGATCTCTTGACGCTAGTTATAACAAGTGAGCAAAATTGGGTTCAACCTTCAACGTTTTTCCCTTTTTTTTTTTCTAATCCATTTTCACACCTTTTTCTCACTCATTGTATCTCTTTCCTGGTGTTATGTATGCACAATTTTCCACACGTATCAGATAATGGTGTTATGTAAGAAGATTGATCACTCATGAAAATTTAGGTGAACTCACGCGGGTGGACATGACCGTACACTCATTTTATTCATAAGAGAAGAAGGGTTGAATCAGGTTTAGAATTAATGTTGCCTTTTTTTTTTCATGTAGATGTAAAATTCACTTCTGGAATCATTTTATTCAGTAAGGGAAGTTGGCTATCGAAATAAGAGATAGCAACAGCTGCATAAAAAGCAGCTCCAATGGGAAGAACCTCCTCATCAAGAACAAAGTACGGCGAGTGCGTTTGTGTCCCTGAATTCATCGTCTCATTGTATATTCCAATTACGAAAAAAGACGCCGCCATTTTCTGGGTGTAAAAGCTAAAGTCTTCTGCTGCAATATACAACGGAGAAAACTTCACATTGTGCTTCCCAAGTAGAGCTTCTCCCAAGTAGAGCTTCTCCCACCCTTTTATTGTGTTCATATAATGCTTCGTCATTTACAGTTGGAGGGTAAGGCATCATTCTGTCCTCCATGAAATCTACTGTGCCACTGCATCCATAAACCACTGCTTGCATCTCTATAACCTGTAAATAATAAATATTTTTTCATTAAAATTTACGTCAAAACATATTAAAATTATGAAAAAAATATATTAATAATTGGCATTTGATGCAATACAAGGTGGAGACATGATATGCATAAAGATATACTATATATTTCTACCTCTCTAATTCTCTTCTGAATGTAGGATTGTTCTTGTGCAGTGAAGCTCCGAAATGTTCCTCCAAATTCAACCTTCTCCGGGATTAGGTTGCCTGTATGGTTACGCTCAACAAACCCTAGCTACCGTTAAGACCTGGTGTACAAATTACAATAGTTGCATGCAAATTATATCAAGGAACTAATAGAATTAATTACAACTTGTAGTTTTACTATGTAATTTTATCATATAACAAAAATCCAGAAGTAGCATCAAGTAAAGAATTAATAAGTATGAAACTCTGCGTATAAAATAATAATTTAGAGTAGCTTGGGATAAATTGCCTTAGGTTGTAAAGGGTCTGTTTCTCGTTGAATAATTTGTTGAAGTACAATTATAGCCATAGATGCTGCTAAAACTGGATCTTTATTGAGATGAGGAAACGCAGCATGTCCACCTTTGGCTCGAATTGTGACTAGAAACCTCCCAGAACTAGCTAGCATTGGAGCAGGACGAGAAGCAATGGTTGCAGCTGGAATATGTGGCGAAACATGAAGTCCCAGAAAACCTTGCACGTTATCGAGTGCACCTTCTTTTAATACATGAAATGCCCCAGCTTTTCCCTCTTCAGCTGGTTGGAACACAAGTTTTACAGTTCCCTTAAAAATTCAAAATATATATACCATCTCAGGCTGTAAAATTGGGCACATATATACATAATTACACATATATTTTAAGAATAAATAGCTCTACCTTTAATTTGTGGCGCCTTTCATGAAGTAATTTAGCCGCTCCAAGCGGCATTGTTGCGTGAGCATCATGGAAATTAAACATAAAATATTGTTTATCTTTTGTTAATTAATTAACGAAATATAAACAATTATTTTATGTTTAATTTTAAAAATGATATAAAATAAAGTAAAAAAATATAAGACTAAACTAAATTTCAAAATATTTATTAAATCATGAAATAATTTTGTTTCATGCACAATAATATTAAAAAAATAAAATTACTCGCATAATATTGTTAAAGCAAAGTCCATTAATTTGATTAAATCTCATTAACGTTAAGGAACAATAACTAGCAAGTTTAATAAAGATTTCTGCCGAAGATGCGCCCTTTCTCCATCCCACCAATCACTAAACAATAAAAGTTACACTTTAACTCAATTTCATCTATCATCGTGTAATGAATAAAGTTTATACACTTTGTATTTCCAACCCCTCACTTTTTTCCGCACCTAATCTTGAGTAAGGTTCAAAGACAGCCTTCTTTTTTACCAGCCAATTAGTGCATTACTTTCTTGAAATTGGTATATTTTTTAAAATAATATTCAAAATGATTTTATTAAAACATGTTTTTGTTTTATCTATATTATCCTTAAGAATACGTAAATGTATATTGTTTATTTTACGTAACTTAAACTTGTAAATTTATTTTCAATATTTCTTTATTATTTTGCTGACTAATTATTAAATATTTAATAATTTTGAATACAATTACAAATATTCAATTCACAGTTTAATATTTATCTTATTAGGTAATTTAATATATTTAAACTATTATAATTTATACAAATGAGTTTAAGGTAGTTGTTTTGAGACAGATGCATTAAATGTGCGGCATTGAGCTTTATCCTTCTTTACGAATTATCGAGTTTTAAACATATTTTGTAAAGAGCAGGTTTGTTCTAAACAATCTAATTTATTTTTAAAACAAATTAAATTTGAAGTAGCTCATCTTAAAATTGGGAAAGCAAGCAGTGTTCAACTCTCCAGGATAAGATTCCAACTTAATTATTCTTAGTCCGCACCTGGACCTAACCTTGTCGTATTAATTCTGAATCTGAAGTGGAATTATATATATATACAACACAAGGAGCCAAGACTGCAGCAACTTTTATGTACTTAAATTATGCAGTTATATTTTTTTATTTAAATAAGTTAATCCTTTGTACTAATTAATATTCATTGTTTGCCATAGTGTGCGTATATCCCAATAAGATTTAGTAAAATATGAGTGACTTTATTTGACCTACTTCATGTTTGCCATTTTCTATTAAGCTTTTCTCTTCATTTGGAATCCTAACAGATCGATCCTCCCACCCCTTTCCTTTTTTCTCCGAGGTCATATCAATGGCAACTTCGATCTCTGCACTCAACAGAAGGTATGTACCAGGGAACAAATGATTGAGTTTTGATAATTTCATGATAAATTTTAGTTGGTAATGACAATAAAATTAGTTTCTACGAACTTCGTGCCGATGGCTCTCATTTTGGGTCCCCCCGAAAAATAAATTAGACTTCAATGTTTTGATGTTAATGTATGTTCTTTAATTTTATTAATTACATTTGAATTTAAAATCGCCTAATTGTTATAAGCGGATTGAAATTACTTTATCGTTTTATGTCATATTTTCCAATCAAGAGTGACAAGTAGTTAAAAAGCATGTCTCTCGTAATTATCAGCCTCTTTCGTTTGTGTTAATTAATTACTTTTTAATTAATTGGAAAGACAGAGAAAAGGATATGATGATATATCTAAAGAGTTAAGTAAAAAATCGAAAGGACACGGTGTTGGAATAAAGGGTTATAGTGAATCTTTTTCTTTTGCTCAGGCTTGAAGGAAAAGTGGCGTTAATAACGGGTGGAGCAAGTGGAATTGGCAAACGCACTGCAGAAGTATTCGCTGAGCATGGAGCTAAAGTAGTGATCGCAGACATTCAAGACGAATTAGGACATTCTGTTGCTCAATCCATAGGTTCATCGACATGTTTATATGTTCATTGCGATGTTACTGATGAGAACCAAGTCAAAAGTGCCGTCGACAAAGCCGTTGAAACTTATGGGAAGCTAGACATCATGTTCAACAATGCTGGCATAGCTGATCCCAATAAGTCTCGAATCATTGACAATGATAAGGCAGATTTCGAGCGTGTACTTAGCGTCAATGTCACAGGTATTTAAGGAAGCACAACACTTCTGAATATTATTAATATTGTCACTTCGAATCAGAAATTATGAATGCTTCAAAAGACAGTGTTACATAAATATTTTAAGTTTAAATATATATTTTTTCCTTCATAGTTTAGCAATTTTTTTTTATAAAAAATTTAAAAAATATTTTGTATTTTAATCCTTATCTTTTAATAAATTTTTGCTTTTAGTCTCAAATGTTGATACGATCAAATAAAAAATTTGACACAGAATAGTATAGATTAAAAGAAAAAAAAATTGAAGTTAAGTCAATCTTTATAACAAAAATGCAGTTGGAATATTATCCTATTACTAATTATATTTTATAATTTTTTACTTGTACTTTAAAAAATTTTATACCTATAAATTAAAATATCACAATAATTAAATAAATTATAGTATTTTATTATTCATAAAATGATTTATACTCATTTTTAAAATATAAATTATCTAGTAGTTTGAGATTTTTATTTTATATTAATATTACTAATGAATTTTAAAATGCTATATTTTCATAGAAAAATTGTAGTTTGAAATCACTATTTGTGGTGTGGTCGGAGTCAAGAGAGAGATAAGAATAAAAGGAAAATAAGTAAATAAAATATGTGATTTGTATTAAAAAGAAAGAGAAAAGAAACGAAACGAAGAATAAATATATAAAAAAATGAGTGCATATAAAAATTTAAAAGTATATTTTCATACGTATATCATATGGTATCTATATGTACTATATGTAGTGTCTAATATGTGAATGCTAAGTTTAACAGGTGTTTTCCTCGGCATAAAGCACGCGGCGCAAGCCATGATCCCAGCTCGTAGTGGTAGCATTATCTCTACGGCTAGCATAAGCTCTTACCTTGGTGGTGCTGCCTCACATGCTTATTGTTGTGCTAAGCATGCTGTGGTTGGCCTAACTAAAAATGCAGCGGTTGAACTTGGACAATTCGGGATAAGGGTCAATTGCTTGTCACCTTATTGTCTTGCTACTCCCTTGGCCACCAAGTTCGTTGGAGCTACGGACGAGGATCTTGAAAATGTCATGAACTCCCTCGCTAATCTCAAAGGTGTCACCCTTAAAGCTGACGATGTGGCTAATGCTGCACTTTATTTTGCTAGTGATGATTCAAGGTACGTCAGTGGCCATAATCTGCTCATAGACGGAGGCTTCAGCATTGTTAATCCCTCGTTCCATATGTTTCAGTACCCACAGTCTTGATTTTGTCTACCATGAAGAAGCAAGCTTAAGTGATATTATTAATGGTTTGTTAGTATTTTAAAATTTACAATAAGGACTCATATTGAGCTAGCCCATGTTTATCATCATGGCCTCCAGCTTTGGCTTTTTCTCTAGCTTGTATATTTGTATTATTTTAAGAAATCATACTTTTACAAGAATAAATCAAAGTACTTTTTATCAAAAGAAAAAAGAAACTTTATATATAAACAGTACAATAGTACTCTTGCCCGTTTATAAAAAGTATATATATCATGCATTGTGAATCTCACATATTTGTCAGGTAATACAAAGTGAAAGTGTAACACATTAGACTTACTTAGAGCCACATTGTCAAATCCCTTTGCTGCCAAAATCCAACCTGCACTTTGGAGTCAGCAAATTGAGCAATATTATTGTATTATTACATAATTTCATATTTGAAAGCCACATAACAGTAGAAAATCAACACCTAAGGACTGTCTGAGAGCATATAACAGATTACACAAACAATGTTTGCCTTTTCTCTACTTGTGAATTTTACTATATTTTACTATAGACTAACTACAATGATTACCATAATAAACTTGGCATTGAATTACAATGTTCTCAGCTACTGAATAACGAGATTGCTACAAAATAAAATATCCTACTGCATACACTTTTAACATTGATTGTTGTGAACTCAGCACTTATACAATGATCAAGATTCTTACTCTTGTGATCCAATCCTCCCCTGCCTCGTGTTATGATCCCATAAAATTAAATCCGAATTTCGATGAATTATACTATTAGTTACACCGACCAAGTTGACTGCTGTATAAAAACATTTTACTAGTTCCATAAGCTCGTCTGCATCGGTGCTCTTTGAGGAGAGCAACAATTGATTAATAATATCCAACCAAATTATCCAAATGATTGCCAACCAGAGCTCCTGCCACTAAATCCTTGTTGTTTTTGCAAGATGGAAGGCCTTTAAATTGAGAAAAACTGTCCAAACAGTTATTTATCAAAGCTATAGATATAGCAGACCATCTACAACCCTCCCTCCAGAGACAATACCAACTGCATTCTAGAAACAAGTGAACTTCTAGAAAGGATTCTGCCCTGCCCTGCAGAACTTTCTAACCCGCAGCATTGATCTTCAATGCAACTGGATTTTCCCGAATTAATTTCTTTTGGTAGAAATTCCTATTTTGAATTGATTGATCGACTTGTATGCAGGTTTTCCCAAAAAAAAATATTTTTATCTGAATTATGATATATTATGTCTATCTTAATACACATTACTATAATATTATTTAAAAATAAAAAAATAAAAAAATGAAATAAAGTTACTTTACACAACACATGAAAAAAATACATTCTAGGTTCCTTTAATTATAATCATGTCTTTAGAGCGTGATTTAGAACGTGTTTGAATAATTTTCAAAATTAGTTTATAGCTTATTTCATTTTGGGCAACATTTGAATTTATATGCTCTTCTTTTATACTTATCAACTTCTTTAATAACTATTTTTATAAAATACATTTAATTTGGTCTGTTAACTTATTGACTTTCAAGTTTTGTTTAATTAATATGTCTACTTTCAGTTACCTTATTAAACACATTCTTATTGAAAATTGATGGACTCTTAAGGATTTGCACATATGTTTGGAGTCATTGTCAAATATTATGAGGGTATAGCTTTGCTTTAATTAGAATTAGAACCCTTAAAAAATTGAGGGGTTTTAGCACCCCGCACAGCTACGTACGATGTATATAGGTGAATTTATTTCTAAATTCAACTTTTAAATTTTGTATTTAATGGACCTTTGCACCTTGGTAAGTTTTTGGTAATTTTTGCAATATAGTCTTTAGATACAAATGTTATTGTTAGAATTATTTAATAATTTGTTTTGAATTTTGATTAATTATTATTTTATTTTAATAAAAATGGATTAATTTATAATTCAAATTGAGTATATAAGTAAGTTTAATAATTACTTTAAGTGATCCGTTGCAACTTTTATTATAAAATTGACGTTTTCAATCCAGTAAATATCAAGCTATACTGGTTATTTTGTTTTCAACCAGTACGTTTTCAAATTGAGTATTTCTAATTATTTTGGCATTTTAATTTTATATAATCTCATATAAATAATCTCTTCCAACAATATTTGCATCTCTCCAAATTTCAGCAACTTCATGTACGTCTCTTGAACTTTCAATCAGCCCAAATCGCATCCACTTACAGTTTACCCCCACAAGCCATCTCTGCTGCAAAAACTAGAAGCCACTACAACCATTGCATTGTCCCATTAGATGATAAAAGGAGTTTTTAGAAGCCGCATATGAAAGTACCATAGAAATCTCCATATTTATGATTCGATACGGTCATGTTTGACAAACTCTGTTAGGCCTTTATGTTGAGTACAGTTAACCTTAGAAAATTAAACATGGGTTGAGATTGCCGGTATTCTTTCGCAGATGTACTTTCTTATAGATCAATTTTTCAACACTGAAAACGCCACAACAATTAAAGTCAAATTTACTAACCAGTTATTCCCCATTGGGAGTGAGCATTTTAATTATCTATATTAAGCTTTTGACAACCACGCCGTTCAGTTTAAATCAAATGTTTCCGATTAGGTTACAGAATTCGCCAATAAAGGAAACAGGAATAAGAGAGGGGCGATGCATCCACAACTTACGATGAAGACAAAATCACTTAATTATTACAAACTAAAAAAGGCTCCATATGTGAACACTGGATCGATTATTTTAGATCAATCAAATTAAATGTATTTTTTATACAAATTTTTAAATTGTTTGAAAAACTAAATTTTAAAATTTCGAAAAAAAAACTAAACTGTATATTTTTTTATAACATTGATGTATACCCCCTAAATTTTGGTCAAATTATTTTATATTCAATATTCTTTCCTTCACCCTATATAGACTTTCCTTAATCAATAAATCAAGGAAAGTAATGCAATATAAATTAAGGAAATTTGTTTAGGATAAAAAAAAAGGAAAAATATTAAGCAGAAAACGATTGAAATTTAAGGACCCTTAAATTTATCTTGTGATATGAGAAATTGCTCACCGACACACATTTTTCTTGACAAAACGTACTCTTTTTTCTTTATTATAATACTCGAAGCTGAAAAATGATTTAGAAGAAAAGAAGAAAAAGAAAAAGAGGGAGTGAGGTGAACACACAACAATAACATGTGATATGAGAAAACTCATCCACCCACCGTCCAGGCGTCCACCATTATAAGTAGTTGAAGTTGACTACTGCATATCACTTGTACTCATCTTTTCTTTGATTCAATCAATATATGACAATATTAATATATGTTTATGAAACTCCTTTTTCTTTCTACTTTAAGCCCGTGATATGATTATGTGGCCACATTAAGTAAGTTCACATGCGTCACTACTCAAATTCTAATGTATTAAATTATTAACACAGCAACCCCTGCTCATTATTGAATAGAAGATCCAATGTTGTAATAAGAGGTAATTTTGTATGTAATTTATCTTTTATTTTGCAATTGTATCCTTACTAAAGGTAACGTGTATTAAGAATAATCACACATTCATAAAATTTTATCAAGATGGAAGTGCTTGCATCAAAATAAAATTAAGTGCGTAAACAATAAAATAAAATTATTCAAATTAAATGATAAAAAAAATAATCACAAATATATCTTCCTGGAGTCAATTAAGCAAAACTTACTCACTCTCCGAACATTTAACAAGTATAAAATTCTTTACATCGATAGTAAGCCAGAATTATTCATAGAACAAAAAATATTGTTAATGTAAAAGTATTTACAATGACAATGAGCTAAAATTAATTTTTTTTATAAATTTAATTTAAACACATTGACAATATAATAAAAAGTTTGCAATATCATCATATTAATTTATTTAATAATTAATATCAAAATTATATTCACAACATATTTTAATTGGTTGACAGTAAAAAAAAAAACTCAACTCCTATCTTCTTTAAATTTTTATAAATGATTTTGTAATTCAATTTTAATATATCGGTTATTCTTTTTATCATGTCATTTATATTAGTAAATTGAGATATCAAATAATATTTGTAATATATTATTATATTTTTTTATGTTATGAAAATCAATTTTTAACTCTTTTTTCATTATTGGATTAATTTGTGGGACCCAAGCCATATCTTTTCATGTCTCTTGGCGATGTGAGGGTGAAATATACGGTGACAATTCATGTTAGGCATATTTAAAAGAATAATTATTTTTTAAACTCTTTCAGAAAGTTGTAAAAAATATATTTTAAAATAAATTATTTTAAACATGTAAGTTTTTTTTGTCTTTACTTTTAATAAATTATATGCATTTCAATATCCTATACTTGTCATATTTATTACAAATCGCCAACCCAATTATAAATTATTTTCTATTAAATGTTTTCGTTTTTTTTCCCCCTAAACTAGAGGTATATTCATATAATATATAATTCTATTCAAGCTGAAATTTTTTACAGTGTAATAGGGTTAATTCTCTCGGCAAAATTTATGAAAACTCAAAATTAATTATTAGTAAGTATTATTTCACAAATAGCATAAATAAAGGTGAGGTAACAAAATTACGTTAAGAAAAATATTACAATTTAAAACTACTATACTTTTATTAATAACTAGTATTGAATAATAAATAAAGTAATAAATAAAATATATAAAAATATAAATTCATATAAAATTGCATGCTATATATATCTACAGTGAGACAAATATGTTTCTAAACTAATTTTCTATAATATTTTTGTTAAATTACATACCTTTGAGTTTATATTAAAAAAATAATCAAAGTGAGCTTAATTTAAACAAAATATGTTACAATATTAAGAGTAGTTCCTCATATGTATATATAAGGAAATACAATTAAATAAGCTCTTAATATCGTTCAGGGTTTCCGTTCCCTGAATGTTCAACCCATGTCCTTCAATCAGAATCCTTTTAAAAACTGATGATTAATTATATCATTAGTTTCTGCTGTTGTTGATTTGAAAGCATTCATTGGGAGTAGTTGTTGCATCATTTTGGTTGGTGGCTTTCATTTAACTAACTATTCAACATTTAACATTTGGTCACATAATCATCGCCTTATAAAGTTTCTATCCATCAGGAATATTAGCATCCATTCAAACTTTTATCCGTTACTTCGTTCGTTGCTATAGTACTGCTAGTCGTAGACGACCAAATCCCCCTCCATGGCTTCAATTACCAAAAGGTAATCATGGATATTTGCCACTTCTTTCGTCTATCTGCATAAATCCAAAAAATTAATTCATACGAAATATTTCTCATGCATAATATCTTGCAGGCTTGAAGGAAAAGTAGCAATAATCACAGGTGGAGCTAGTGGCATCGGTGCTGCTACCGCTAAACTATTCGCTCAACACGGTGCTAAAGTAATCATTGCAGATGTGCAAGACGATTTAGGAAACTTGCTTTGCAAAAGCCTTGGCACAAACACCACCATTCTCTACGTTCACTGCGATGTAACACGTGACTCAGATGTCAAAAACGTGGTTGATATTGCAGTGTCCAAATACGGCAAACTTGACATCATGTACAACAACGCTGGCATAGCTGGAGACTCAAATCGATCAATACTTGCTTCCGACAACGAAACATTCAAAAGGGTTTTCGAAGTTAACGTTTATGGAGCTTTCTTGGGTGCCAAGCATGCTGCAAAGTTCATGATCCCGGCAAAAAGAGGGGTCATTCTTTTTACTTCAAGTGTTGCTTCAATACTTGGTGGCGAAACAACACACGCTTACACGGTGTCAAAGCACGCAGTGTTGGGGCTTATGAAGAATTTATGCGTGGAAATGGGGCAGTATGGGATTAGAGTAAATTGCATTTGCCCTGGTGGCATTCCCACTCCAATGCTAAACAACGCATTGAAGATGAACAAGAAGGAAACACAGGAAATGTTATCTTCCGTTGCAGTGTTAAAAGGTGCAGTTCTTGAGGTTGAGGACATAGCAAGTGCAGCGCTTTATTTGAGTAGCGACGAGGCCAAGTACGTTAATGGAGTCAACTTTGTATTGGACGGAGGTTATAGCACCACCAATTTGTCATTCACTTCTGCACTGAATGGTCTCAAGATGAATAACCACACCGCCAACCACATTGATCAGTATTAGTAATACAGGCCTAATGGCTTTTTATGTATCCTTTCACTGCTCTTGCTGCCCAGTTCTATATATACGTAAAATAAACCTATCTTATAAGTTATCTTTATGTGGGATTGCTACTTGATGAGGATGGAATACTTATCACAGTTTCCCCTCTGAAATATGAAACAATATAGTACTAGCTAGTGCCTGTGCTTCTGTAACAAGTCAAATTAAGTGTATTGTTGTGCTGTATATTGCTCTGCATTAGCAAAATAAAAATAGTAACCCGAGTAAAAGCATATATTGTCATATATTACACAAGTTTCTAATACACTTTTAACACAATTTTTTCTATAAATTATTAATGTGTATGTGTGTATATGTATCAGTTAGTTGTATTTTTATTTTTCTTAATTTAGACTGTACGATCTTTTAAGATTTTTTAGTCAATTAAACAAATTTATTTTTAAAATTAAGTAAATATCTCAAATGAATCATAACTTAAATTGATAAATGATTTGAAAAAAAAAATTCAATTTTAATTAAGAAATTGAAAGATGGATCAAATTTACTTTCAAATTTTAAAATGAAAGAACTTAATTAGTTAATAAAAACGTGTGATAGTTCAAATTAAAGAATAATAATATAATTAAGACCATGTATTATCAGGATAAATTTAAGCTATGTATACTTTATTCAAAATTGTCTAAAAAAACATTAGTAGTGGTATAACTATCTGGATGAAAGCATCTCATCATTCAAAAAGTATCAGAGAAAATTATTTTTATAGTGGATATTTTTAATTACTGTTTTATATTTAAAATATATTTTATATATATAAGAGGTAAAAGATATAAACAAAAATAAATACACATAATATTATATATGATATTAATTTTTAATTATTTAAATAAAAAAATAAAAGATTAAGAAGGCTTACAACTGTTAAGATTGATCTTAATTTCTAACCGTTTATAATTTTCAAGATTTTAACCTCTATAATAACTTGTCGATCAACAAGAATATCTAACACAAGCGATTAATGTTCCTCAAACGGAATATGATAAGTATAGCGTCCTCTACAGAGCACCTAAAATATTATTGTGCGTCTTTATTTTTCTATCATTATTCTTTTTTTTCTTGTTCTTTTCTTTTGCTGAGTTCTAACATTATTCTGGTTATATTAAAAATACGAAACAGAATAAAATGATAGACGGGTCTAAGAGAGTGATTTTAAGTATAGTTTATAAATTATTAAAGAGTTTATAATTTTTTTGATAAGTTTGACAAAGAAAAGATAATTTAGTTCATAAAATGCTACTCTAAGTAGCATCTTATTAAAAGTTACTTTTTAATATTTTTTTTATTTTTACTTAAACCTTTTAAATACTTTACATTAACATAAAATAACTTTAACACTTTTTTTTAATCATTAATTTAACACACTTCATCTTGTTATACAAATAATTTTAACAAAAAAACTATTTCAATCATTTAGTTATAAATTATAATTTAGATCTACAAACTTTGAATTAACTTGTGAATTAAAAGCTACAAATTATAAACTTTTAGCTGATTATATAAAACAAAATCTCGGTGCTGTGGTGAAATGTTACTTAGTGGAGTTAATGGTAGTTGAATGGAGGAAGTAATGATGTCTATATGAGGTTAATGAATTGATAGACATTATTAAATTAATAATGATGGTATTTATCTAATTATTTTTATAATTCTTCTATTTATTTTGTATACCTCGTTGTTAAACATTAATATAGAATGAGTAATGCTAACAACGTATTTTTTTTATAATACACTTTTTATTTTAAAATATATTAAAAATTATGTGATTATTTTTTTTTAAATTAATATTTTTTATATCTTTTAAATTTTTAATAAATTTTATTTAACAGTAAAAATGTATTTAAAATAATATGTTAGATATTTTTAATACAGAATATTTATTCTGTCTATTACGAGAAATGTAAGCAACTAATTATTTAAATAATAAGTTTTTTTAATAAATTAGTTAAATGCATTGCAAAAAAAATTATATATAATAATTTTATTAAAAGTTACATAATTTAATACATTAAAATATTATAGTTAAAAACTTACTATATATAATTTTTTATCTTGAAAAATATTATATAGGTTAAAAATTTATTAATTAAATTAAGCAGCTATCAAGTTTAGAAAATATATTTTTATTCTTTTAATGATAAAAATATATCTAATATGTAAAAAAAATATTTAAAACATTATTTATAAAATTATAAAACAATAAAAATGAAAAATATCATTTGTATTTCATTGATTAATTAATTTACTTCACATATTATAAAACTGAAAAAAACGTGAAATTTAATTATAAGTTATTGATTTGCATTGCCGTTTGTCGCTTTACAAATAATGGGGTGTTTATTTTAAAGTTTGCACAATAATAATATTAAGAATAAGATATTTCCATTTTTAATATAAGTCATTTTTAATCCAACGTTATTGTTTAAAAAATATTTTAAATTTTCATAATGAGAACTGAGAAGTGCGTATTTTAACTTCCCATGAATGGAAGATATTTTATTTTTTAAAACAAAAAAATTAAAAAAATTAAATACCAACTAAATATATTTTATTTAAAAAATGATATTTAAAGAGACATTAGTTTTTAGAACATTGTTTTTAAAAGTGTTCCTAAATATAGTAAACACCAATCGTCGTAATTCTCATTTCTGAAGTTATTTTCAAATTAATCTGCTCTAATTTGACGGCGACATAATTAAATGAATTATTATCATCAACTATGGCAATAGGTAGGCCCAAACCAGTTACGGACATCACATGGTTGTGTTGGGCCCTTTAAGAAGCTATTTTGTTAGGTAATACAGCGCATGTTTGATATCCATAATAAGAAAATAAAGATTCAATTATTCAATGTGATACATATTAATATTCCAGACCCAGCGTTGTCGTTCCCTCTCAAATGTAAATGTCATTTTGACTCAAAAAAATAAGAATACAAATGTCACTCTCACTTTAATTTGGTCTTACATTAATGCATGGCTAGGCTTTGAGATGATTTCTCATTTTAATGGTGAGGGAAAAACTTAGAAATATGCTAATGCTTTTTTTGGTTATTCTGTTGTTTGGTCTCTATAAATGCACCGAAATAGAATAATGTAAAGGGTTTGTTTGAGGGGAAACAAAAAAGAGCAGCTAGTTTATCTAACTCTTGATTCAATAATTCTTTATTATAAGGTGAGTTATGAAATACATTTTATCATAAAATTCATTTTAATAAATTGTATATAAAAACTTATTAAAATAAATTAATTATTTTTACAAACTCTTTTAAAAAATTTAAATGAAAAATGTTGATTTTCTTAGTACTTTTAATTCGGTAAAAGTACGGCCTTAAGTCGGTTATCTAGTCTAAACTAGACTTGGAGTATTTTTATACTCATTATACTAGATTTTTCTTGTTTAATAAAATAAATTACTTACGTGTTTTGGAGCTATGTACTTATTCAAATTATAAAAAAAATATTTTAAGAACTTTGATAAAAAAAAAAGTAATAATTTAAAAAAAAAACAAATTAAACAGAGTAATACGCACATATAAATCATTTGGTTACAGGATAAAAGAGAGAGAAGAAAGAATAGTGTTAGAGAGAAAGCATCAATTACAGGAAATTTCATCCTTTTAATTATAATAGAAAACAGGAGATAAAAAAAAAGCATAACAATGAGGTTTATAATTTGATTTTCTCTTTATTCATGAAAAGAAAAGTGCAAAGTGGTCGTAAAAAAATTGGAAAACAATTTTTATAATACAAGAACATTTTTTATTTTCAAGGGAAAAAGTAAGATTATATTAAAAAGGAAAGTATTTATTATATAATAAATTTAAAAAATTTCAGAACTACTGTTAATACTTTTCAATAAAAAGTAAAAACATTTAGGAATATTTATTTGTTATGATGTTCCATCTTGGATGAGTAGTGGTATTGTGGGATGAAGTCTCACGATAATCTAAATAATAGTTGCACAACATCTCGAGGAGCCATGAATTGAGGTAGCTCAACATCATATATAAGTGGATAAAATCACATTGACATGGAGGTGTAGTAGTGTTTAGTATCACGAGACATTCCACACTGCCGTATTTAAAAATGCCTAACACATGTAATTGAAAAAAAACTTAACAATATATTTTTTAACACTCTTATTAATACATTTTTAATTATTAATGAAAATTTATAAAAAATTATGTAAATTTCAAATTTTTTTACTCTTAATATAATAATTTTTTTTGCTGCTCAAAATAATTTTAACTGGTTTAGAGAAAATAATTAAATTCTAAAAATTATGATAAAAATGTATGTTAAAAAAATGCGTTGTTAATAATGTTAGCGTGTAATCATCTTTAGTACTGTATGTAATTAGACAATGAATGAGTATTGATTGCGCTATATGATTGCCTCCAATTAAAGCTTCATGTAAAGAGTATCGACAAAATTGTGTAGGTTGAGTTTGATATTTGGTCTGCGGTTATCATAATATGATTGATGCGGTGGGAATCAAATTTATGATATTGCATCAAGTTAGAATGCTTAATATGAGTGAAGTGAGTTTTTAAAATTGTTAGATATATTTTAAAATATATAAATAGCTTAAATTTGTTACTTGTAATTTATAATATAATTTTTTATATGTTTATTATTTAATTTTTTATAATTTTTTACCTTTAAAATATGTCATTTTATATCTTTAAAATATGATTATTTTTTTAAGTTGCATCACTTGTATGTATTTTATATTTAAGAAAGTATACATTCATATGCACTGATTTAATTTTAATTTATAATAAAAATAATTTTTAAATTAATAGAATGTTGAATGTAATTTTAGATTTTTAGAGTTTTTTATAAATTTTATGGATGAAGTACATAAATTTTAAAATTAAAATTTTCATACACAAATGAAATGAGTTTTTTGTATTGATAAATTGTTTAATGTCACTTTAAATCTTTTCTATGCCTTCTTTGTAAAATGGTTGTTTCTGCATCACATAATTTTTGTAATTTTTACTTAAGTTATTTTACATTAGCTTAAACAAAAGTTATAAGAAAAAAATGACTCATTAAAATTAGTTTGCTTAAGCTACACAAGATATTATAATATTTTTTAAAATAAATAATATTTTGCTTAAATAAAATTATATTGGCTTAAACGAGTTTCAACAAAATTTATTAGTTCATTATTGTCTATAGTTTATTTAAGCAAAAATTATAGTGAGTGAATATTTTGTTTTCTTTTATCATTTAACCATATGTTTTTGGCTATTACCTTTACTTTAATTATACCAATTTGTTAATTTATAAGATAATTAGGATGAAAATATGATTTTTTAAATTTAATTAATTCTAGTTATAAATATCGCAATTTAAAGTATAACAATGCAAAAAAGTCTAATTATTTAGATTTAGAGTAAATATGTGAAATAGTTTTGCATGTTATTAAAGAAAAATTGAAATAAAACAAATAAAAATTAAGCAAATATTCTACAATAACATTCTAAGCAATGATTATATTATTCCATTTGATTTATTGTCTTAGATATTTTTTTTCAAATTTTTATTATTCAAATTTTAATTATAGCCACTTAATTTATCATTGAACTAATTATTAAAAAAATAAAAAATTCTTAAACTTACTTTAAAAGTAAAGATAAAGGTGAATTTGAAAAAATATAATTAAAGTTTATATGAATAAATAAACATGTTTTTAAAAAATAGTTGTCTTTAAAAAAATATTTTAAAAAACCTATTCAATTATCTGAGAGCTTAAGATTATGAGTTTAAAAAATTTATTAATAATTAAATTATAAATATTATAACTTTTAAAACATGTAACAGTGTATTATTTTATGAGACATATACTTATATTAAATTATATTTTTATATTATTATGACTACATTGAAATATTTTTATGTCTTTAAAAATATTTGTAATTTAATTTTAATCTTTGTAATTCTTTTGTGTTGATTTTAATTTACGAGTCTTCTAAAATTGAATGACTTTCGGCATTGTATTAAGTTTTGTTAAATGATAAGAAAATTAACAATTATCTAACTCAACATTATTGTGTGTATTGTAATAACTGCCTAAATATGTTTTTTCATCTAAAATATCTCGAAATTTTAGATTCAATTTCTAAAATTATTTTCGTTTAGTTTAAATTTAAGTATTTCTATTTTTTTTTGCTAGTAAACGGAGCTAAAAAGCCCAAAGACAACAAAAACCTACAAAACACATCTACAATGCCAAGAACCTAAAGCATCCAGATTTAAGAAAGGATATAAGGAAGGGGGAGCCTCATCAAAACAATAAAAAGGCATTCCATAATCAGTCCTAACTTTAGCAAGCCAATTAGCATATTGATTGGCTTCTCTAAGAACATGATTGAACCTAATAAAGCAGATACCTTTCAACAAGATCCTAATCTCCCTAATTATATAAAACTGAGAGTGATTACAATTAGAAAAATTAACAAGGGAGATAGCCTCCTTTGAACCACTCTCAATCCAGACTATTTGAAAATTCTTTAAGACAACAAGTTTTATTCCCCAATAAATCTCCCAAAGTTCAGCAGCAAGAGGAAGACAGGGATCCAAGGCACCATAAAATCCAGCAAGGAATCTATCATGGCTGTCACGAATAAGGCCACCACATCCAGCAAACCCAATACTTTGAGAAGCAGACCCATCCACATTCATCTTAAACTGCAGGTGAGGAGGCAATTGCCATTTAACAAGGCTTTGAGGCTCCATGAGAGCAGATCCGACCTTTAGATTCTTCTTGCCATAGATCAGAAAAAAATTAGCATCTTGCAGAATCTTAAGCGACAACGAATCAGTATTCAAAGGGGAGCTTTGGAATATAAAGTTATTCCTATTCCTCCATAAATTCCAAACAACCATACCAAAAAGAATATTTCAGTGAGGGTAATTTTGAAAGCTGTGAGAAGACAGATTGTATTCCAGCCAACTAATTAAACCTCTATTAAAAAAAGAGGGTCAGTTATCAAGGGAAACTAATTTATCCCAGACATGTTTAGCAAACTAACAGTCCTTAAGGACATGAATGACAGATTCATCAGCATTTCTACACCTAGAACAGTCAGGAGAATTGGTCATACCACGACTAACCCTTTCAATATTTGTTAACAACCTACCATGAGCAATATTCCAAAAGAAAACTGAGATTTTAGGAGGACCTTCCTATTTCCAAACAAGGTTAAAAATGCTATGACAGATTTCCTCACCTTCCTCAGGAGGGACAATCAAGTTATAAGCAGACTTAATGAAAAAAAGACCATTTGTAGCATACTTCTAGTAAAAAAGATCCTGGCCCCCATCCAACTTAGGAGGAGGGATTTGACTAATGGATTCACAAAGAGAAGCAGGCAACAGGGACCTCAATCTAGGCCAAACCCAACTGCCTTGGTTAGAGAAAAAAGCAACAAGCATATTCAGCTCATTAACTAGGAGAGGTTGCAGGACAAAATTAGAAAGGTTATGATATTTAAGAACTCAACTGTCTTTCCAGAATTTAATGGTCAATCTATCCCCTAAAATCCAGCCTAACCCTTTACAAAAGGGGGCCAGACCGACAACCTATTCTTCCATAAGAAAGAGAAATTTTGGCTATTCCTAGAATAAGGATGCTTGCCCAAGACAAATTTGTATTTTCTACACAAAACTTGAGCCCATAATTCATTAGTGGAGGTTATAAGCCTCCACCACAGCTTCATAATGTAAGCTTAATTGACAAGGTTAATATTTCTAAAACCCAGGCCCCCTTCTTCTTTAGGCTTACAAATTCGCTTCCAACTAATTAGATGACACTTCCTACTATCTAAAGATCCTCAAATAAACTTTTTGAAAATATTATCAACCTCTTACACAGATTTGGAGATGATTAAGGACTGCATAAACTAGGTTGGCATGCTCATAATGCAAGACTGAGCAAGAAGGACTCTACCGGCCATGGAAAGAGATTTCATTTTCCAAAGGGAGAACTTCTTCCTAATCTTATCAATAATATTTATTTAAGTATTTATTGTACTACAATTTTACAAATAATATTTAGTTTTAAACAGTTAAAATTATTTAATGAATGGATGTGATTTATTCGGTGGCTACCATAGACAAAAGATATTTTGTTGGTGAATACAAACCCCACAGACCAATAATGCATTGTAAGAACTAAGAAGAAAGATGGAACTCTGCTCCTCCTCAGACTCCGACACTCCAATCGCAAAGAGGTAACCAAATTCAAATTCAAATTTGCTTTTCTCATTTAATTTGGGAGCATTTTCATTTCAATTTCCAAGCATGCAGGTTAGAAGGCAAAGTAGCACTCATAACATGAGGAGCCAGTGGCATTGGCGAAGCCACCGCAAGGCTTTTCCTTCGCCACGGCGCAAAAGTCATCGTCGCCGACGTCCAAGACAACCTCGGCCACTCTCTCTGCTACGCCGTTAACTCCGACGTCAAATCCAACATCTCCTACGTCCACTGCGATGTCACCAACGAAAACGACGTCCAAAGCGCCGTCAACTTCGCCGTCTCGCGTTACGGCAAATTGGACATCCTGTTCAGTAACGCCGGTATCTGTGGCTGCATGGAGCCTTCGATCATGACCATGGATTCCGCTGACCTGAAGAGGGTTTTCGAGGTGAACGTGTACGGTTGTTTTTACGCCGCGAAACACGCGGCTACGGGGATGGTTCCGAACAAGAGAGGGAGCATTGTGTTCACCGCTAGCGTTGCTTCGGTGATTCGTGCGGGTTCGCCGCACGTGTACACGGCGTCGAAGCATGCAGTGGTGGGTCTGATGAAGAACTTGTGTGTGGAGATGGGGAAGCATGGGATAAGAGTGAATTGCGTTTCGCCTTACGCGGTGGGGACTCCTATGCTGACACATGGCTTTAGGATGGAGAAGGAGAAAGCAGAGGGAGTTTATGTGAGTGCTGGGAACTTGAAAGGGGTGATTCTGAAGAAGGAGGATGTGGCGGAAGCGGTTTTGTTTCTGGGTAGTGATGATTCCAAGTACGTTAGTGGGTTGAATCTAGTCTTAGACAGAGGTTACAGTGCCATCAATGTTGCTGTTGAAGATGCTTTCAGAAAGCTTTCTGCTGCTGATTAAGCTTTGGTTTATGGGTTATCTTTTGAGTTTTAAAACAAATAAATCCAAGCATATGTTTCTTTCGATGGGTCTGTAATAGTCATTATGAATATTTGAATTATATATCTGTATTTGTGAAAATTTGTGGAATATCGTCAGTAATGTTGCCCACATGTAACAGTACTGTTAGGCCGCTTTCAAAGTGAAATATCACCGATAAAGCATCTCCCTCTTTGGGAACCTAGTTTAAATTATCTTTTTCTTATTTATTTAGCTAAAAACTGATATTATTCAAATTAAATAACACATTTTCAATATTTAACATTACAACATATTTCCTTCTATTTATTCCTCTGTTAATCCTGTTATTGGGTAACTAGGCTTCGGGCTTTGCAGAGAGTTTAGGCCTAAAGTAAAATTTCTTTAGTTTACCACTATACCACTAAGTCCAACAGGTACGAAACTGATGTAATATATATAAAGAACGAGAAGTAAAAACAAATGCAAGAGCATACTCTTAAACACTCATTATGTGACTTGTCCATTTTCTAAAAAATTGAAGTATCATTTAAAAAGTGATTAATTTATAAGATAAAAACTTTGACATTTTAAAAAAGGAATCAATAATAAGAAATGTATTAAAGGATGTGTTGTTAACAATTTTTCTTTTATTTTTCTCTTTAAAACAAGACGAGCTCAATATTCTCAAGATATTATAAGAATTATATATATAAAAAAGGTTTCACAATATGTTATTTAACAACGAGTTAGTGGTACTTATGATGGCATAATAACAAATAACAATTATTCAAACGGCAATGGGTGGATTATATCACACACATGCAATACTCTCTTTTTACTCGCTGGAATTTGCTAGTCCTACCATATTGAGCATGTGGCGATCTTCCTTAAACCTCTCGAGAACAGTGCCCTTGACGGCATGATTCTTGTCTTGTGCCACACCTTGAGTCACTCCCCAGCATTCTATTACTTCTGGCAATATACGGTTAGTCTTCGAGAGGCAAGGGCTACCAAACGTAGAACATGAAAATGTATGTCCTTGATCGAAATTTGCCGAGAGAAATAACCCAAAGTGGTTGACTCTTCCCCCGAAACCAATGCCATTAGGAATGTCCTCTGAACTGAAGCTGACAGCACACTACATGACATGGAAATTCAATGGTTAAAAGAAAATGAAACATATGTAATAAAGAGACTAAACTCAACTGAATAAAATCCAATGTAAAGGTAGTATTGATCTGTGAGAATGCATGGGATCTAAATAAACCTTTTAAACTTCCTTTGCATATGATAAGTGATAACTACCATCTTACAACATCACGTAATGCACCCTCGTTTGTAAAACATGCTTAACCATAGAGATCCCCTTCCTTCTATAACAAACAATATTTCAAGTTCATTCATGCTTAGTTTTAGACGGAAAAAAAATGAAAGAAATTTCGTTCATGCTAAATTGCTAATACTCCAACACCCAAAAAAGCAATTGAAACTGACGGGAAGCCTGATCATTTCTAGTTTTTGTGTATTGTTATTGTTCTAATTGCAACCTCAATTTTACTTGAGCTACTTTGTGACACTGATACACAATGAAAGGGGAGTTTTACAGTTCAGAACACAAGGAAATGTTAAATGGTAGAAATTTAGAATTTTAAGAAACAAGTAGTTACCCATTGTAGATTATTGTTTGCTCCAGTTGGCCTGAATATAGATGCCTTTGGATTTAGTTGAAAAAGGTAACATTTCATGTCTCCATAAAAATCAGCATGCCTCTCCCATGGTTGAGAAGTATACCCTCCATATATATAACCCTCTTGATCCTTAAAAATTAACACAGTTGGGCCTGCATGGTTTCTGCAGTTAAACTTAGAAGAGTTATTCATACATTACAAATTTCCAAGCTATCATAGTTTTAATTGGAGTAGCCTGGAAACTAAAATGAATTAAACTATGCAAATAGTATATAGCTGGGACACCTAGGGAGGGAGAGCAGGATGTTTCTCCAAGTTTGTCTCTATGTGCTAAGTATTAATTTAAAAGAGTAGGATGTTTCAAAGACAAGAAAATATACTTACGAAATGGTGCCCAAGAATGTATTAAAACTAAGACCATTAATAGCACTATGATACAAAAGCTTCCAATCTTCCAGTTCATGCTGAGAAAGCGCTCCTCCAATATGCCAAGCATATTCCTTTCTCAAAAGTGTAATGTTAGAATCAATAGCCTTTGAGGTCAATAGTTTAGGAATTTGGGAACCTGGTCGTCCTAGAAACAAAAGAGCAAAACGAATGAGAAAACATGCCAATTATTTTCACTGAACTTTTCTCATAGCCACTCCAGTAGCACTTTCCATCTGAAAAAAGGTACTATAATGAATTCAGTCAAAAAGTGGAACATTTAGTTTAGTGAAATTTGTATGTGTCTATGTTACAGTTCAACAGATACATACCTTTGTTCTTTGTAAAAGTACCAAAAAAAACATAAATTTAAAATTTACATAAATATGTTTTTGGTTATTGCCAGAGTATTTATAAAATCAATATCGTGCAAAGAATTGTTCTCAAGGCACGTTTATTCATTTTGTGAAGCAGCTAGCGTGTATGATACAGATCATCACCATCAATTGCTATTTACATTTAACATCATTCAATAATATGCTATTGAAAGATAATTATTTCAGCCAAAATGCATTCATTTTATGTAGGTCAATAAATTGCAGCAAAATTATTTTTTATTTCTCATAAGAAGCCTATACAATAGCAACAAACTATTGATTGATGAGTACAGAGCTTACTACAAGTTTACAACTACTATAATAATAACAACCAAGCATTATCAGTTATCCAACTATATGGGGTTGATTACATGAATCAATAGATGCCATTGAGTTCTATCAACACCAAAATTTCAGTAAATCCATTCATAGTTAGAGCTTTTTCAATGGTTTCTCCTTCAAACATTGACCAATTTCTTCATCCATAATAATACCGACCCTATTTCTTATTCCAACTTTACCTGTGCACCAGATAAATCCTGAAGAGTCTGAATCCTTGGCATTTTTTTTCATTCCCCTAGATTTTTTTATGGCATATAAAGTTAATCCAACTTTTGATCATGCTGTCAACTACTTCACATATAAGCGTTCCAATATTTTAAGTGCCAAAACAAATCATACTCTTATGATACAGCCAAGAAAGCCATACAAATACTATATAACACTAGATCCATGTACTAATACAATAGCTAAAGATTATTTTACACTAAACTAGAGTCATACAACTCATACTTACAAGTAACAACCTAGAATTAGAAATTTAGCATAGTTGAATCGTTGACCCACGTCATAAAAGGTTAAACAAGGTTTTACTCTAGTTGACTGCCTAACACAACTTCCTCTTGTATCCAAGTTTCAGAATGACTACGCATAATTTGGTCTGTGTGGGTGTGAGAGAGGGGGAGGGGGCAAAAAGGATAATCAAAGGCAAAGTTTGAAAAACACGAAACTTAATTTGGAAATTTCAAATCCATGGTTCGTCAGCTCATAACTTCATGATCCTGATCTTCTTGTCATATTTCAGATAATGTCATAAGAAATGAAGTCAATAACAAACTATTGGAAATTAAGTACAACAATACCTGAATCAGGTGGCAAAAGCAAGCTTCCAAGAAGCTTCCTCACGGATGGGATATGAGTGCACCAACATCTGAAATCTTCAAAAGACATAGTCTCCTCAGTGCCCCCTTCATTATGCCCGGAGAAATTTGCAGCTTTCAGAAATATGTTGACAATTGCCGGATGTGAACTTGATTGATCCTCAGAACCTTTTATGCATAATATATCATTAAAAATGACAACCATAACAGATTCCAAGTCAGACCTGCATCTCCAACGTAACATGCATTGACATGAATATAGAAGGGGGAAAGAAAAGGAAAATAATTTTAAAATTTTTTAACACAGCATTATAACTGGATTATCCCTATTAACATCTTATAATCCCTTGTGCTTTGATAGAAACATAAACAAAATCTCAACCAGGCTGACAACACTATTAAAGAAGTATTGCTTGTAGAACTGAATCACAAAGTTCAGCATATTAAACTAAAAAAACAAAATTTAAACAACGAAACTCCTCTGCCCAAAAAATTATCCATAGAATAATTCCACTCCATAAAGAACAAAAATGAATCCCAATTAGCAGATTAGTAAACTAGCTTCACTGCTTAATTATTTTGTACAGAATGGAGGCTTAGTATGGTCTGAGTCAGACCTGCATATACAACTTCTAAAAGAAGTATAGAACTGGAAGTTGCATGTGAGAATCTCCATACCTCCCTACAAAATTATCTCCAGACACATCTAATAAGCGAAAGATGAATTCTTCAATTTCATCTTTTGTTCCTTTCTCATAAGTAGCCTACAAAATGAAAATTTAAACCAATTAGTCCTAATTTTGGAACAAATACCAACAAAAAGACGATGATGATAACCAGGAACTCACTTTAGCAACAACGAGATCTTCAAAGGTTAACCTTTGATCCTTGCGCTCTTGAGTAACTAAATCAAACATTCTCTCCCCGAGAGGGCCATGAAGTCTAAAATATGACTACAGCCCAAAAAAAAAAAACACAACTTTTTTAATAGGTTTTAGATAATAATAACACATGGGTTATGGTTATTGATGCAATTAATCATTTGATTGAAGATCACCAAGAAAAAGAACCTGAAAAACGGAGGGAGATATGTATTTGGCGTTGCTCTGAGATTGAGCAGCTAAATGATTGAACAGGGACCTCAAGTCTTCAAGTTCCTTTTGAGTAAAAGCTCTGCAATGATTTTTGAGATTAATCAATGGAAACAGGAAATTGAATTTCTGTGAGAAAGTGCGTGTGCGAAAGAAAAAGAGGAACCTGGTTGCTGAAACATATCGATGGTCGTTATTGGGAGGTGACTGAGCATTGCCCATTGATTGCTTCGCGTCGAGTGTTTCTGTGATTTGAGGTGGTAGTTTCTGCAAAGTTCCGTAGCACACTTCGTTTTCAAGCAGTTTCTCTTCCCATCCCCCCCTCAAGTGCTACTGCTGCGCACGTAATTTTCCATTGTTGCTATTTACGAATCTCTCTGCCACATTTTAAACCCTCGTCAAAAGAAAAATTGTAATCACTTGTAGTTAGAAAAGTAGGTTCTTCGGTAAGGAATTAAAATTATTCTTTTTTCAGAAAGTATGATAAATATATATTTCTTTGTTCATTGAACATAATTTAATAATTTTGAAAATTTTCTTAACTAATGTTTTAAAGGTGCTAATTAACAATATTTTATTTTAAAAACATGTTATTATATTATATAATTAAATTTAATAAATTAAATATTAATACGAGATTAAATAATGTACAGGTGCACACAAAATAAACCGTATCAAATTCTGTCAGTTAAACCTTTTATCTTTCTTATCGGTTGGAACTATAAATAGTTGGGGTTCCTGTATTATGTTTTAGAAACAGTGTTCTGTGATAAAAAAAAATTCTTTCTATTTTTTTAATATTTTTAAATTAAAATGCTAAGTAGTATTCCAGAAATAGCGGTTCAAACTTAAAAATTTAAAATTAAAATATAATAATGCATTCATTTCCATAATCTTTAATAAAAAATATTATTTATTATTATTTTAAATGTATATAAAAAAACCAAATTCATGTTTAAAAAATTTATTAATTATTTCCAAGATCAAACGTGTCTTCCAATTTTATACGTATTATTAAGATGCTAAAAATAATTTCTTAGTTTTTATTTTTTAAGACTACAATTACTATATTTTTTAAAACATGTGCTTTATATAGAAAATTATTTTCTTACGTACACAAATATATAATGTCAAAGATGTTCACGAAGTTGCTTTGTATCTCAGTAATTCCTTTCTTGAGGAATGCACTATATGTTTCATATTTTTTATCCTTGTAAAAAAAAAAAAGTTATTTATTATCTAAAAAATATTTTAAATTGATTGACACATTAATCATGCTTTCATTCTTTACACAATGTAATCATTTCATAACTTTCAAAGTAGGGGTGCATTCAAGTGTGTTGAAAAATGGTAAAATTATATCAACAATAATTTTTATATTTCAAGTAAAAATTCCTCTTTAACTATTTAGATTTGAAGACAATTAGTAGTTTTTGACCTAAAAAAATATAATAATTCTAATAAATCTCAATAGATAAACTATAATATTTAATATGTCGTTTGTAACAACTTAAATAAATACCGAAACGCTAATGACTTTATATTCCAAAGGTTACAGACCCAAAAAAACTAGAATAATGTCAAATTGGATAATTAGATTGTAAAAGAAAATGGATCGAGAGAGGATATATGTTGGATCCAGCGAATTGGCCCAACCCACAAGGTTAAACAATTTTTGGATTAAGCTAAATTTGATCAAAATAATATCAGGTTTAAGTTTTCAAAATTCAAATCACATCATATTTCGGAATATTTAGACTAACACATTGAGCTTTACCTATTTTCACACCATAGGAATTGAACTATATTTTCTCAATTTTGTTTGGTCAATTATTTTCTCCTGTCTTTTTCTTTTCGGTCTACGAATGATGTTTTTTTTCTTGGGGTCAGGATGTAATGTCTTTTTTTCAGGAAATAAATGGTTTCTTAGGCCTAAAAACCTTCTGTTTGATGGGCTAGACTTAGAGCTCTGGGTCCATAAGTAATTCCTTCATCGGCCCATATTAGAGCCCAACCCAGGATGGAGCATATGTGACCACTGGAATTGATATAAACAAACTATGGTCGTGCAATTTTAATTAATTTATAATGCAATAATTTTCTTATTTATTATGTAAAATATTAGATGCTAAAGAAAAGAATAGAAGGATTATCAAAAGGAAAGTAAAATAATTGATTGAGAGTTGAAGTTTTACCCCTTTTTCTGGTAGACAAATTTATTTTTTTAAACACTTTATATATTTTCTTTTTAACAAATGTCTTTACGAATTTCGTTAACAAAATATTTATATTTCATACTCTTTCTATTGTTTTCCTATATTTGTCTCTATAACAAAAGTGTCTCTGTTCCTTTTGAATTTTTATTCGTCTCTTTATAAATTTAATTTAGCACTAATTTTTTTCAAAATTTATCTCAGTAATAATAAGTAAAATGTCACAATAAAATTTTGAATATTTGAATGAAGGGTAATTTTTTCATATGAACTTATTTTTCTTATAACTGAGGCTATTTAATGGTACCCTTAAAATTTTCAGAACACCCTTAAAAGATACATATAAAAGAATATAAGGAATAATATAAATTAAAAAGAAAAATTAAATTGCATAGATATATTTCCGTCCTTGGTAACAAAGAGTGGATATAAACCTTGGATGATGTCAACATAACATTATATAAACGCAACAGACGGAACAACATTTATTAAATGTACTAAAAAACTAGGAAGTAACTTCAAATCACAGTTCACGTCAAAAATAAATACATAAATAAGCTTCAAATCAAAGTTAATATTTTAGACGTAGGCTAAGTTGTCTATAATAATATCTGTAAGGTGGAGAATCTAATGTCACGTGAAGGGATGGATCTTGGAATCTGTCAAATTTGTTGGTGCTTACTGTGTTTAATGTGAGCATTGAAGGATTTCTCATTGAAAACTGTAACTTGAATTAAAGTCCATCGTTATGTATCCTCCTACAACACAACTTAACATTTTCAAATATGAATAGCAGAGGGAAATTTAAATGTTGGGGAGCTTGAATGGTATCTTAATACATAGCAGAGGCATTTGATTTTGCTGAGAAATTTCTGGTGAGTTTGGTTGGCACATGAAATGGATCCGTTAATGCCGTTTGAATGCTGCACTGTGATCCATAAGAGTAATCAAAGCAAAAGTAACATAAGCCCCTCTATCTCTCTCTGCCTCCATATTTAGAGGCTAATCTGTAGGTGTGCAACTAAATGTTTCGCATGCATTTCAATGAGGGGGTTGAGAATTCAATTCAAAGTTTCATCAATAGGGTATTAAAATTTATGGCTTGGATCTGTTTAAATAGTACTATACAATATCTGTGTAAATGCAGCAACCAGCAAGTGATGGTTTTTTTTTTTTATTCCTTAGGTTCCTCTTAACTCTTCTCAATGAAAATTAATTTCATCTTGACAATCTCTGTATCATCATAATATAAGCTCTTTTTCCCCAATAGGCTCTGTTTGGTGTGGAAGTTATGCAAATAAATAGCAACTGCGACTCCAAAAATTGAAATAAAATAAAATATTTGGATAGGTGCCGCAACCCTTTGTGGAGTTCTCTCTCTCTCTCTCTCTCTCTCTCTCTCTATATATATATATATATATATATATATATATACATATTCATTAATTTTCATAAGGAATTACATCTGCATGCCTCATCCCAGTTCCATGCCACTTGACATGGCAACATGCATCGAATACAGTCATTGCAATCCTTACAACCGTGCAAGTATAAGGCTAATTCCAAATATCACTAATCGAAGATATTTAAAAGAAAAGATGACTAATATGAGAAGAAATAGGAAACACTTGGACTTGATAAATAAAAGGGATTATAATTGTGTCAATAATGGAGTCAGGAAGATGGTGATCATGGAGTTTGTGTTTATCGGGTGCTTTCTTCGAGCAAACAAAGAGGACGGATTATTACATTTTGTTCTTCCGCTCGTGTGTCTCCACTTTTTAATGGCTTATGCCTTATAATATGTTGCTATGGTGTTGTATTTTTTAACTAAGTTCACTGTTTCCACCATTAAAAATTAATATCATATATGAGACTTTATCTTATTATATTATTTTGGTATCTCAATAATCCACGACAAACAAGAGATGCAAAAATATTTTTTCACTATTTTTTCTTATAATTCATTGGCTGATTGGCAATGAAGGCTTCTTTTTATTACTGCGTTTAGTGATAATAGTAGATATTTTTTATAACTCAATATGATAAAAATCAGTAATTTTTATTACATTGGTAATGTGATTGAATAATAGTATAAGAAATTAGTGCATTTTAATTAAATTTTAAAATATTTTATATAAAAAAATAGATGTTTGAAAACATGCAAACACGTTGTTTTGTCAAAACATTTGTACAAAAGCTATTACTATTATCATTAAAGCAAATAGCAATTCTATTTACATAAATCATAAAGTAGCGCAAATATAACAGCAAGTCAACGGCCAGTGTTTGATGTTGTCCTATTGCATCCTAGACTTACCCAAATAACTTTTCGAAAATAATTACTTTTTATGATAAATAAACTAAATTTATTTAAAAACTTAAATTTATTGCAATAGATAGGAGATAACTAATGAGTTGTTATAGTAATTAATAATTTTTATATTCTAAAGTAATAAATAATTTAAAACTAATAAAAATACTCAAGTAACATCTAATATGATACATATGAATTATCATTAAAGTATACTAAGATATGTTTGGAAGATTTTAGGAATGATTTATTAAAACTAATTTGCAACTCTTATAAACTATTTTAAATTTATTTTGATAAACTTTTTATACCAAAATAATTTATTTTTATTTATCTTAATAAAGTTTATTATTAAATTTATACATAAATAATTATTTAAAAATTTATTAAATAAATAATAAAAAACACTGTAACAACAAGTAATTTTAAAAAATTCATTGATCGTCCAATGGTCAAGCCGACCCAAGCATGTGACTATTAACGCTTTTGCTTGAGACTACAAAAAAAATTATAAATTAAAGATCTAAAATATAAGATTAATTATTAATAATTTAATATTTTTAAAAAATTATTAATTAGTATATAAATACGTTAAGAAGTAAACATATTTCAATTAAAATATAAATTATTTTTGTATTGTACCCATTTTTTACTGAATTAGTAACTATGCTATTTTTTTATACGAATATTATCATAATTATTAGTTACTTAGTACACAATAATATTTATGAAACATTATCAATAATTAAATCTAAAATGAATAAAAAATATTACTTAAAATCAAGAATGTTTTAACAAAAATGAAATAAAATGAATTTAGTATCAATTGAAAAAATTAATTAAAATTAACTGTAATC